GTGCAAAGGCGCTTGCGTAGGGCCATGCGCGAAGAAGCCGCTTACAGCGCAAAGACCGCAAGAAGCAGATGCGCAACCCGTTGCCAATAGCGAGGCCGCCCGCAAAATTGAAGCTGACGTCGCGGAAGCAAACCAAGCGGCCCGACAGCGAAAGGAAGCTGCCAAACGATGCCACAAGAAGCTACAGCCCCACGACGGGCTGCCTCCACCAGAACCGGCCTCTGCGTCACAGCTTCAGAAAGAGCCCATCAAAATCCCCGCGCAAATGCGCAGCAGCAACCGTGGCAGAGCATCCGCAAAAGGGCAGCAGCGCGCCCACAAAATTCAGCAAAATTTGCCGAAGACCGAGAGATGTTGAAACTCCGGTTGCAGGCCCGCGGCCATCTGGACACGGCCCCAGACCTTGAAATCAATGAGCCGACTACCGCAGCACACAGACGCTTCCGGAGGGCGCCGCAAGGAGATGCAAAGCTGGCTAGGCGCATTGCAGCATCAGAACTGCTCAGCGATACCGGCAACTGATGAGGCCGAATCCCATCCGTGTACAAAGGCTTGCGCCGCACAATCAGATGATTGCGTGCATGTTGCGTTGCACGCGCCGCGCAGCGCTTGAAGTAGCGCGGCAGCTTTAGTGGTACAGCAGAAAGGACGCGCTTGAAGTAGCGGCGCCGAATGAATATCCCAAAAAAAGTAATTTGCATCTAATGCATATTGATTTGGCAGATCCCAGCCAGAGACCCGGAGGAACATGTTGGACAATTGCCATTGGCCTTCCGCCCACCCTTCAATAACTAGCTAAGGCGGTACTCAATGCAATAGCTAAGGCGCAGCTAAGGGAGTAGTCGGGAGGCTTGCCTTTCCGTTCGACCTTAAACGACGGGCCAAGCCTTGACCTTCCGTTCGCCCTTACGTGACCGTCTGCGGGAATAGCTAAGGGGGTGGCAAGGGGCCTCAAGTGACGAGTTGAAAGGGCACAAAGCGTTTTGACCTTCCGTTCTCCTGTTTAAGTGAAGGGGTTTTAAGGAGTACCAAAGGGCTTTGACCTTCCGTTCGCCCTTAATTGACTAGTTCAGGGGGTGACTAAGGGGCTAGCAAGGGGCCGTGACCTTCTGTCCGCCCTTATAAGTGAGTGTCTAAGGAGATTAAGCAGACAAGCCACAAGCAAAGACGCGCATAAATGAATGAAGCCTTAGATTCGGTTTAGTGTGAATTTAGACATATTTGTTGAATGTTGGAATTCCCAATCTTCCATTTTTTCGATCTAGCTCAAAACATGTAGCTGGCTCAATTTCATCAGGGGTATGTTTTGACAGTCACCTTGGGCTTTTTCAGAGGTACCATATCTAGTACTAAAGTAATCAGTGGGGATTGAACCTGGCAATTTAATGCAATTTAACAGATTGGGAAGTTTCTGCGAGCTCGCTCAACTGCAACGAGCTGGCTCAGCACCATCGAGCTCGCTCAATGCCACGTAGCTGGCTCAGGGGCATCGAGCTAGCTCAATGGCATCGAGCTGGCTCAATTTTTTTAGCGAAAAAAAAAAAACTCGCAGAAATTGAGCCAGCTACGTCACGTTGAGCTGGCGGACGAATGTGAGAGCATCAAAACGAATACTAGCTATGTATTGGCCGGGTTCATGACGCATTGGCGAGCCGGCTCAAGGGCATGTAGCCGGCTCAATTTCTGCGAAGTTTTTTTTTTTTCGCTAAAAAAATTGAGCCAGCTACGTGGCGCTGAGCCAGCTACGAGGCGCTGAGCCAGCTACGTGGCATTGAGCCAGCTACGTGGCACTGAGCCAGCTACGTGGCACTGAGCCAGCAAGGTAGCTTTGAGCTTTGAGCTAGCAAGGAGGCAGTGAGCCAGCAAGGTAGCTTTGAGCTTCATCATATATATATATATATATACACCTATGCAATCCCAACCATGTAATATACTAGATCTAGGGAAAAGCAATTTTTTTGAGGGAGACACGTACCTTTGAGCTGGAGCGGGAATGTGAAATCTAACATTCGAATTTGGGACCATTAACCATGGGGGTGTTTAATATTGGGGGCCGGGGATGGGGTTAGGAGATTGCCATAATGCCATATGACTTTGATCGTATCATTCCCCGAGCTTGCGGCGGCTTGGTTTTGACTAACATGCGGTAAACCACAGAAAATCGAAGGGATGATGATGCAGTTCTGGCTCTTAGCAGTTATGTTCCTGGCTTAGTTCATACTATCTATATATAATTTTTCAAATAACCAACGTTAACCAACCAGTTCCACCAGTTCCAGCTGCCAAATCCCATGGATTTTCCCACCTGGCACTGGAACGGAGCCCGCGTCTCGGGCCTCTGGGTTCCAGCTCGGTCCCCAGCCATGGATGATGTTATTGATGATGGCTTATGATGCAAAATAAGGTTACATATAATATATTATCGGTATAATTGTTATTGTTATTAGAATCATATATATATAGATAACAAGGATAAAAATATTATTATGGGGATAGTAGTCGAAACCCCAAAACAGATTGACAAACCTTTCCAGGATGGTATAGTTCAATGATTAATTTTCCCATAGTTCACAGGCTTCCAACTTTCCGACGCCTTTTTTCGGGTTGCTATCTATATATATATATATATACATATACATGCCTGATTGGTGGTTTCAACCCATCTGAAAAAAATAGTCAGTTGGGATGTTTATTCCCAATAAATGGAAAAATAACAAATGTTCCAAACCACCAACCAGACGTATATATATATATATAAAAACCTTCCTCTAACCAGCATGACGACCCTACATTGGCCGCTGGAGGCAAACAATTCCTTCCGGAGATCGGGGTTGACCTGAGCCACCTGGTAGTTGGAGGGATGCTAGTCTGTATATCATCTCAATATACCAGCATTATGGATTATAATGATTAGATCATCCCAAAATGGCAAAAACGTAAACGTACCATATGTTTGGCCATATTTTGTGGGGATATTCCCTGAAATTTAGGCCTGAAAAATATAGGCCTTGTATATGGTAGGTACCTCCAATCTAGGTTCCTGAAATGGCCATTGAAAATACGGACAAATATCGACAAACAGTATTATCAATGTAAACTATACTGTACTGGGTATAGAAAAGTGAAGTATCTAAATTTTTGGTGTGGTGATTGAGTGACACATTAGCCAAGGCTTCGTACATAAACAGCTGCATGTTGTTTGCCAGTGTTGTCGCATTGGGCAACATGTGGCTATTTCGGGTGCCGGGTGCCTTGCTTTGGGTGATTGCGCCTCTTGAATGTTGGTTGTCATGGGGTTGGGGTGGGGTATTAGCGTTGCACTTGCGCACTTGAAGCTACGCCGGAGATGTCTTACGCTCTAGATGCCTTACGCCATAGAAGGTCGAAAGGCCCTTTGTGGACTTTGCTTGGCACAAATTTCGAAGTTGAAACGTACATTTTCGGTCGCATGCACAGCCCAAAGTTCCAAAGCTTCTCCAAATCCGGTTCTATATTTGTGATATGTGATATTTATGGGGTATATATGGGATATTTATGGTGATATGTCCCAAAAGCAGGACATTTTCTGCACATCAAATCAGCTCAGCGTCAGATGGGCGCTCAGAGCATCGAAAACCGCCCAGATTTGGATGAATTTGGGCATCAAATAGGCCAAACTATCCCTACTGAATGTGGCGTAGATTCCACAAAGGTAAGTAGATTAAAAAAAAAAAACTATTTGTAAGTGGATTTACCGGATAAATTCCTACTTGTAACCAGGGATATCTCATGATATATCATGATATATTGGATATATATTATGTAATATATAATATAATCTAATTTAACCTAATCTAATCTAGTATATTCTAATATAATATAATATAATATAACATAATATAATATAATATAACATAATACAATATAATATAATATAATAACAAAACATATATAGTATATTAAATTATATCATGTTATGTTATGTAATATTAATTTTATCTTATATTGTATGATATTATATTAAATTATAGAAAGTTATGAAAGTGGGATGAGCGACCAATTCTGCCAAAAACAAAAAATATTGCCGGCTTTTCTCCGTCTCCCTGGTCCCTCAGATCTCTCCATCTGCGCCTGCAGGACTGACATCACCTGATGGCCGCCGCTAAACTGGGAGATGTTGGTGAAGACCAACTAAAAAGATTAGGGATGTTGATTATCTGATAAGGTGAACATTAACATATAGGTGATTTCATCAGTTGATGTTGATGTCGATGAGTTTACTCAATCTGTCATTCCATTTTGTGTGGTGAAAAGGGGGTGTCCCAGCTCATGGATGATATACGAAGGGTAGCAAAAAAAACAACTAATCATCGACCAACAGGGTCTTTGAACGCTGTTCAAGTACAAAATAAATGAAGGTCGCTGTAGATTCCCCGAATGGGGTGGAGTTTCCACTGGCAACGGCAACATGTACACAATGACCTGAAGCAAAGGTAACATAATGATGACTCCATTGGGAGCATCATCCCCAATATTTGGGATGGAAACGGGGACAAAACCACTGCGTTCAACCCATTTTCTGTTCTTTTTGGAGGCCCCCAAGATGGGGTACTGATTCCTGTGGCATGGGAGTACTGTACATACTTGCTCCGGTTGAATGATTCTTAAAGCTGGCTGCTTAGGAAGTGGGGCCCGAGAATGTCCCACTTTTCATGGCCAATCGCTGAGACCACCTTTAAAGAAAGCGACTTTCGATGGAACACATTTATTACACTGTCGATTAAAGCCCTAACCAACTGAGGAACCACCCTGTAGAGGTGAAATTTGATTGGGTAAATCCAGAAATCACTAAGTCAATATGTCCAAGACATATCGTCATCATCGTCGCATCATCATCATCATCATCACCATCATCATCACATAGATATCATAAATCAACATCAACTGACTGTCAATCCCACGGTTCATTGGGCAAATCCCCATAGAAAGAACGATTTTTATGTCGCCATGACCGAGGCACATCATGTCATCATGCTTGGCTGCATCATCGGCACAAGGTACACCTCCAGGTCGCAGGGGATATGCTTTTCAGGAGCGGTGACATGATGTATACAAGGATGCAATAGATTTAGAATACAACTGGATATACTCTATGAATATTAGAACACATATCATAAACAACCATAGTTGAGATTAGGAATATGGTAAGGTAAACAACATAACATATATTGATCTTCATGCTACACCCAAAAAAATATAGACAGTATAGACAAATATAGAGAGTTCCCGCTGGGCCCCGCTGGCACAATAGCTAAGTTGTTGTACAGTATGCGTATATCATAGATATACATGTATACAACTATCATATATCTCCAACAGCTACAGTATGGTTTGTGGTAAGTATGTGGTAGGTATATCGCAGTAGTTGATGGGGTTTTAAAAGCCAACCACAGTTGAGATAGGGAATACAACATGATACAGAACAAACAGATCTCAATATACAATAAACCCAATGAAATATATGATGTGATCTAGATATGTGAGTAATGAGCTAAACCAAATAATGAATCATTCCCAACTGGGTTTATCATTGAGTTTGCGTGAGTATACAAAGCCCTGTTTGGATTGTGCTTTTTTTAAAGTACCCCCTGATGCATAGTTACTGGGATGTTGTTTCCCCTTTTCTATTGGGCTTACCACATTATCGATGTACGGATATTACTTACATACTGTATACAAATGTAAATCATTATCCATCATGGATGGGTTTGTCTGAAAATAGGGTTCCCAAAAAAAATAATGGTTTATGACGGTTCATACTTATTTTTACCTATTTAAACCAAAAAAAACATTTGCGAGGCATGCATGATTTTCCGTTCCGCGTGAAACCACCTGGACAAGACTTGGTGCACACTGGGGCCCAAGTTTGTCAGTTAGCGTTGGTTTCATATCCATAATCATCATGAATTTAGTTATTACTCTATATGATTATATGTTGCATATACATATATAATATACATATACATATATATATATATAATAGACATATATAATATACATAATATATATAATATGCATATATATATATATAATATATATATATATATATATGTATCATACATATATAATACATATTATACATGTATGTGTATCATATCCATAATCATCATTGCTTTCATTGTATACTATAATTATTTCATCATAAATTCGAGTTATGAAGCAAGTTAGCTAACGAGGGAGCACAACCTTACAGTAGATCAGTAGATTCTACCAAAGCTCCGCTCCCCTAGTCTTGAACCAGGCAAACGATTTGTGGTGATTAGTTAGAAGTTGGTTTATGAACCCCATTGGCTATAGATATATCTACCACAAACCATAGTTGACCTTAGTGAAAAAAAAACAAACAACAACTTAGCTATGCCCACCTTGTAAAGTGGCAGTGGGTTTATAAACCAACTTATGACTAGGGGGACAGCACCTTGCACCGAGGGCCCCCGTTGGTTGATACTACCTGTCCATCGCTTCCGGAAGCAGGGCCAGGGCCAGTTTCGGCAGGCATCATCATCTGTGGGAGCTGCATGGGCATACAAACCTCAGCAACAGATGTGTCCATGCAGGGGCCCCCAAAACCATGCCTAAAATGGTGATTTTTTGGGACTTATATAATGGAACTTAATGGGATTGAATGAGATTGAATGGGATTGCCCCTACTTAGCTAAGTTGGTTAAAATAACTAGAATCTAGAAGCACCGGGTTTATGGATGTTTATGGTGATCAAAGCTATAGTTAGATGGATTCCAAGGCTGTACTCAACAGCTATTGTGTTGGTTGGTTTAACCCAATCAATTCTTCCATAGGTCTCTGGAAACCCTAGCTGCCCGGGCAGCTTCGTTATGTTTACCAAGCTAACGAACTGGATCACCACCATGGTTGTGCTGTGTTTGTAAGATCGGTTGAACCAACCAATAATCAGTTGGTTCAACGGATCACTTGTTCGGTTTGAGGAACAAATGACAAGAAACCACCTGTTTTTTTCCTCTGGAAGTTGAACCCCTGAACCACCCTCGACGAACGAGTGGTTCTGTGGTATCAATGGTTTGGTTCAATGAAGCCGCAAGGAATCGGGCCGTCCGGTACAACTCAACTACCATGGCAAATTATATACATTTAGAGACATCATGCCATAAACATCCATCAACCATGGTAAAACTAGTGAAACATACAACTTAGCTGTCCTTTGGGCGGACCCACATTGTTCGGAATCTAACTGTCAACCCTGGATCTATAAACCGTGACTATCACTATCCCAAATGTTGATAATGTTCGGGAGTTTACCATTTTCATCGTCTATCAAAATCTATATTAATAATGCTACCTCTATGAATCAACTGGGTGGTTCATCATATAGATCCTGGCTTAACTTTAATCCAGTTAATCCCATCAAATTGCCAATGTCATCACCATTTGATTTAATGACAATTTGATCATAATTCTGCAGTCTGCCATTTGGGTATGGGTCAATACCTATGAAAATACCATTTTTAGGGGGTTATTCACATCCATTTACCAGATAAACCCCAGCTATTTTGATGTGAACTACAGGGGTACTATTGGTTTTGACACACTGCCATTTCTAGCAGCCCCATATCCGGATAGAAACGTCAGCGCAGCTCAAAACCCGAGCAACTCCAAAGACCTGTGGCTGCATGGCACCCATGCCCACGTTCCTGAGGCAGGGCCCCCGTTCGATAGCTAAATTGGTGCAAATAACATCAGATAATAATTTTACCCTCTGGTAAACTAACAGTTTGCTATGGAAAATCAATGAAAATCACCATCTTTAATTGGTAAATCAACTATAAATGGTCCATTTTCAGAAGCAAACTGTTAAATTGCCAGAGGCTAGGGTTTTATGGTACTGAAAACCATCCTTTATGTCAAACTACAACGTACTAGTCAGATGTGGTCATAAGCCAACTTATTTTTTCTACGGGCCCCACATTGTAGATGCGACCCCAGGAGTCGACGCCGCTTGCGAGACACCCATGTATTTTGGATCAATTGTTGCCGATGAATCCCCAGTTCTTACCAGATCATGAAATACTCAGGTGTCTTGGTTCATCTCACTCAATGCCAAACGCATTTCCTCTCCAAAAAAAAATCTTTAAAATGCACCAGCTTTAACTCTAACGGGCCATCCGCCCATACCTAACCAATATCACAAATCAATCTACCACCAGTTGGCTTACCCGGCACTACCATTTAATTAATATTATTTAATCATCATGTGTTCCGTAGAATATACTGTATAAATCGCGATAGTTTTTGGATTGTCTCACTCTTTATCTTTATCCCATGTTCATAAGATGTTGGTTTCTGATTGCAAATGTGTTTTATTGAAAACTAGCCAACGAGTTGGTTTACCCACCCATATAAGCACATGTCAGGATGTGCAACGTCATTCAGAAAAAATACTGGCTGGTTAAAAGAAAGAGTCCCACTTTATGGATTTTGACAATGACTGCAATTCCTCGATATTGATATATATATATATATGTATATGTATATAATTGAAGGGTAGTACAAACCCTGAAAGTATCCATTTATCAATAATATATGTGTTTATATCCACATATGTTTGATGGTTAAAGCAAGTTAGAACATTAAATAAATGTGTATAAATATATATATATATAGGTTAATTCAGCAACATCAATATCAAAAGCATGTTTGTTGATGGTTAAATCATCTTAATTCAATGACATTATATACATATTCTATTCCTATCCCCATGGTAAATACATTAAAAAAAAACGTGTTAACATGATTTCACATGTCCTCCATAGAATTCCATCAATGTATATATAATATGGGCAAATTAAAATAATTCACTAACCTGAAATAAGGCTTCTCCGGGATAATTCCCCTTACTAACCATGATTCCAGTGAGGGACAGCAGTGAGGTCGTTATAATTTACCCATATATATATATATATATATTATACATAAATATATATGCACATATGATACATATTATAAATATATAAATATATAAATATATAAATATATAATATTATATATATATATTATATTATTATATTAAATAATAAGATATCATATTATATTATGTATATATCTATATATATATATATATTAATATGGCGAACAGATCTGTAGGGCGTGATCCCCAGGCACCACCTTTCAACCAACCACCAAGTCACGACATCATGGGCCCCATGGGTCCCTGCATGTTTCCCACGAAGACGCCCTGGGAACCCATGGGCATTGCCTGCGGCCGGGCACCGTTTTCTGGGAGGCCGGGAGGCCAATCCATGGGAAAATCCATGGGGAAATGCTGGGAAAATGATGGGGGAATCATAAAAAACTGGGGTTACCCTCTGGTAATTTAACATAGCTATTGAAAATGGCCCATTTATAGTGAGTTTTCCCATTGAAAATGGTGATTTTCAATAGCTATGTTAGTTTACCAGAGGGTATGTTGCTGGCTGAAAAAATTGACCAACTAGTTGCAAGGAGTTAAACGTCATCCCGGTTTTTGGCCGGAACTGTAGCTATTTCACTGTGGCACAATTTGTGGATGGTCAGCCAAGTTGATAAAACAAGTAAACAAAGGTTAAGTGTTGGGTTTATGGGAGATATATGTAGATATCATTAACTACTTAATTGGCTTTATACGCCAACTATCTGGGGAACACCACCTGTTCCTGGCAGGTCATTGGCCATGATTTATGTGGTTTGTCGATGATACCATTTTCCGCCCTGCTTTTGCATTGGATCGCCTGTCATTTTCCGGGGGAATTTGAGATCCCAAAAAGAAAAGATCAAAAGATCCAGAACCGAATCAGGGCATATCATTTTCCAATGTCTTGAATCAGAGGGATCGCGAAACGCCTTCCAAAATATGCATCCCGTAATTCGCAACTGCTTAATTATTGTGATCTTAAATCCTCTAGCATATGCGGGCGAGACAAAAACATGGCAAGATTGACCACGGTACCAGTATTTACTAACGGTACCATGTGGGGCCTCCAATCATTAGCAAAGTTGGTGTAACCCCATCTAACCAGTTCGTTACAACTACCATAAACCCTAGTCATTCTAGTTATTTGATGTTATTTGCACCAACTTAGCCTCTGATACACTAACATAACTAACAAAACTCTGGAAAATCACCATGTATCATGGGTAAATCAAGGAAGTAAATGGGCCATGTTCAATAGCTATTTTGACATAACCAGAGGGTATCTTGGGGGCCAGTCATCTGTGCAGGAAAAATAACATGCCGTGCTTCCCATGGCCAGACACATGTGACATCCTGCACAGTGGTGGCTGAAACGCTGATAGTTACATGATATAATATATATATAAGTACATAAATATTGTATATAATTGTATACATATTATATATATATAATATCCTGGTTTGTACCAAAAGGTCAGTTAGTGCTGAACGGTGAATTCAGCTAATTCCCCAAGATGTGTTTCTTAAACGCCTTTAGGCCTTTAGGCTTTTCATGGCTACATTGCCCAATCCACGTAGCTTTCTGTGAAAAGTCGCCCCACCTTCATATGGTTCATGGCAAAAAACTGGAACTGCTCATTGGGTGAGCCGCAACTGACCTGAGAGGTGAGATTCAAAAGGGTTGTTGAACTACCGGTCGAATGTGTTTTTGACCACAAGAACTTAGGTTTAAACTAGCAAGTTGATCAACCAATGAAAAATAAACCACTATCACGGCTAACTAGCAGGTAGGGTAACGCCCCAAAGAACAACTACAGGAAGAGGCCTCTAGTGACAAATTGACAACGTTTTATCAATCCAACTGTAGATGTATCTAGCGTAGTGAGCCCCCTTCTTGTGGGTTCGCATTCTTGACTTAGTACAATGTTCAGGGCAAATTTGAGTAATGTGGAAAAACCCAATCATAAACCTCCAATCCTCCAGTTGGGAATTGTTGTTTACCTCCTTATTTTTGGGTGGAATTGGGTATGGTTCATTCTTGGGTCTACCAGGTCGTCACCACCTCCGTCACCATCGTAAGGTGGACGAAAAGAGGGCCTCCAGACTGCCACAGCCATAGGTCCCACAAGACTGCTGCTGCTGTGACAAGGATACCCTCTGGTTATGTCAAACATAGCTACTGAAAATGGCCATTTATAGTGAGTTTTCCCATGAAAAATGGTGATTTTCCATAGTTACGTTAGTTTACCAGAGGGTAATCAGCAAATGTGTTTCTGTTGGGCAATGGTCTTGGTCTAGCACAGCATCCCCCTTGCAATTCGGGTCCTCACCCTGGCCCCTGAATCTTTAAGGGACCACTGGTAGCCTCTTAAAGAATGCGAACCAGAGCAAATTTCAGCCTTAAAGAATCTAACCCCAATGAACCAAGATTGCACACAGTAGCCACATATGTCCCATTAAAGGATTGGAGACCCAAGTTGCACACGAAGGGGTGCCCCTTTAAAGAATTGGATGCCCAAGTTGCAGTCGAATGGACGGCGGCGCAGTCAAGCATCATCAATAAGATGCGCATGCAATCATATGAGAACATATAGACTTATTTATTTGTGTCCATATTAGGATTATTAGAATTTATTAGGCATCTTTAGGTGAAATTTGAAAGCACATCTTTAACATTCTTCAACTCTGGAAGGTGTTTTAACACAAATTATTACATTTACAATTCTCCTTGGAATTATCCTGCTCACATGGACTCCAGCATGCTTTTGACAAAAAACGGAGGTCCACCTTGCACTACTGAAATGGCACATCTAAAGAATGCCTACCTAGGATGCAAGGGGGTCTAAGACCATCTAAAAAATCATGGCCCAGGCAACCAACTACAACAAATACACAAAAAAAACAAATACAAGAGTAAACGTCTAAAAAATAGGGCGTCCATGTTAGCCATGTGGACATCAACAAACATAAAAAACACCAAACATACCCAAATGATTCCTTTGCACACCGGAGATGAAATTTGCCCTTCTTTTGCCCATGCCAGATTAACGGCTTCTGTTTTTGTCATGGCAGAAGCTTCTGCCAAAGCGTTGTCTTTGGCTGCCTCCTCTTGCTTCATTTTTCTGGTTTGATCAAAATTGATTGTAAGCAACATATCCCCCTTTGTATTCAGTCTTTGACCCGGGTGTCCGGTTTTTTGGTGGAGGGTGCCATTAAAGAATGAAGTCCTGCCTCCGGACACGATGTGTTTTGATGGATCTTCTAAAGACAACTGGCGTTATGCCTGGGGATCTTGGGGATTTCCTGGGGACGTCTGGATATGAGACCTGGACTGGGTTCGAGCTGGTGTTTTGATTCTTTAGAGGCTCAGGCCTGTCGACCCTACAACTTGGGATATTTTGGGGAGGGTGCCACTAAAGAATCAGGTCCTGCCTCCCGACACAGGGAAGGGTGTCCTTAAAGAATCAGGTCCTGCCAAAACACTGTTTTTTCTGAGCTGGTGTTTTGATTCTTGCAAAACCCGGCAGTTTTTCACAGTTTGGGGTATTTTTTGGGAGGGTGCCATTAAAAAATAAGGTCATACCTCCGGACAGTGGGTTTCGATGGATCTTCTAGAGACAATTGGTGTTATGCCTGGGGATCTTGGGGATTTCCTGGGGACGTCTGGATATGAGACCTGGACTGGGTTCGAGCTGGTGTTTTGATTCTTTAGAGGCTCAGGCCTGTCGACCCTACAACTTGGGATATTTTGGGGAGGGTGCCACTAAAGAATCAGGTCCTGCCTCCCGACACAAGGAAGGGTGTCCTTAAAGAATCAGGTCCTGCCAAAACACTGTTTTTTCTGAGCTGGTGTTTTGATTCTTTAGAGGCTCAGGGCGTGTCGACCCTGCAAAACCTGGCAGTTTTTCACAGTTTGTGGTATTTTTTGGGAGGGTGCCATTAAAAAATAAGGTCATACCTCCGGACACAGTGGGTTTCGATGGATCTTCTAGAGACAATTGGTGTTATGCCTGGGGATCTTGGGGATTTCCTGGGGACGTCTAGATATGAGACCTGGACTGGGTTCGAGCTGGTGTTTTGATTCTTGAAAGGCTCAGGCCTGTCGACCCTACAACTTGGGATATTTTGGGGAGGGTGCCACTAAAGAATCAGGTCCTGCCTCCCGACACAGGGAAGGGTGTACTTAAACATTGACAAACTCAACTTAGGGTTCCAAATTAAATCTCTCAAGAATCAAGGGGGAACTGATAACCCGGGTTGACTTATGTTTTAGCCAGGGAAAATTCCAAGAGGGATAACACCATATGATTTTCAAACGCTCTGTTTTCAAACGCTCAAAAATGTGCAATAGTCCGGCGTCCCTGAAGAATGTCCTTGTTGAAAAATCAGTTGAAATGCGTTGTCAATGTTGAAACTTGTTCGGCTCATCTGCGATACAAACGATGGCCGGCGCACAGCAGCAGTTTTAGCAAATCGCAACAAAAATTCAAAGAGCTTGTCTATTGCCCCTCAAAATGCTCTCTCTAAAAAATAATGACTTAGGAAGCCTTTGCAAAAAAATGGGGACTCCGGGTTAGCCATGTGGAAAAATCATTTGTTTTTGCATTAAAAAAAAACGTTTTTTTGCGACAACCCGGGTTGTTGCATTTTTTAGTGGAAATTCCAAGGGGGATCATTTACATGCATTCACTCATCACGTTTTCATCTTCCATTTCACCTTCACGTCTTCTGCTTGTGAGCATCTGTTCAAGCGGCAGGCAAGCTGGTTTTCATTTGACACACAATCCCAAAAACATTGATGAACATATCAAAAAACAAGTTCCTAGAATCTTCCTAGGAAGGCCTCTTAAAGAATAGGAGACCGTCAAAACAACAGTATACATCTTAAAAAATGAAACTCGATTTTTTTGCCGGCCAAACTGTCCTTTAAAAAATACATTTTTTTCAAAGACATCATGTCCTCAAGTCTTTAGGCTAAATTCCCAGGAGGATAGCACAGCTAACATTAGTTACACTCTGAGCTGAGCTAAATTGCTAACTTGACATGAGACATTCTTGCATAAAACTGCTTCGACAATTATCCACTGGCACAATTTTCAACAATTGGTTTGCCCAGGTAGGAGACAACCGCTGCACCCCATGTTTCGCCAAAAACGGATACTATCTGGTTGGTGGTTTCAACCCCTCTGAAAAATATTAGTCAGTTGGGATTCTTATTCCCAATATATAGAAAAAATAAAAAATGTTCCAAACCACCAACCGCTATAACTACCACTCAAATGTACCACATGCTAGTGGTATAATTGAGCTTGTTAAATGCATCGGAACTTGGGGCATTTTCTTGCACGACGAATTCGTATTATGAATCCCGTAGACATGCCAAGGTTGTTTGAGTACGTGGATGTGCATCCCACTCACTAATAGGGTAATAACAGGTTTACAACCCGATTAGAACCCAGTTTTACAATGTTATATGAAGGATGTAACAGGATGTGTGTGTATATATATATAAATGAGTAGCGGACAAAATTACAGATTACTCGCAATAGACATGGCCAAAGCGGGTGGTCCCCTATCGGTTGTGAAGGTTTGTACTTCCATTCTATGTGTAGAAATAGGGTATCGGTAAGTGAGTGGTCCCCTTTCGGTTGTGAAGGTTTTCCCAAAAATTTGAACATCCCAAGTTCACTCCATACTACCTTAGTCTTCCGCTAATTTTGTCGGCTACATGTATTGATATACCGTATACCCCAATCACATAGAGGCTATAAAGAGATCTCTTCAGGTTATCTGTTTCAATCACTTCCCTGAGATGCAGCCAGCTTAGCCCAAATCACCTTCAATTCTGGTCCTTAACAGGGCCTTAATAATGCCTTAGATGGGCTTAAAACTCCTGCAACTAGTTGGTGATGCATCATGAAATAGGCCAGGGACATAAGTCCATGCAGATCCACCAACCAAAAGTCACCCCGTTTTCGTCTCCGACTTCGCGCATCGCCCCATCCGCCAAGCAACGCAAAAGTTCGTAGCACCACACGTGGGGCAGTTGCAGCACCTCGGTGCGCAGCGATCAGAATAGTGGGATGTCATGATTTTGCACTGTTAGTCAGTAATAGTCAATTATTAATGAATAATACTAGAAATGATCAATAGTCATTATTTTGAACTATTGGAGTAATAGTACTAGGTAATGGTCCTAGTATTAATGAATCAATAGTGAATGGCGAATGGTAAGATTATCTATATTATACATCGGTAATCAATAGTCATAGTAATAGTTAATGGTATTTATTATCTATTGTCATTCAATCGTTAATACAAAAAATGATAACATGGATCATATGTTAAGATATGTTTAAATTACAATAATAGCTATTAATAGTCAGTTCCAGTGGTTGATATTGTTGCTTCTGTGATGGTTCAATAATTGATGATCCACACCTGATGGTTCACCAATGCATGATAGGGGTTCAAAATTGTTAGTGATGGATCATCATAGTTGATCATAGCAGTCATGAAAGTAATGATTAATATTGTTGGGTCATGGATGTTAAATAGCATCTGCATGTGAAGTGTTAAATATGAAGGTTGATCTTTGTAGATGATTAACCAAAGGTGATAAATACAGTGGTCAATGCCCAATAATATTTTTTGGGGTTCATGGTTAATGCGCCAATATCAAACCCGCTGCCACGATAATGTTCATCCGATCTATGACCAAAGAACCATTCCCCTAATGCTGGTGCTTGATACTTGCTAATAACGGATGATTATGACTGATTTCTACAGTACCTATTGATGTTGCTTGTTCTGTCATGATGATTGACATTGAATAATGGAAAATAATGCGATGGATAAAATCCCTTGCCACACCGCTACCCCCCCAAAAAAAGAAATGTGCTTTAGTACTTGCCTTATTAATTCTGCGGGGGACGGGATTACACCCAACAAGGGGCTCTAACATGGACAGATCCAATCCTAAACCAAGCAGGTAATTATGATAAAGTGGTGCCATCTAGTGCTTTTCCTCGAAACCCAACTAACTCTCGATCTATCTGCCATCGACCGTAGCTAACCTACTGAACCCCGCTCAAATCGATTCAGTTTCAGTATTCCCCTGAAAAAACAAAACATGAATCCAGCGCGTCAAATACTGGTTGGTGGTTTTAACTATCTTGAAACATATTAGTCAATGGGAAGGATTATCCCATATATTATGGAAAATAAAAATGTTTGAAACCACCAACCAGGATATATTGCAGAATGCCAAAATCTGGGTTTTGCACGACTGGTGGGACTGCTGGTTTTGATTCACACCCTGATTCGCGGTGCCTGCGGTTCCAAGCGGTTGCAAGGTAGACCCACATTCCCAACAAAAGCGGGTGGGGCCAAAGGTTTCCAGAGTTTCCCTCCAACCTGTTCGAGTCTGGGTATGTTTGGAAATGGAGTATAGCCATGGAATGGCAATTGAATTTTGAATATAAAGATAGACTGTGGGATTTTGGGGTACCCTATTTTCAGACAATGCATTCCTGGTGTTTGCTTGAGAAGGTCATTAAAAGGTCAACAGTCAAACAGTCCATGTCTTTCCCACCTTGGAGCAAGCAATGGAAAATCATCTTCAGCAAATCCATCTAATGCTGGTTGGTGGTTGACCTACCCCTCTGAAAAATATGAGTTCGTCAGTTGGGATGATGAAATTCCCAATATATGGAACAATATGACATGTTCCAAACCACCAACCAGAATGTCATGTTTTGTTGTTTTTTGTTAGGAGGCCATCATGAGAGTGAACCACTCTTTTTTGCATTGTTCAATAGAGGACAATGATCCAATTCTTCATACAAATCATCCATGTGTTCGAGTTGGTTTTGAAACAATTTTCAACCCTTGGATATGATATGTTCTCTGATTGATGGTTTCAACCCCTCTGAAAAAAAGAGTTCGTCAGTTGGAATTATTATTCCCAGTATATGGAAAAATAAAATTCATGTTCCAAACCACCACCCAGTACATATATATATATTATATTATATATGTCATACAATGTATGTACAGTGCAGGAAAAATAATCCACATGTTCCAAAACACCAACCAGTTCTGTTTCCCATGTTTTTCCAAGATGTGCAGTTCTTCACATCCCATCATCCCAAACCAACCATGGAAGGATACCCTCCGGTAATCAAGCATGGCAATGGAACATTGCCATTATTAACTATTAGATGGTGTGAAAAATTGTCCAGATTATGAAAGATGATTTCCCCAAACCTCTATTTTCAATCTTTTTAGGGATTTCCCGTTGTCCTGTTTGATTACCAGAGGGTACTCTTTTCATGTTGGCAGATTTTTCAGTTGATGATAGACATAGATCTCCACGTCTATCAACTCCACTGTTTCAGGACAGCATTCAACAGTTAATTATCATATCTAAACTGTCCGGTCACAATGAGGTGTCATTCAGATATTCACATATATTCACTACGTCACCCAGAACCAAAAATACAAAGCCGTCATTTCTTCCGTTCTGGCTGCGGGTTGATGAAATCGCTGCCTGTTTCACCTGCTTCGAGTCCCTCGGAGGAAGCGTCAGAGTCCTGGCTCTGCTGATTTATACCATGATTGCCCTCCAGTAATGGTGAATTAATGGGTGATTTAATGGTGATATTTTTGGGTAATTAATGGTGATAAGTACAATGTGGGGCCCTGCAAAGGCCTCTATTCGGTAGCTAAGTTGGTCTATAACTAGAATAATGTAGTATACTGATTAGTGTCATGGACCTTTATTCCGAGATTTTTTCCAAAGTTATTCAATATCTTGTAAATGGGGGGGTGGGCCTCTATTGTGATACGTTTTTTCTCAAATTCATTTTTTTCAGGATGAAAAGAACTGGTCCAAGAAAACGCATATCCGTCCCTCCAGCCCAAGCAGCAATGACAACAACAGCACAAAAGATTCAATTGAAATCCTTTCTTATCAGTAGATTTCTTTGAGGTTTAAAAGGAAAATCAATTGAAAGTATATTGATTTCAATTGAAATCCTTACTTAAGTTGATCATCCTGGATTCCCCAGACCTGGTTCCCAAGAAAATGCCGAGTTATTGAGTAGACCATAATTGTTGAGGGCGGGGCACACTAATCAGTAACCAACATTAACTAGGCTTCATGGTCATTATAAGTATCGTTGGATGGGAGATATAAACCAACTTACAACTAGGAGTCCCCACATTGTCGTTTTTAAAGGCGAGTAATAGACTAACAATAGATGGTAATCGATCCCACAATATCCCATTCTTCCCCTGACCTTACCATACCCTGATGGGTGTTTATCTTTCAGAATTATAAGGATTTATAGTGATTAATGAGTGATATTGATGGTGATTAATGGGTGATATTAATGTTTATTTAATGGTGATTCATGGTGATAAATGGGTGATTAAAACTGTACTACTGTACTGAGATGGAACAAAGAACTATGTAATATAAATAAGACAATACCCAATTCAATATCTCATAATATAGACACGAAAATTTACCCGTCGGTAATTTACCCTGCCTGGAAAATCATCAGCACATTCCAATGAGTTGCAGTTATAGCTCTCTCACCCAGTTCTGTTACTGCCAGGAATTTTCATAATAACCAACTCACCTCCCATCTATCCCATCTATAAGGCCCACTAAAAAGAGGGCCATCATTCTCAGCTCTTCAGGTGCTCCTCTGCAGGAGCTGCCCTGGTGGTGGAGCCGGTAGTAGAAGCCCCTGACCTGCAGGTTTTTTCAGTGGGAGCCATGGAAACCTGGTGAAATTACACACTTTCTGTGGGGGATAGGAAGTCAAACAGATACTTTTGCTGTTCAGTAGCTATGGAACAGTAACTTAAATGAGGTTAGACATGATCGCAGAAATAAATAATTGGCATGTTCCGTAGCTATATTCGTTTGACAGAACGTTTGTCTTCAAATCATCGATTTGAAATACACCAAATGACAGGATAATTATCGGTGAATATGGGTGGAGAAACAACTCCCATAAAATGGTGGATTTCCGCAATGGTGACTAGCCTCTGGTTATGACTAACAGTTTGCTATTGAAAATGGCCATTGAAATAATGGATCTTCCCATGAAAAATGGTGATTTTCCATAGTTATGTTAGTTTACCAGAGGGTATCTAGTAAAATGGCCAATTGCAGTACATGATGGTTGCTTGACAGGATACAAGAAGGATAGAACCAAAATGAGAGGGAAAATGTGGCAGTGGGATATATGGAATATCATCCCAACAATCGTAACTGACGAATGTTTCTGGGGGGTTAACCATTGCTATGAACCAGTGGGGAATGATCCTGCAGAGTGGTTTTTGAATGTGAAATTATGTGTTTTTTGTCCCTGATGAATGTGAGGAAACCTGAAATACTGTGATATGTTTCTGGTTTTATTGTTTTACTTTCTCGGCGCGGAATCCATTTTTTTGCGTCAAATCCTGCTTTGGGTGAGGCCGGTGAAGCACGTATCGTTGGATACAAGCACAGTACCTCTTAAGAGCAACGACCATACGCAGTGACCGTGGCAACAAGTGCGAAATTCTAAGGATATATATATATATAGAGTGATATAGATATAATATAGGATATAGATATAATATATGATATATATATATATATATAATTGTAGATATATGATACTATACATGTATAATTGTACAAACCATATTCTGATTAGGGGACAATAGGAGACTCCCCAAGAGCCTGAGATCAATGCTATAAAATGTAACCAACTGTAGGGAGGTCGCGACGTGAGGTCTTACATAAACTAACAGTTTGCGAACTGGAAAGTCCCCATTTTTAATAGGTAATCTTGAACTATAAATTGCAACGTTCGCTATGTTAATTTACCAGAGGGTACCCAGAATGATGGTTTAATTGAAAATCAAACATCCTGGTACGTGATGGTACGTGGCTTCGCTGACCAGCTTAGATGTGGAAAGCCAATGCTTTTCTCTGGAAAACAAATTACATGCTCCACAGAGTGGTGGTGTTTGTCCATGGTTTTTCCATATCAACAAGGTGGGACCGTGGGACCCCCTAGATAGCTAAGTTGACGCACAAAACTTGGTTGACGCACGGGTTTATGGAAGATAACTATATATATATAACTATATATATATAACTATATATAACTATGATATTCAAGGGCTTGAAAAACCAACAAACATCGCTGGGGAGGCCAAATTACTATCCATTCTCGCCTGCCTTGTATTAGCATGTGTATTCACTATACCATGATCAACAGCCATAATCAACCATTCTTATCCACTATAGCATTACTATATCCATGCCCAGGTCGTCATTTCAGTGGAGTTGACTCGACCGGTTTTCGACCACCGTTCGCTCCATCGAGGCACTCGTTTTCACCCAAGGACAACTTTGACAATGCGGCTGCCAGAGATGACAAGACCGGCTCCTAGGAGTGCCATGAGGATCGGGTCGTCCGGGTCAACAGCCCGTCCACAGCCCATGGGCTGATCATTTTGAATCAGTGGAACTCTGACTCCGCTGTGGATATCTATGGATCATACAAGGGTGGTGCAGCAAACTCAGCAAACCCATATAGCTAAGTTGGTTTGAAGTATATATGTGTATGTAAGTTAACTAGGGTAGAATCGGTAGATATATATATATATTATATATATATATATATAGCTAAATGGCTTTATAAAGCAACTTATTAATTTGTGGTAAACCAGCACTTCTATGAATTTGGTAAACCCAATGACATAGACTTCCATGTTTTTTGGGTTTTCCATCACATCCATTTGTTTTTTTGTATACGCGGCATTAGGGATGGTTTGCAACAAAAGACATACACCCAGACGTGAAAGTCAGTCGAATCACTGAAACAACTTGTACCCTCTGGTAATGTAACATAGCTATTGAAAATGACCATTTATAGTGGATGTTCCCATTAAACATGGTGATTCTCCATAGTTATGTTAGTTTATTAGAGGGTAAACTGCATGGGAGGACGCGCATTCGGGAAGTCAGCGCAGTCAGTGCAACATGATGCGTTAAACAGCATGTGGAGGCTACATTTAGAAGTGCTATAATTATGTCCTGCATTACAGGTATGTTCTCGGCTTCTGCAAATATGCACACACGATGTGACCGCATGTGTTGAAGTCATTCAAAAAATCAGTTGGTTCTTTGGATTTCATACACAATGGTATTACAGTATGTAATGTCCAACGTAAATATGAGTTGTCATTCAAATAAGAAAACAAAACTCATCATCACATTATGACAACTACAATCATTATCATGATTATCTTTGTTATCAATACACATCACTACCGCCACTACTATTCACCATACTTTCCCTAGTGACAAAATCATGGCATTGTCTTGTTGGTACGATGCTTCACGTGCTGGTTAATCATATTCATTTTCAAAAAGCACATAAATTGTGGGTACCAACAGCAGCAAAACCAACATATTTCCATGGTTTCAATCCGTCCGACGTGTTTTTTCCACCTTGCTAGCGAATCTCATGGATTTCAATGTCCAGGTTTCGATACCCCAAGTCATGGGGATACCCCAGTCGTCACCACGGGTAGCCCAATGGATGTCGTCATGATCATCCATGACGACTGAATGATTTGGGGTAGCCCTATGAATTAGGAATCCCCCCATGTTTACCTTAAAGGGATCCATCCTCCAAATCCAATCTTGGATTTATGGTATCCAACTAAATAGCTAGGCTTGTTGTTCAGTCAACTTACAAGCTGTTTAAGAATGCACCACCTTGCATTCTATCAAATACTGACAATATTTATGAATTATATCACCATTCATTATCATATATGACAAATTAAACACCATACATGTATATGAACATTTACAAACAAATCAAACAAACTCAATCACATGATAGCTCAAACATCAGCAAACCACATTAAACAATGACTTCATCAAAATTTTAATCGCAAGTCTGGTTAGTCTTGTTTTGCCGTGCTTTCTGGCCAAGCGTCGCTAATGCCCTCCTGGATTTTCATCTTGGGATTTGTCTCGTATTGCTGCAAGACGCTCAGCGCCGACGACACCGCGAACCTGAATCTGTGGGGATGCTTGGGCATGGTTGGGGATGTTGAATCTCCAGAAAATCAAAATGAGTGGGAAAAACGTATAAGCATTTAAGCATTATGGTTTGGGAGTGAATTGAAGTGATATATGAGATATGACATAAATGTTGTTTTTGTTTCTACTGGGAACCGTGGACTTCACAAGAGCATCAAGGACAGTGGAACTGCTCCAAGATGTCATTCATGGTGGCTTCAGCACATCGAATTGTCAACCTGTACAGGAGGGTACATCAAAGTTGCAACGATCAAACAATCTCTCCATGAAACATGTGAGCAGTGTTCAAAATCCCTGTTCTTGGATTATGTTCATCCCCAACATATATATATATATATATTGGGTAATATAATTCCCGAACTTATCATCAACCAACAGGGGTGTAGCAGCCACTGCTCATGTGATGTGTTTTTCCCAGCCAACCATTTGTTTTTGAAGTTTAACGTCTCCATCTTCGTGTTGATTTTCATCATGGGTGGCATCACTTAAGGTATGTTCGAAACCCGAAAGGCCATCCCTTACAATACTGCCTGTTGAATAGGGATTGCCATAATCACTGGTAGTAATTATAATTATGGCAGTTGTATCCCACAATACTATGGATGATGATGATGATGGTGATGATGATGATTATGATGATGATGATGATGATGATGACGATATAACAACAATTATGCAGACCATGACAATTGGTCCCATATCATGGTATATACCACGATAATCCCATTGTAATCTTAATATAAGTGCATGAACATTAAGCAAAAATAAATAAATAAATAGATATATAAATACTGTAAACAAATAAATAAATATTGTCATCCCCAGAATGATCATAATGTAAAGGATTGATTACACTGGGTAGTACAATCCCATATCATGGACCAACGGTGTCGTGGCTGCAGCCACTTCCAAGGAGCTCGAAACCCAAGACATTGGCACGGGGGACCGGTCCATCTCCCTCCTCCAGAGCAGATCCGCTGCTCTCATCCAATCTCCAGACTTTTACCAACATTTGGGTTTGTCTGAAATAGGGGTACCCAAAAATGGTTGGTTTATAATGGAAAATCTTAAAATAAAATGGATGATTTAGGGGTACCCATATATCAGGAAACCTCCATTTTGACATTGGTAAGCATACGCAAACTTAGCAGCTTCGGAGCTCATTGATAAGGGTGTAGATTGAACTTATTAGTGTGGCTCTCCAAGTATGTCTTTTTAGTGTTGCATGCTTTCAGTTTGATATCTTGGAATTGCTGATCCGGGTGTCCGAAAAAAAACATGTAATTTTACATCTTCCCCAGTGGATTCCCAGGGAGGATCTCCGAATGGGAAAATCAAATAAAACATCGAATCGACTCAGCAACTCCCAGATATATCATCTGGTTATTTAACATAGCTAACTGGCAAATCCATGAAATAAATGGAGGTTTATAAAGTTTATAGCTGGGAAAATCATCTGTTTTTATGGGCCTTATTTTCCATGGCTATGTTAGTCATAACCAGAGGGTATCAAGATATGAGGATGTCAAGGTCCACCATTCTGGTCCTGATTTGATCCGAAGCGTTCGTTCTGTCCGGACTGAAAATATGTAGAACGAAGCTCAACACGAATCGTGTTCAAATGTGGTTAAATCATGTCACCCTCTGGTAAATTAACAGTTGGACCCTGAAAATCACCATTTTTTAGAGGAAACTAATCTTCCAACCCCGATGACTACCACGGTCTATGTTAATTTACTGGAGGGTAAATCATGAAAAACCAGTTGTCTTGGGTCCCAATGTTGAGGAGATGCAAATGATCCGTTCATATGGAGGGCCTGGCCTATCTGGGTGTTCATGTTAAACCTCAAACGGATCAAACTCAAATCTATGGTTTCTGTTCAGCTTTGTTATTGATGATCAAGATATGTATATATATATATATGTAAAACTATGTATTTATATATACATATATATATATACACACATACATATGTATACATGTGTATATATATATACATATCAGTTTTGACCCCCATAAAAACTTGTGTTTTCAACTTCCAAAAGCTTTCGTTTCCCTAGAAGGTTGGCCAATGAATTGGGCATGGGATCCCGCTCAACCAAACACTCCTCGAGGACAATGGTGACGCACTGCTGCTGAGCAATCTGCTGAATCTTTTCTCCTGCAACAACTTGAATACTCTCTGGTAGCGATCCGGAAGTAGGAACTGCAAGACAACCCCTTGCAACTGCAATATGATGTAGGTAGACCCAATATGAACCAACTACTTTTTTAACCACGGTTTTTCCGAACCTCCGGTACTTCGAAAAAATGGCGTTCTTGGGCAAATTCAGACACCAATCCTGATTTTTAGATTTTCTACCTATCATAATAATCATACTACTATCATACTATCAACAGCATGGCTTTCCATTGATTTTCGGGGATCCACGGGACGCGGCGCGCTGGGGGTGATGCCAATCCTAAGCAGTGACTCACGACCTGGATTGAAAGATCAACATTCCTCCAAATTCCATGGTTAGTGTAAACCATATAGATGGAGTATAGATGGTTATAACATGTTATAACTAGGATAACACAGAGCAGTGTTCAAAATCCTTTTTGCGGACCTTTTTGCGGCTTGTTCTGCGTCTCAGTCTAGCGGAGCACGCAGATGTGCCAGATACTAGTGGAACCATTTGGCAAGCCCCACTCTTGGTTTTTCCCGCAGTTCACACGGAACTGCACCCACCGCCACTTCCAGCTGTCCAAGATCTTTGTTGACGCTCTTGATCTGCCTTTGTCCCAACTGTTCCGCCATCCATCGATGCACACTTTCCAAGTTATTGGGCGACCATCGAAAAGGCACACTAGGAGACCAGGACTGCCATCGATAATTGTCAGGACGAGTGTTCTTGCTTTTAAAGGAAGGATATGCTACTCTGATCAAGTGATGCATGAAGTGAACAAAACTGCGGCATTCACGAACTAAGTCATACGGCACATGAGTCGGCTGAACATCCCAACGACTATGACAGTCTTGCTTTTGCACACCACGCAACCCTGTAAAAAGTTGGAAAGACCAAAACAACTCATACCATGTGACCCAAACTGCAGGTACTTCTGAGTCTCCCTGGATATGGTGCAACCATTCTCGCACTTTATGAAACTGTGAAAACTGCATTTGAGGAGGAGCATGGATTGCCTGTGCACTCACTACTGACATGGAAATTTCAGTACTCTCATCAATTGGTTCTCTGCCAGCCTTGTCTGGGGGAGCATCTGCTCCCGTAGTTTCTGCTTCCCAGCAAACTGAAAACATCCCTACTTTCACAAAGTGCGCATGCAGATGTTTACATAGGGTTGAGGATAGACTTACTGCTTCAGCCGCAGCACGCTGGGCATTCAACACGTCAGGCGGAAAAAATGACAATGCTTCACATGCCACCCAGTCTGCCCAATCGTTTCCCGCAAAAAGCCACGCTAGAAAATCATCATCCTCTGGCGGCTGTTGATGAGAATCCACCTTATGAATCGAGACTCTAGTGTTATCATGCAATAACGAGGCAAGTGCGCCCCAAAGGTCATGGTCTGGCCGCACTGGCGATGCAACCCATTTCCCTGCCTGTATCAGTTTAAACCTGCGTACAACTGTGGCATTGTCACACCATATCCTCGTCACGCCTGGATTGAGTCGAGCCACATGTGCAGCCTCAACAACCGCCCGCAGTTCAGCACGTAGAATTGTCTGCCATTGTCCTGGCACCGCACCATTGGCCAATGTACGGAACTGTCGATCTTCCGGATGCCCTACGGCCTGCACCAATGACCAGGATGCAAGTCGCGCAACTGGGATGTGTGGTGAAAGGCAGCTACCATCTGTGAACAAATCAATCGCCCCGGGAGAAAAATCCAAGGCCTGTGACACGCCAACATATGATGGCAAACTCTGCAGTACATGCTTAAAGTGGCGCACTTCGGCCGGCTCCACCATCCATCCTCTCTCCGCAGTACACTGTGGCAGGGCATCAACTTGGCTGAGCACTGCGGGAGGGACCTCTTTACGCAAATGTGCAGTCTGTGGGCACTGCCAATGGCGATGGTACAAGGAGTCTGGACTCCCGCAAAATTTACACCGGTCATTGTCCACCTGTTTTGCTGTGTGCAACTGATCGTGTGTAATGAAAGTTCCATTGTGTAAAACTCGCATCAGACCTACTTCGTCTGGAGTCCAACGTGGATCCACCTGTACACTGGTGGGCACGTCAACCAGAGCCAAACCTTGAAAACCTTTTCTGTAAGCATGCTCAGCTCCAACACGGTGGTACCATGCTCTCTTGCAGCGAAACTTCAGTTCTTGGATGGGACAATGCATGATGTCAATCAGTTCCCCATCCTGGTCCAGAAATTTAAAATGCTGCACGTAAGTCCACCCCAAGCTGGTGAGGCGGGCCGCCAAAACACCACAGGGGCCCGGCTTTTTGAGGCGATCCGGTGTCCAACAAGCCAAAGCCAGGGTGGAACTGGCAACACTCAAATCTGAAAACTTTCGAAACTGAAAAAGGGATTGCCAAAGCACAAAGAAACCCGGATCTTGATGTGGTGCTTGTGAGAGTCCAAATTGCAGGCTGGGTGCTGCCCCTGATTTATCCAACCTCAAACCTTTCATTGCACCTGCCCGCAAGTCGGTCAGGATGGCTTCGGCAAGATGCACCGTGCTGGAGGCATGCAATGCTCGAGGCCATGCCACCGCCGTCAGCACACGCAATTTGTGTTTGAGCGGTGCTGGGCTCTGCGCTAAGGAAGGCCACAAAGCTTGCAAGTCGGCACATTTTTGTTTGACGGCACCATTGGTTTGGCGACCACAGTATTGCACATGGGCTCCAAGATCTTTCTGTTGCAGGTGAACTGGCAAGCTCGAGTCTTTAAACTGCTGCCGCCCCTGAGTATCTAATGCCCATGCATAGGTTTTGTTACTGTCACAAGGAACCCCTAAAAAGGTAGTAAAATTCTGGAGAGCCCGAAGTCCATCCAGTGCGTCATCTGTACTATCTGAAAGCAGCTCCAAGTTATCTACATAGGAGAACATGAGAACCCTGGGACACCGGACAGCCATGAAACTGTGAATCACCAAGTTGCATAAGCCCATTGCGGCCACTGAGAGGGCACAGCCTTCTGGAAATCCCGTACCACTTCGAACTCCTTCACTTGGCTGTCCACGGACCCAGAAAAACCTTTTAATGCCAATTACTGCTGCCGCCCAGGCTCGGACGATTTCGGCAGGAACACCTATCTGAATGGCTGCATGAAAAATGGGCTCACGAGGGAGACAATTAAATGCACGAACCAAGTCGGTGACCAAACCACTGCCAGCTGCTCCATCATAAAGGTTTTGTTCTACTACCGATTGAAGGTGATACCACAACTCTGGCGCACTTCTTTTTGGCATATGTCCCAGCATGGACGGTGGGGCAATTTTCTCAAGATGCGACAAGATTTCTTTGGAGCGGATTGTTCCCCAGCACCTATACACCAACGGCAATATTGTAACTGGTCGGAAATCCCCTACAAATTCACTTGTGGCTCGCTTTGCTAGCGAGTGTATTGCCCCATTTAGGGCTTGCAATGGCCATTGGCCTGATCGTTCTGCTTCGTGCAGCAAGGAGAGGAGTCTGATGTGTAAAGCGTCTGGCATGGCCATCAAGTCAGCCTTTGCTACCCCGTCCAATCCCACCGCCGCACGGGACTTTTTGGCGGCGATGGTTGCTTTCCAGGTGTTAAGACTGATTGGTGTGTATGCCATTTCTCCTGCCGGTAATTGGGTCTGAATGAAGTCATGCACTTCAGTCCAGTGACCGGCAGGCAAGTGCAAATGCTTATCCCAAAGGCTCGACCATTCTTGTGTAAAGGCTTGATGAATTTCTGCTACAGAACCTAGCAGGTCAGTGCGTGTGAGTTTCTCACCCGGAGAGAGACCATGTGGCTGCGAGAATTGCACTTGTCGATCATTGATTTGCACTGGGGAATGCACATCATGACTGGACTTCCAAGGCTGCCAATTTTCTTTGGGAGGAGCAGGGTCACAATGCACTGTCCATTGATCGACTACTTCAAGAACGGTCATGTCTTTGTGAGCAACGATCACCTGCACTGGCTCAGGCCCTGGCTTTTTAACATCTCGAAAGATCTGATTTGCATCAGCTTCATATTTCGCAACATTCCGCTCCCGACGGTGTTGAAGGAGCATGTTTTCGCAAGCCTGCAGCTCGATGCGAAAGGCAGCCAAAATGGCCATTGCTAGCTTCCATGCAGGGGCTAATCGTGGAATCAGCAACGGGTCACTTGCATTTTGAGTGGCACGTGTAGGCCACCAGTTAGCAAAGCTGGAGCCAAATCCGGGTGCATTCAAAATGGCCCGCCACAGGCGGAACTTGTGCTCTTGTGCTGAAACTTCTGGGCGGTCATACTTGACATGGTTGACATAAGAGACTAACCTACGCACCTGAGTAAACCACCGTTTATGCCGCAGATTAATCCCCTCAAACGATGGCTGTTCCTCCCCCGGTCGGGAAGGCTTCAAAGGGGCAACATGTTGCGTGGAAAAGGTTCTATCCCTAGTGCATCCCCTACCTTTCTGCTGGGGCAGCAAGCCTGGGCGGCCATGACTGCGTTTCACTCTGTGCACCACCTGCTCAAAGTCACCAAAGATCTTTGCATATTGGGAGGAGGGGTCTTCGGCTTCATTAAATGCTACGCATTCGGCTTGGCGGATAGCCTGAACCTCCTGTTGATCTGTATACACTATGGGCATCGGTTTCACCCATTTTGCTTCTGGAATGTGGGCATCTGGAAAAGCAAGATATGCTGACAAAACTGAGTGATCGGGAAATTGCGCCCAATCATTGGAAACACTCTGAACCAACTGCTGCAGAGAAGGTGACAAAAACAGAAAATCTTTGCGACTAGTGCGCTTGCAAGTCGTGCCTGGTTCGACCTGCCAACGTGCGAATGCAATGTCTTGAATTTCTTTCCAACCCCACGACTCCCACAGTTTGATCTCATGTAAGGAATCATAGTGTTGGTTCCAGTCCCCAGCTATGAACGCAAACTTATTCTTATTAGGAAGGACCTGCTGTGTGATAGCCTGCAGAAGTTCCTCAGTCATTGCTCTAGTTTTGGCACTATCACTCTGGTGGGCATAGCCATACGCCACTGCCCCTTGCAACCACATGTTTTGGACAAAGAAGTGCCCTCCAGTCACTCTGCAAGATTCTACAGCTGTGTCCGACCATCCCTTGGCAATCGGACGGGCCGGACAAGTGGACAAAAATCCGACCCCTGTTTGTTTACCTCCACAAGAATTGGTAGCGTTAGACCTATAGGGGGCTGGGGGTCCATGCATTAATGCAAAAGGGGACTTAGTGCCCCTCAGTTCTTTCTTAAAACGAATTATACCCTGGGAAGTCAAGTGAGTTTCAGAAACCGCCACTATACCTGGACCCAAGGATGCAAAATCGGCTGCCTTGCCGGACATTCCAGTTGGATTGCAAGCAGATATGCGCCACAGCTGAGGACCTGGATTCATTGCTTCCCCAATTCTGTGACATTTCAGCCAAAAGACCAGAACATCATGCAATGTCGGGGTTGGCTCAGTTCTATGGCACCACTGCTTCAACATTCTGGAGAACATTTGTCATTCCTGCCTCAGTTCTATGGCACCACTGCTTCAACATTCTGGAGAACATTTGTCATTCCTGCCTGGGGCGTTTACTCAGCAATGCTTCAATGCGAGCAAACTGATCAGCCAATCTTTCGTCCATGTGATTCTGGATTTTCTGTGTCTGCGATTCCACTTGGCTTCCGATCAACTCCACCTTTCTCTCCAGGGACTGCTGCTGCTTGGTCAATCCCTGCTGCTGCTGCTGCATTTGATGAACCTGATGTTCCAAGGCACTGATCCTACCTTCCTCTTCTGCTAACATGACTGCATCAGTATCTTTCGACTGAACTTGCTGCAGCACCCTTTGTGTGATGGAAGCTTCCAAACTAGAAATCTGTGCTGACGAAAGACCTGTAGGCTGAGCACTAGGCAACCTCGCTGCTGCGACTGCCCAAGGATCCTGCATAGAGTGCTGTTGTGCTACTGCTCCACGTGTGACTGCTGAGGCTTCCGCCTGGCCAAGTGCCAGTGTCTTAGCATCTGTGGGATCAGATTTGACAATCAAAACATCTCCATGTGACAAGGTATACACATAGTGGGCTGGAGGCCCTTCTGCGACTACTTGCCAACGCAACCCAGTCCTATCAGCTGAGGGCCCCATCGGTTGAAGCGGCTTGGCTGACCAACCCCATGTCTCAAACAGCTTGGTCAGAGCTTTGCGAGTGGTGCCATATGGTACCGGGCCCAAGATCCAAGTGGACTTTGCTGTCCCTGCCAAAAACGGCACCTCAGGGCGGATGAAATTGTGCAAAGCTTTAGCCTGCTCAACTGATACCCGCAGGCCAAAGCGATTTGTGACCCTCACAAGGCAACTGGGAATTTCTGCTGTGGACTGTTTGGCAAGGGCTTCTTCATAGGATGATTTAGGCAACCATACAGTATGAAACCTCTCATCTTGCGACCGCCCATCATGGGCTCTAGCTTCGATGTAAAGACCTGTTGTGCCCGACTGAGAATCAACTGCTTGGAATGCCTTCGCTGTCACTCGCATCATGCATGAGAAAATGGCAGCTTCCGAAGGTTTAGAGCGCTTGAAGTGTTGCGTCATCCAATCACGCTGCCAGATGTCCAGGATGGGTTCAGCTGCATCTTCATCGGTTGGGTGCCAACCCTGACAGTGGCAGGCAGGCATTTTGCAAAGACGCAAGCAAGGCAAGATGTCGAGTATGGCCTTGACCGGTCGATCAACAATTTCTTCCCATCCCTTGGGTGCTTGATCACGATACAACAGAATTTTCAACGTCTGAGTCGGCACTGTGTCAACACAGACCGGCTGCTTCGGTGTCAATCTTGTCACTGGAGATGCACCCTTTTGAATCAAAACTGCAGAAAGCAAAACCGGCTCACTGGTTGCAGTGCTTTGGGCTGGAAACCTGATTGTTTCCCCTTGCATTTGAACCTCTTGGGAGAAGGGAGCCAACACCAGGAATGCCAAACTCTCTTTCGATATTGTTTTCTGCTGTGAGTACGGCTGCAACTCTGCCTCCGATAGGACTACAACCCCCTTAGCATTGGGTGAGATGTTACGAGCTGGAATTTGTGCCAAAGGTGCACCACTTTGCTGGCAAAACACTCCCTCAGGAATGGCAACATCTTGCGGAGTAAACACCGCCGATTGCTGTGGCCTACTTGTTTTCTTCTTGGTGCCAAATTTGTTGTCCTTGCCGGTGCGTGATTTCACTACGTGGCTAAATTCATCTTCCCAAATCAGGCGAATTTTGGGTGTATGCTCATTAGCCAGTGCCTTCAAAGCAGCCCATGGTCTGGCCGATCTCAAGGCTTGAGTCACCGGCTGCTGTCCCAACTGTTGCAATACTGACTTAGTGCGTTCAAGAACTCGATTTGTGAAAACTCCATGCTCTCTCAACATTGTGGCCACCGCTGTTTCCAGTTCTGATTGACCACCCAATACAAATCTTTGAGTATGGCATTTAAGGGCACTCCACAAATGATCATACCAGAAATTCATACGGTGGCAAATGGCAGTGTGTTCAGTCATGGCATGTGGTGATTGCAAACCAAGCGCCCCAAGGAGCCATGCGATAACCTGAAAACCACAATCCTCTCGAAAACATGTGGGCAGGTCCACTGTTGAGGCTGGACTCCAAACCACTGCACTGCTTGCAATCTGATTCCAGAGTCGAAAACCCTCCGGGCAAGACGAAATTTCAACTGCATGATCTGCGGGAGTTGCCAACAAAGGAAGCCAATGGTTGTTATGCCATACTGCAGTGATAGTCGGGCATGTCACAAAAGCCAGTCTTTCACCCCATGCTAGCCGATCACTACTCCCTTCCTCCCCCCAGATCAACGGTTGTTGATACTCACAGTGGTGCTGCTGGGCCATGCGTTGCAGATAGTAGGTCATCTCATCATCAGCAACTGCCCCTGCCTGGTGGAACAATGCAATAGTTCGATTACACTGTTCCAGTGCGCAGGTGCGCAATGTTAACTGTGCAGCCAACAATTGTGGATCTTGACCTGTGGCGATCAGTCGATGCAGTCCATGCTGGGTACTCGGCTTCAATGGTCTCCCCAACAAGTCATAGACGTCGGCATTCCTTCCCAAGACTGAGAAAACCACTTCGTTCACCTGACAAGCTGCATCACGGATGGGAAGTACATGGTACGTCATGTCATCAAAGTCCAAAAGGATGGTATGCCCTGCATTAATTGCATTGGCCAACAACGCAACTTCATCGGCTTCGCCAGAACTCTGAGCATGGTGATTGGCTATTGTTCCCCCTGCGGAGGGCTGTGTGGACAATCCATGGGAGGGGCCCCCAGTGTTGGAAACTGAGGGCATGGCATGAACGCGGGTTGGGGTGGGGACATCATCAATCATCTCCGTCACCAAGGCATGATTCCTGGACTCATCATCATTGTTCAATACCGCCTCAAAGACTACTTTCGGCTGCAATGTGTTGGTGCTCGGAGACCTGACTTGCAATTGGGACTGAACCGGTGCACTGATTTCTTTGTCGGCTCTGACTCCTGTAGCTATCTTGCCATGATCTCCTGGGCATGTGGCAATCACACTGTCTGCTTTGGGCACATGGGAGGGACCCAAGGTGTTGGAAACCAAGGGCATGGCCTGAAAGAGGGGTAGGGCGGGTGCCTCAAGCTCATCTCGCACACCAGAGCCTCCATGGACTGTGCTGTTCTTGTCATCCATGTGATCTACTTGAACCCCGCCAAGCAACATGATGAACTCTGAAACGCTTTCACCATGCATGAGCAAATGTTGCCAAAACAATGCACGCCAGTTTGCAGCGGTTCCGTAGGACATGGCTTTCAGTGGTATTTGTAATGCAACATGAGTGACCCATGCAAACGTTTGGAATCCACAATCCTCTGGAAATTCGCTTGGCAGATCATATGGAACCTGGACCTGAAAGTCTGCGGAAGCTACTGTGGGAAACATCAAAGGCCAAATGTCAACTCCAGCCACGGTTGTCTGGACAAAGTAGCCTTCAGGTGTTTGAGAAATCACCATCGGGATCCAATGGTAATTGTGCCACACTGCCGAAACAACTGTCCCTGAAATTCCCAATGCTTCAGTCATCCATGCCTCAGCCAAGGTGGTAATGTCAGCAAGATCGGAGAGGATCAGTGGAGCAACAACCCCAAGACTTCCTTGCTTTTTCAGCCCTTGCAGATAAAAACTCATTTCGTCGGTGGCAACCGCTCCCAATTGGCGAAACAGGGCATCTTTTCGACTCAACTGAACCAAATCAGCATTACGAAACTGGAGCGACTGCATCGGCGCTTTAATGTCAGTTCCCATCGCAAGGAGTTTGTGGCCCTCCAAAGAATCGGCATGAGTGAGTGCATTACCGAGGCAATCAATAATTTGCACCTCATGTCCTGTCAGCCTCTGTACTGCCAGTTGGAGGTCAGCTGCTGTCTGACCTGCGCCAATTGAGATTGAGTGATATGTTTGTGTGTCAAGATCCAAGATTGCAACTTTCCCTGATAAAATGGACTGTGCAAGGTTTTGGTCACATTGCTTTGGATGGCTGTCTATGATTTGCTGGGGCTCCCGTGCAGGTTGTACCTCCGCATTCTGAGTGCTGTCAATCTGCGCTGTGTGCTTCGGAAAAGCAAGCAACCCCCCCACTGCGGAGAACCCCGAAACTGTACCCTGATCATTAAGGTCTCGATCCATAGGGGAGGGACCTGAGGTGTTGGAAACCCCAGGCATGGCCTGAAAGAGGGGTCGGGCGGGACATTGCCTCTTCGGAGCACTGGATGCAAACTCATGGGAGGTTTCCCTCTGCTTGAAACCCTTGACCGTGGATGAGGTCTTTCCATCTATGCAACCTGTGTCACTGATCTGCACATACCCTGAATCACTTGCAGATAGGCTGTCTACTTCGCTGAACTTGCCTTGCATTTGATTTGGTGCAATCGGTCTGTGTGTCCTATTCAGGAACTCCCCAGCAGTGGAAACCTGAGAAGGCTTCAGGGAACTCTGCATCCTTGGAAAACTGAATCCCCCAGTGGTCGGATGAATTGTGGCTGTCATCACAGGCCTGGAAGGACCTACACTGGGCTGATTTAGCATGTCATCTGGCAATTTGACCAAGTGAGAGTTCTCACAATCGGGCTCTGGATCTTTGGCAATCTGCTCACTCATGTGTTCGGCCAATGGCCTCCCCTGCCCTTCATTGTCAGTGGCAACGCTATCTTTCCGGGTCGGTCCAACTGCAGCTGATTCAGGGACAGACACTGCAGGCTTGACGGATGCATTCTCCACTGGCTCGGATGCAAAGGTCCCTGCCTTGGATGCACCAAACCCTGTCACTGTTGCATGGTTCTCATTCGCTTTGCTTTGATCAGCGTCAGAATTGGCCTGTGCAGGCTCTGCTGGCATCCTGTGCGTCGACAGCTGTTCCCCGGGGACTGCTTGATTTGTCTCCTGCTTGGAATTGTGATGGGTAGTATCTTTGGGGGTGTCCTTTGGTGCCAATAATTCCTCCACCGTTTCTTGAAACATGGTCATGGCAACGGTCGGAGGAACCTGAAACCATTGATCTCGAAGGGAAAACAGGTCTTTGCAAACACATGCCAAAATCTGACGTGGTGTGAATCCGATCAGGCCAGCATACTTCATATCAGACAGGTGATTCCGAAGGTGTGAGAAAATCCATGCAGCTTGAAGTGGGGATGCAATCTGGCCTAAACCCGCCATCAACAATCTTTGAGGAGAATCCCACCCTGCCTTCATTGGGTATCCCAAAAGGAGTGCCATTTCTCTGGGTGAAATGTGACGCAAATCATGATCTGAAGATCTGGCTGCAACTCTGACCAACGCCCCAAACAAACCTGAACTTTTCAACCGTTGCAAACTGAAGGCTGGACGGCAACCACAGGCACACGGCTGTCCCTGATTTCCCCAACTATGCAATGCAGTGTTGAGTGGACCATTTGGATTCACCATCTGAGATTCAATCCCCTTACCATAGTTATGGAACAATTCACTCTCATGCGGTGTGAGCATCAGTTGACGGAATTCCAGCTCGGAAACTGGCAGGAAGTCAGGAAAAAGACCTTTGATCGTGGGCATTTGAGACAATTTGGGAAACGGTTGCAAAACCACCTTTCCATAGTGACCCCTGGACATGATTTGCCACCAACGACGTCTCTTTGATGGCCAGATGTCACCTAGCTCCAAAACAACTTCGGACTTGTCACCTGCAACCATGCGCAAGTGATGATCAACACACCGCTGCACAAAAGGGGATGTTGACGCTTCTGTGACGCACTCAGTGACAATGAAATCCATTTGTAATAAGAACCCTGCATACAGCCCAAATGGCAGCGTAGCAGAACGCTCATCCATCCCTTGTTGGTTGTCTCCTGCTCTGGAGAAGGGCTGACAACTGAACCCAAATGCCAGTGCCGCTGCATTGGGAGCAGCTTTATGCAACTGAGCAACAGTGCTCAAATGACAGATATCCCCCTCAATGTTTGGAACCTTGAAGTGTGTCTTCATGTGTTTGCAAAAACTGGACATGAGTTCGTTTTGAGCTTTGACATCCCAACCCGCATAAGACGCACCAAGTCCAATTCCTCCAATACCACTACAAGTTTCAACCAGTTGCAGCAAATGGGAAGAGTCTCTGGGACCAAACTGCAGCAACTCAGATTTGTCATCTAATCGGAGCACTGGACCTCGATAAAAGGATACCAACCCATTGAGTACAGTCACTGTTGTAGTCCCCTCGGCTAACTCTGCATGAAGATGAAAGCTTTGAGAAGAAATCTGAGACCTACAAAGATGGCCAGCATTGCCATTGGTGTCAGTCATGCACACCCTAGCAACTACATTGGTTCGTGTGCTCATGTTTGCACATCTCATCAGGTTTTCCTCGTAGATCGGCAAGCCTTTCCAGTTTCCACTGTCATGTACTTTCACTGCAAAATCCATGGGGGCAAACAAAGATGGAGCGACTAGTTCAGGCTTTCGTTGAAACCGGCATGCCTGGCTGGTAGGCACCTGAACCGAAACCTGTGTTCAAAATCCCTCATTCCATTTAATCCTGGTTGGTTTGCGGGGAATCCCCGTTCTTGGATTATTGTAATCCCCAATATATGAAGGCTAGTTTTTAATCCCGAACTCATCAACAGGGGCTTAACAGCCACTGCTCATATACCCTCTGGCAATTTAACATAGCTATTGAAAATAGCAATTTTCAGTTGATGTTCCCATTAAAAATGGTGATGTTCCATAGTTGTTAGCCATTTATAGTTGATTTTCCCACAAACAATGGTGATTTTCCATCGTTTTTTTCTATGTTTACCAGGCCGGGTAAACACCATAAGTTGGGATATCCCAACTCCATGCTGTCCATGGTGCAACCGTTGCAACCCATGGGATTTCGTACGCTGTCCTGAGAGCTGCACCTCCGCGTCGAACTCGACCAAGGTCTCGATACACATCTGCTGTAGCTCCTAAGCGCCGGGACATGATTTGTGATTCTCCCGTGGTTTTGGAGAGGATGGATGGGATTCAATTCTGACAACATGCTGTTTAACTGTTTATTTATAAATCGATGTTTTGGGATAATATATATATATATATAAAAGGTAAGACTTGATTTGTTGGCTGGGGTTTTCTGGTGTTTGTTTAAAGCTTGAAATATCAAGTAACTGTTTACCTTTGACGAGGCAAACAGTGCTACATTGAGACAATGGGGATCAACAGACCAACAGATTTGTTGGGTCCTTGCGACTGAACTTTCCAAATTTGTGGGTCAAACATGTTTTGAGCTATGGCCATTTACCAAGACTCTTAGATTACACTAAGACTATATTAACATAATATATATATATATATATAAATTGTACATGTATATATATATAGATATATAAACATTTAACTATATTGACGTGCGGGATAAATCCATCTCCTAAGATACAAACGTCTGTCGCGATCATCATCATTGCCATCATCATCATGATCACTCCGAGCAGAATAGATAATTATCATTATCCAATATTATTCATACCTACCCATGGGGGTTTGTTAAAATGGTGGGTCACCAAAACCATAGGGTTCAATACTAAAATGGTATATAACTATATATATATATATTATAATGACTCTGGAGTTGGGGATACCCCCCATTTTAGGAAACCTCCATATGTTGAACCATCAAAGCAAGTAAAAGTTGAAACCAGATTTCTGACTATTTACGCAACTGGCAGGAATCATGAGCCTTGGCTCTCATGGAGTGAGACTCAAACACTCGATCAGTAAAGCAGCTTTTCAAGCCATGGAGTCTTGCACCATCTGCCCTATCCCCATACAGTGCATCCGACTCCGACTCGTCAGCAACCTTACTAAACCTACCCATATGCTCTATGTATGGTATATTTACCCACATTTGCCCTAATAATCACCCAGTCATGTAGGTAAATATACCATACATGGAGCATATGGGATACTAAACCGCTTACGATGAGGTGGGGCGAAATCCACCACATTCCCGTGGTGACTTGCTGCCGTCGTCATGGGCCGAGGGTCATCCAACAAATGGGATGCTGCTGCTACTGCAACTTTGGGCCCAAACAAGCGCACCTGACACACGACGCAGCAGAACGCAGCGGAACGCAGGTGGTGAGTTACCACAGTTAGGACAAGACAAAGGTAGACAAAGCGATCCAGAACTTGCAGTACTCATAGTATAGTCAGCCCGCCCCGTTGAATGATCATATCGAAATATGTCGTCATTCTTGTGGCAACGGAGCAACCAGCCCAGTATCGGGGGTAATCCCGAAAGGTCGGGGCCTTTTTGGTGTTGGGTTTGCCCAATTTCGACCAAACATATGTGGATTCAACCTCCATAAATTCATCCAGTGAACTTACTGAAATTTCAACCAACTTAGCTGGCGGTATACCTACCCCTCTGAAAAATATGAGTCAGTTGGGATGATGACATTCCCATTAAATGGGAAACCACCAACCAACTTAGCGTTTCGGATTGGGGCCCCGGGCCCCCCCCGCATCCCATCCAACCTCCTTGCTAGTTCTCTCGATGTGCACTCGACAGTTGCTCAGTTGCTGAATCCGCTGAACCACAGAGCCTGGGAGATTCTGCCATCGCAAAAGAGGTCAAAGAAATATCGGGGATATACCATGATATACCTGTTTTCGCTCCGTTTATACCCAGAAAAATGATGTCTTACCCCAAATCTTCCATCCTTTTGCCAGAGGTCTTTGGAGGGTCTAGTCGGTGGGATAACCAAGCGGGATATAGATACGAATACTTGGGGATGTATAAACACTCACAACATGTTGGACAAAGGTTCTAGAGTTCTAGTGGCGGATTTGCAATATCAACATTTTTTCCGTCTACAACTCCCGAATTGAGAACATCAAGCCAGATTATTACAGTATAAGTATAGAACATGTCCGGGAATGTTGGAAACAAGTTTTTCTTTTTATTTGAAATGAATTGCCGCCCAATTCACCAAAAAAACGAAATAAGCAAGGTCCAGCGCACTTTTCCCTCTCCAGTCCCAAGTTGGGCGTGGGTGTTCTCATGATTTCGGGCGTTGCACATATGCATGGTGATGCGACTAGTGACTAGTGTGGATATTTCATGATTCCCACCATCCAATGAATTTCCATGATCAGAGCCAACCTCAAGCCTTAAGAAATACTTTAACAAGAGTCAAGAGAACGAAGGTTTACGGCGATGTCAAGCAACCCCTGTCTCTAAAGCCATTCCACTGATGGAGCTGCAAGCTATAAGCGGGTATAGAGGATGAACAGGATCCTGACTTAGAGGAACATGAACATACTTGTGGCAGTTCCGCTGAATAAACAGGTACATGTCCATAATCATGCCTGTCATCTTCTATTTTTTTGGGTTAATTACCATGCTCATATCCATAAAGCTAACTCGAACTACACCCCAAGGTGCATCCTTCAAGGTGCAGTGCGCATTTTCGTGCATGTTCTGAAGCAGCGAATTTTCATCTCCACACTTCTGAAGAAAAGCGAACGACTTGACCGGCCGGTCATGTTTCTCACCGGCCAAAACATGGAAACGCAAACATGAAACTGGTTTCTCTGGACAATTGGCTTCAAACATGAGACCAAAAGAACTCCTAAATGGCGTAGTTAACTAGCATTCTAGTAATCTCCAAAAGATACCAAGAGGATCTTCTGTGGTTTTGGGAGTTCATTGATATACCCAGCAATCTCAGACAGCGAACATGGATGAACGTGGCCCATTTCGTTTGATCTCGAACTATCGGGGATTGTCCAGCCCGCCATGTTTGACTAAGGTATAGTAAAACCAACATCGCTATTGAAAATGGTCATTTATATTTATAGTTGATTTACCTATTGAAAGTAGTGATTTTCCATAGTCATGTTACTTTACCAGAGGGTATATACTAGTATAAACTAGCACCAGATAAACTCCGCAATGAAAAACGCACCATAATATTTAGCAGCTAAATCATCTACGAATAGGCCATCTTCCATGCTGCAAGGTGAGGCCCGGCGCCCCATTTATGAGTTGGCTTTTTTTTTAGCCACTAACTGATACATCCCCCATAAACATCCATAAAGTCTAGTTCAACTTAAGTTAAACGTGGCTCTCCAATCCACTTTGCCAATTGCTATCAATCAACTATCAGCTCAAAATCCGAGTGACGCTTCCAGTTTTTTCTTGATGAAATGATGAAATCACCATTTGTTTCATCATAAATCAGCTCTAAATCACATTTTTTCTTGGTGAAATCGCAATTTTCCCGTATTTTTCCCACGGTTTCTAGCTCTAACCCCGGACCTTCGTCAAATCCAAGGTGCAGCTGGCATCCGACATGCGCGTGCGCATCAGCTCCGCCCAAGCCTCGGCTCCGGGGGACGACAAAAACGGATGCCGAAAAGTGATGGCCCAACGAAGATGATTAGAAAATGATGGGAACATGATGGGATAACAATTATAAATGGAATGGATAGTTCCTGTAACTACTTGGTTATGTATCATAAGATAAGCCACTTATACCTCCCATATGCTTCGTGTATGGAATATTTACCCACATGACTGGGCCATTTTGGAGGGAAATGTTGGTAATTGTTTCATCACCATGGAGCATGTGGGACGGTTAATATATATATATATAGGCTATATATAACTGTATAATCAAACAACATGGGAATATACTAGAATAACCGAAGAATGAATGAGATATGGTGGGACATTAAATCATGTGAGTCAATAAGACTATGGTAGAAAGTCATAGAATAGGAATTGTCTAAGTTCATGATCCTCTGGTAATTTGCTACATAACTATGGAAGCCGTGACCATATATATATATATATATACTAAAAACCATAGTTCTAGGGGATATTCCATATAGTTATGAAACAAATCACCAGAGGCTAAGCATCAAAACTTTTTGGGCATTCAAGGAACAACCATGGGGATCAATGGCATAACCTCTTCCCAGAATAGATTCCCCAGTCATGATGGATTTCCCATTGGGAAAGAACAAAAAAAATCTTCAGCAAATCCAAGTTTTACGATTTGAAAGAAGTGATATCGGAAAATGGCAATGGAATGAGATTGAACTTCAGTGAGATTCATGTGGTCGTAGCAAGGACATGAATTTCATGTACCGTACGTACCAGCTCGTTGGTTTCAGGGCAAACAGTTGAACCCACCACATTGGAAAACCCTGGGAAACCAGTGTTTGTTTCTCCCAATCCGGTGTAGATTCTTCCAATCCATTGAACAAATGGTGAGAAGCACAAAATAGCGCAATTCAAATATTATATATACGGTATATAGATTTTAAAATAAACCCAACCAACCAAACGAAATAAAACATGTTTCTCAGGGGCTTCGAAGCTGTTTCACTGCAGGTGCCAAAGCCTTTGTCCTTTTCGAAAAGTTGGTCTAACTTCTGGTGGTTATCTTGCATTTGCTTAAGGGGTCCCCCAAAATAAACATACTTGAATTAGATTCCCCAACAAAGGGTTGATTTCCCATTGGAAAGAAAACATCTTCAGCTCCAAGTTATGTATTGCCAAAACAAAACCAAGAAGCAAATCAGACAGAAATGGGCCATAAAGACCTGGCTTGTTGGTTGTTGGGCTACTGTTTGAGTTGCTGAGAATGCCGAGCCGGCTGCTGTTTGCCCCGTTTGATCAACCATGGGGAATCGGTCCCATCCTATCCAGGCCACTGCGTTGCGAATTGTCTTTCGCGGACCTCCCAAGCATTCCTGGTGAAGCACCCTCTGGGTGCCACTTCCAAAAGGAATGCAGGGAAGTGTCCCATGGACTTGAAACATATACAGAATTAAGGTGAATTGGGAATGAATCAAAACACATTTACTATGTAATGAAACATTTTTGGATATATATATATATAAAATACGGCAAATGCCTGGGTTTTGCCCGAACCCGCAATGACGACGGGAGACGCATCATCATCATCATCATCCTCATCATCATCATCATCAACATCATGTTCATCAACATAATAATCATCATCAACAACATCATCAAACCCTTATTGACGATCTTCAATGAATGTAGAAGTGTAAAAGGGGTGGGAGAATTAAACCCTTATTGGAGATCTTCAATGAATGTAGAAGTTTAAAAGGGGTGGGAGAATTAAACCCTTATTGACGATCTTCAATGAATGTAGAAGTTTAACGGGGGTGGGAGAATTAAACCCTTATTGAAGATCTTCAATGAATGTAGAAGTTTAACGGGGGTGGGAGAATTAAACCCTTATTGAAGATCTTCAATGAATGTAGAAGTTTAACGGGGGTGGGAGAATTAAACCCTTTTTGAAGATCTTCAATGAATGTAGAAGTTTAACGGGGGTGGGAGAATTAAACCCTTATTGGAGATTTTCAATGAATGTAGAAGTTTAACGGGGGTGGGAGAATTAAACCCTTATCGAAGATCTTCAATGAATGTAGAAGTTTAACGACGGTGGGAGAATTAAACCCTTATTGAAGATCTTCAATGAATGTAGACGTTTAACGGGGGTGGGAGAATTAAACCCTTATTGAAGATCTTCAATGAATGTAGAAGTTTAACGGGGGTGGGAGGATTAAACCCTTATTGAAGATCTTCAATGAATGTAGAATTTTGAAAGGGGTGGGAGAATTAAACCCTTATTGAAGATCTTCAATGAATGTAGAAGTTTAACGGGGGTGGGAGAATTAAACCCTTATTGAAGATCTTCAATGAATGTAGAAGTTTAATGGGGGTGGGAGTTTAATATTCCCTAATATCTTTGTTGATCTTCCCAATTGAATGTAAAGTTTAACGGGGGTGGGAGTTTGATATTCCCTAATACCGTTTTTGTTTTACCCCTAGGAATTTCGGGTGTTTTGTCTTTTTTTTGTTTAATATAGTCCCTAGTACCTTTGTTGTTTTCCCCATAGGAATTTAAGGTTTAACGGGGGTGGGAGTTTAATATTCCCTGATATCTTTGTTGATCTTCCTAATTGAATGTTAAGTTTCACGATTTGAGAGTTTAACATTTCCTAGTACCTTTGTTGTTTTTCGCATAGGAATTTCAAATGTTATGCCGTGTTTGTTTTTCCCATAGGAATTTCGGGTGTTTTCACCTTGTTTGTTTAATAGTCCCTAGTACCTTTGTTATTTTCCCCATAGGAATTACGGTAATTTGCAACATCATTTATTTGTGAATGGGAAACCTCTACGCTGCAACGCCTGGGCAAAACCCAGGCGTTGCGCGTATAAATAAATCAATATATATATATATTGTAAATTATTACATACTGCATATACAATGTGCGTATGTATAATTACCTTCTGGTAAATTCACATAGACCTTGAAATAAACAATGTTCAGTGGAAAATAAACTTACTTCCAACCCCTTATATATCCACATATATATAATATAATATAATATAATATAATATGATATGATATAAAATAATATGATATGATATAATATAATATATCTATATATTAATTTACTGGAGGGTATATCGTTGTTTTTTGTGCAAAACTGGTTTCAACATCTTTCAAGTACAAAGACCTTTCCCTTGCCCCTGCACCGCCCTGGATGTACAAACAATGTTGATACCCTCTGGTGTGATTAAACGTGGTTGGAAAATCCCCTATAAACAGAGGCTTTAAATGGGCAAATAGAAACACATGATCACATGTATCAATGGTGGAATTTCAATTGCCACCTTTAATTACACCGGAGGCTTTGCATTGTGTTTGTTTCAGTTTTTGCAGCAAATGTTGGAATGGAAAGCCGAAACAACCGCCCATGATAGTTACAATATGGTACTGAATACGGGTTGCCTTTGGTTCAAATCCTATTGCTGAGAGTCAAATGCCTACAGATTTCTGAAGTCTCCATGGTTCAGGCTTAATTTCCTAGCACATCCTGCAAACAAAAAGGTATTCTCAGAGCTATAAACCCATTTTTTCAAACATTACATTAACAAAAACAAGTAAACTCCAGGAAAATCACATACAATTGCATAAAACCAACCAAAACCTCAGATAATTCACAACACAATCCAGTAAACTCAAATAGATTCAAAAAAAAACAGCTATCACATCCATCAAACACATGACGTGCCCTTAAAAAACCACCTTCAAAAGTGCTCGTCGTGGTGGAACCACTCTTCGCACCAAGAGTCCAACTGTCTTTGCACCTCAGCCACCTGCGCTTCTGAGCCAGCCACCCGCAGAACGCCTTTCGCAGTTTTGGATGTTTTGGCACTTTTCAGGGCATCTTAGTGAGGCATCTAGCAGATATGGCCCTAAATACCAGTTAAAAGTACAAAGAAAAATCCATTTATGGCATGTAGACTAGTGTATCATCCCATTTAAAACAAGTTATAACTCAAAAATGGCAATAACTCAAACAGATACGAAGATGACGAACAAATAAGGATATCATGGTTGATCAACTAGCAGATGCCTAATAGGGATATCAAATGGTATCAAATGGGAATTTGAATGGATTTGACATTTACCATCTTACGTATCAAATAAAACATCAATTTAACAAATAACATGGATAGCTATTTGATATGGATTTATAGTTGATATATGTTGATATGCAAAGTATCAGGAAGTTGGTGAACATAAACTAGGCTGGCTAACATGACTAGGTTTCTGTTCGTAAACATAGCTATAAGCCAACTTTAAGATTTATGGTGGATATATAGGTATGGAAGTAGCGATATTGGGTAGCATAAACCAACAAATAGACTTATGATGACATATCCACAATGTGGGTTTAAACTTAAACAACACTTATCTGGGGATTTGTTCGTAATTAACTAGTCACATATACTCCAAGTATTTCCACTTAGTAAGTATAACAACTATGTCATATCTGAGTATTGTTATTTGATGGTACAGTCTGATAATCGAATCTATAACATGCATACATATAATCTACATCATGTTTTTTTCAACTTACAAAGTAGGATAATTATAGGTTATCTATCGGGTAACATATACATGTTATGGTTTATATACTGTATTGTGATTTGGGTTATATATTATGGATTGATCGTAGTTTCCTAACAAGAGCCCAACTTATCCAAAATTATATAGACCATTTCAGTATTGAAATCCATGGCTTTGGGGTACCGCCATTTTCGGAAACCGCCACGTGTCCCAAACATGCGTAAACCCCATAACTTTGGTGTTCCATCTTAAGTCTAGGAAATGTAAACTGCTACTTTTAGAATCTTATGGAATTTTGTTAGCCAACAATGGGGATTGAACCAGCAAACATGTGTGATCATTTTTGGGGGCTTCTACTTCGAAACGGCGGATGCCAGGGTTTCCCCATCGGTCAAATCTGCCATACGTCTTGATTGTCGTTGTATGATGTTATGTGATTCAACGGGAGTTAAACGTGTTCGCTGCAAAGCCTAGGTTTGCCCGCGGCGAATCCCGCATATCCTTTGACATCCTCAAATCCCTGCGTAGGGATGATTTGTTTACTTTCCCAAAAAAGAAACCCTAAAACCCTAAAACCTAAAACCCTAAACCCTGAAAACTTAAAGTGAAAATCACTGCGTATAGCCACTGTTTTCAATTCATCCTCTGGTGACAAGTATATCATGAATCATACTGTTTGGATGTGTTGTTTGAGTGTGGGCGAACCCGGGGTTTGGAGAGAACGTGTTGTACATGTTGTGGTCCTGGTGCTGGTGTTGTTTTATTTGTTTGCTTTCCTCTTTTGTGTTTATTTTTAATTTTCGAGGTATTGTCTTCTTTATTTACTCAAGCGTTTGGATGTGTAGCCAATTTTTTTTGGGGTAGTCGATATGCAAACATCATTTGATGTGATGTTAAATGGAGGTTACGCAAAATATCTCCAACTTGGCTTGGGCGATGTTTATTTAAGGAAATACGTTGGTTAACCTTAGGTGCACTCCCAACAACTGAGTCTTTAGATGGACATGAGCACACTCAGTGCGCCGAATTGCAGAAACTTTGACCCATTTAACAGTTACTTCTACCAAAGGTCTACCTACCTAGCACACATGAAGCAACAGACATGCTGGAGTTCACAACATGCAGATGCGGAGGATGTACTGAACCATCAAAACCTGCCACGAAAGGAGCTGCTTCGCAAGATGTACAGAATACAGGTGTAAAATGATAAACCAGGCTTTATTAAAAAAGTGAGAGCACATTAGGTTGCGGAATCATAGTAAATATATTTCAATAGGTTTCATTTCATGTGTTTTGATATGTGTTGGCTTCTTAAAGATAAGATATGTTTTTGTTGGTTTCTCAAAGATAAGACCGTGACCAAGTTTTACACAGGTGTAAGCCGCACTTTGATAAGCAAAATAATTCAAGCCGCTATAACCCAGCCTGCAACTGGCCTTGGGGTGAAATCTGTTCTTGCGATCGTTACAAACCACAACCCTGTTTTTGCAAAACGGCCGCTACCCACAACTATCACTTACCATCTGGTCATTTAACATAGCCATGGAAAATCCCTTATAATGGAGGTTTATAGCTGGGAAAATCATCTATAAATGGGCCATATTTTCCATGGCTATGTTAAATAACCAGAAGGTAAATGGAATGGTTAGAGATCAATGACAACATCTGTGGTATCCCACAAGATCCACAAGCCTCTACTTCGGTCAAATTTCAGCTGCGCACGACTGCTCATCTGGATTTCCTGGGGACCCAATGGGGGAATGTGGGGTTCGGTTTTTTTGTCATGGGCATTCAGCCTTTCTGACCACCTTAAGTAGATATAATTACAATAGCTAGGCTGAATTTATTCCCAAAGCTCTTGAAGGGCAAGTGAATGTGGGCATAGCTGGCAAAGCTGAATCAGGGCTGCACCAATCATGTCTTTCGTCCGGAAAAAAAACAAACACCTGTATGTCTTCTGCTGGGTGCAAACGATTCAGCTGTCACCAGCTATAGAGAGGTTTACGCAGAGAAACGGTTTAAATCCCATTCTTCTGTTGCCTAGCCTAATCTCACTGATCTCCTGATTGTAAACTGTGTGTGACCATTCTTAAGTCAAGACAGTGTTTTAGAGCAGTTTGTTTCATTCACATTCTTGGAACTTCAAACTCCAGAGTTTTGTCAGCCGCTTTGGGATGCAGTTGAAGGCATAAATGCTTCTGAACAGCTTTTGTTCTTTCTGGATATGTCATCTTTTCCATTAAGATTCACCAATCCAATTCCGATAATTCCAGTGACTTACCCTGCAGCTAATCCCATTGACATCAGTATCACTAGGGATGTTCCCGTTACTTTCTGACAGCTAAGGCAGCTAAGGAGCAACATAAACTTGAAACAACGACAACAACATCAATGATCATCATCATCATCATCATCATCAAAATCGAAATTAAATGAGCAGTGTTTTTTCGGCCTACGCCGTGTGGAAGGTAGCCTACGCGGATGCACATGGAGCAGCCAGCTGCTTGCAGCTCAGCCTACGCAATCGGAAAGTGCCTACGCGAAGAGCGTACGCCAGCTACGCTGCACTGCAAAACACACAACATCAGCCTACGCAACATATCATGCAGTTCCCTTTTACCATCGTTTACCTAGATTTCATGATCTAAAAAAAACGATGCTCAAATATTCATAGAAACCTTTGTGAAGCGTCACCCTCTCCCTTTTACGGGTTACCTGACCCCCCACCCCATGGAAGCGTCTTTCAATCGTCGACGTCCGCGCCGGCAGAAGGACGCGTGGAGTTCCTGAGCACGGGCGTCACGGGCCCCTTGGGAGTTCAAGCCCGAAGTCTTAGGTACCATGGTACCATGGAAGGTTTAAAATTTTAAAGGGATTTTAACGGGATCGGGACCTGGTTGGTGGTTTTAACCATCTTGAAAAATATTATAGTCAATGGGAAGGATTATCAAATGTATTATGGAAAATAAAACATGTTTGAAACCACCATTTAATAGGGGTTTAACCGGATTGTATAATCCCATCCTCCGTTTTTGAATTATCCCTGAAACCATGCTTAGGGGATTCAAGGAGGTGAAAACATGTGTTTGGCACAAAGAGGGCCAATCAAGCGATAAACCGGGAACCAACCGGCTATACTTGGAATTTCACATTCGAGTATTCAGCTATATTCAACCGAGACATCAGAGGAATGTGACAAAACTATAAAAAATTGATTTTCCACCACGATGGCTAGCAAGCAACGTGGAAAATGGGATTATTGCAGTCGGGGTGGTGTTCGTGCAAGTACTTGCCTCTGGGGGATTTACCTGATGTATAGTATGCACGAATGTTCTACAAGTCTACAACAAATTCAACTATCTGTGATGTCAGACTATCAGTTCCATGATGCTTTGGCATAATCTCCTCAGGTCCCTGTTCAAAATCTATCCACTGGGATTTTGCTGAGGTCCAGCGTATATTGAATTTTGCGTTTTTTAGGTCTCACCACGCTTCTGGTTATCTAATCGTTTCGTTCTGGGCATTTATCTGCTCGCACTCTCACCCCGGAAATTCAATGGGAAGCCTCATTCCCAGCCCCACCCCCCCACCAAGTATCAAAATTCACAAAACGTAGGGGGGGATAGGGGGGGACCTCAAAAATGTAACTTACACTGTTTGGAGGTCCTGAAAACTAGGGGGGCCCCCTGGCCTCAAAAAATGTCAGTCTCACTTTCCTCTCTAAAATTGTGTGCCTCCCCCATTTCTTTGACATGTTTTGGACCCCAAAAGAGGCAGAAATGGGGACCTGGTCATCCCGAAAAAAAAGGAAAACCACCGAGTGACAGGATCCAATCGGAGTTCAGCGAAATAGCTGCCATGTCCAGAGGTTTCGCCCCAGTAACGCCCTCCGTTCGTCATGGCGTAACGCAACGTGAACGCCCCGTAAAACAGCTGCCCAAAGGCTGCAGATGCGGCCCGATGCGGTGATAAAGACCCAGGGAAAAGACGGAGGGAAGTGGGAAGTAATGACGGAGGGATGTAATGCAATGGACATATCTATCAATATCTATATCAACATCACACAAACATGCACAAAAGGAGAAACTTACATGAACTATCATCAAAGTTGCCCAATTTTGAGATCTAACTGCGTAACCAGCCCACCTTAAGGATGATCTTGGGCGGTTCAATGGGTGGATCAATGATCAACCTTCATGGCCGCTGGGTGGTCGTCCTGGTATGAGTAAGTCCCCCGACTCGTGGCTTATCCGCCAAATGGGTTGTAACTTGACCTTTGAAGGGTTCATCTTCAGTAATCCTTATACTGTGAGACTATAATGGCTAGAACAAATGTAAGAAAAGAAGGATCCATCTTCAAATGAGTTGGAAAAAAACTCCGAAACTCAGACAGGATGAGAGCACACCAGTTGAATGAAGAGGCTAGCTGAGTATGGCCTGAAGCTGGAGCCCCAGAAAGAAAGGGGATTGTGAATAGATAATCCATTCCCAAAAATACCTGATACGGCTCCCAAAAATAAATAAATAAATATATATATATATACAGTATAGATATCGTATAGATCCAATACTAAACCAAGGTTTCTAGGTTTTCTGAAATAAATTGGAGATTCCTGAACATGGAAGATCTCCCAGTGGGCTCGCTCGGTGATTCGTCTAGTTGATGTATCGTTTGCAGCTCGGCCTATACTCCTCTAGCCAAGTTGCTTTTACCTGGTTTTATATTGCAGATTAAGATATATACCCCATTCGCAAACCAATGGGTACCTCTTGGAATCGTCCTTGAATAGTGATTCAGAGCAATTCCCCACCAGTAATCACATACATCTTCATGGTTTCTTACAAGCCATGCAGCTTGATGTCATGGATAATAATTGGCCATCAACTGCGGTGATGCCATCAATTTCCATGCCATGCTAGGAAAATCCGGGCAAATAATCATGATTCCTAAACTGGAAAGGAACGATTTCAGGGATGACTCCTACTACCGTCACCATCTTTAATTACTGTGAAATGCTGTGAAGTCGCTGCGTTTTACCCAAGATCTGCCTGAGAGAGCTCACTGGGTGCTCTTGACAGGGTAAAACACACGGCCCATGATCCCCATAATTTTCCTGCGCAACTCTGAAATATGCCGAAATACGCTGAACCAGGACTAATTATTTTATTACCCATAGGATCCATGGTGCTGGTATATCTGCTAACATCTGGGGTATATTGATGGTAAATGTTACCATATATAGCATACATGGATCCTATGGGTTATATACTCTATGTTATGAAGAACAGTATGCAATAATTAATGACGAATCTATCCAAGTAATGTTAACCCAGGGTTAACAAACCGGTGCCTATTTTGTTTGTGGCCTGTATGACCCCAGGGGGGTTAGCCTTGCAACGGTTACTGGATTCAACGATTCAATCAACCCACCTACCAGTTGTAGGACTCCAGGTGAGAAAAACAAATCCGCCAGGATTTTCGAAAATGGGAGACACAACCCACATTGGCTCCCACACATAGCTTTCAACGTCCCGCGCCTTACTCGCACATATGGATACATATGGAAGATTTGGCCATGGAACTTTGGAATTTAGCCAGCCAAAAGATAGAAAGGGAGTTCTCATCAGCAAAAAATAGGGATAGAACTGACGTTTCATACCGATTGGGGCGGGTGGTTTGGATTGGTGGCTTCGAATCTCAGGATTCCCTCCTGAAGTCATGTCACCCTTTAGCGCCTCCCAAACCTGTTCCCTGAATACGCCAATTAGGCCAATCATTTTTTGGCAAAGGGGGTTTGCAAGGGGAACATTATAATCTAAAGAAATCTAAAGAATATCATATCACCAATGTGTATGTAGGCAATATATATATATGTATATAATATATTAAATGTACTATTATATTATATATATACAGTACATTATATATATATATATATATATTAAAACATATTATATATACATTATAAATATATACGTAGATATGATATGAATATGTTCAATGCTATGTTCAATATTTGTTGGGTTGGTTTAAGGGAAATATATGTTATATGTAGATATGATATGAATATGTTTAATACCATGTTCAATATTCATTGGGGTGGCTTAAGGGAAAATTATCAGGAAACCCTTATATGTTTTTATTAATCATACATTACATATATATTACAATATAAATATATTATATAAATATATAAACATATCATAAAAAAATATAGTATATACATATATTACATATATCATATAAATATTTAATAAAAATATATAATATAAATATATCATATAAATATATTATAATATATTTATTTATATATATATATATATATATTATGCACATTATATATAGTGTATTACTATTAATTTATGGGAAACATGTTTCCTGTAGATTTTCCCTTCAATTTGCATCCTTTAGAACAATCTCTGGATGTGCTCCGGGTGAGGTCTTTGGCACTTGCAATGCCCAAAATTCAGCGCATCAATTCCACAGCAGTCTGACACACTGAAATTCATGAAACTTGTAATGGGTGACTTCTGCTTTTCCTTGTCAATGATTTAAGAGGAAAGAACACAATCGCGGGTCAGTTTCATCCCCCAATTTTGCAGCCTAGTCCTACGGATCGAATCAAAAGCGGAGACCAGAGCTAGTCACTGGAGACACAATAAACCCCATTGGATGATTTTTCGAGGGAGCTGTTCTATGAATCATGTTCCGTAAGTCTCAACCATGGCGGCCATGATTCATGGTTGCTCCAAACACCACAGCTACCTTTGGGGGAAAATCGGAATACATAGAGCGGGCAGGGACCCTCCAAAATAAAAATAGGTTAGTAGGGGTTGGATTTGTGATGGATATCAATCAATGACTATGGGTAGTTAATAATGTTAATTGTGTTAGTTGGGTTTATAAGCAACTTCATCAAACTTTGCTCATTCTGAACCAACTATCAATCTCCATTTGTGGATAAATCATGATAAATCCACATAAATCCCCATGTGTACATGCTGAAAAAATCACCAGATTCCGTGCTGTCGAGTCGCCATGTCCAAGTTCACCACGTGCGTCACGTCTTTGATGTCCAGTCCACGTGAGCAAACCTGTTGGTGGCCGACGAGGGGTTCTTTAGTCACAGAATACCCCAAGTTACCATCCAAATTTGCTCTCTCTTCAGATCTCTTCATAGAGAAAGCAATTTGATATAAAGTTGATATACAGTTGGACTGGCTGGTTGAAGGATTGAGTTTCCATAAAAACTTTGACTTTAAGTTGTGGGATCTCAAGGACAATGAATTCTACGCCGAAGTTCATCATCCAAGGCTGTGCAAAACCATATGGTTTTGCCTTGTAAGTTTCCCCATTCCGGACACTTGTATTATATATATATGTATTATTTTATATATTATATGTAATATATATATATGTATAAATTATATATGATATATTGTATATTATGTAAAAATGTTATATATAATATACAATATATATATATATTGTATATAATCTCTATATATATATATAATAAAAAAAACTATAATAGATATATATATATATATATATATGCATACTTTATATATTATATATAATATAAATATATATATAATGTTTTATATGCATATAAAATATAAAATATAATCTATATATAATATATAATAAAAAATAATATATAATATATATAATATAAATATAATATATATATATATATAGATAGTTAGTATATATAATATTTAAAATAAAAAAATATAAGATATAATATATTATATATAAAAAATCATATTATATATAATATAATGTAATATAATATAATATAATTTAATATATATGATATCATAAATAAATATATATATATATATATATAATATAATTTATATATATATATGAAGCGTTTTGAAACCATGAACGAGTCAACTCTTTGCGTTCATTAAACGACAGGTGGACAGGTGGTGGGAATCTCACACCATTGTTTTCACAAGCTTCGGAGTTCAACAATTGATACCTTGAACCTCACTCAAATCGTATGTTCTCAGTCTTGAAAGAAGCAAACCCAAACACAGTTCCCTTTCTTTGGCACGATATGATTCCCAAATTGTGGGGTGGTTTAGTAGTATGGAGGGTTTGCCATGTCTATCACATAGATTTAAGTTATTTCAACACCAAAGGTGGTGCCGTGTCGCCTTTCAGATCAACACAAAATAACACAAACAACGTCCACCCACGATAAGTAGGCAAACATCACAAGCAATCATGCGAACGTGGTTCTGACATTTCTTGAAAAATCTACCCTCAACAATGACTGAACATGTTGATGTCAACTAAAGATACAAACAGCACGGCTAATCGCAGATACGCACTTAACATTCCCTATAAATGATCAAAAATGTCAAAGCATGTTCATCTATTGCCGCATTTTCGCCAAGATCTTCCAACATTGAAGAAATTCCTCTATTTCTTGATATGAAATATGAATGGCACATCCCGCATCCCGCCCGGAACTGCGATTTGCCAAGAAACGTCGGTGGCAAACATCAACCAACATTCGCCTTTGGTAAACTTCTCCAAGTCTCGATCTCGATCTTTCCTAAGAGAAAGTCCAATGGATCAGTTCAAAAAAGGGCGTCGTTCCCTAAGCGTTAGATAGGTTAGATGTCTTGCAAAGGTAGGAAATCATTTCCAGCTGGGAAATCATCTTCAAAACGCTTTTTGTCTGTCTTCCGGGTCTTCCGTTCAAAGTTAAACTGTGGGGCTACAGGGCCTGGACAACAGAACCCCATCCCCCGAATTCCACCCTCCAAAGAGGCCGGGATAGATCAAACTACTTAGATGGTATACCCAGTATATCCCCACTACATCAATCATATCCCATGAAATCCAATCATATTCCCATTAGATTCCCATAAGATGTTCCAAGCAAATATGGTTGGTTATCTTATGTCTCATGAAATATTCCCACTATCCTTCAAGTATATCCCTGTTCTATTCCCATTCAATTCTCATCAAAAGGTTTGTTCTCCCACTACAAAATTCCCAGGATATCACCGAAATCCTGTGTCACTCAAGGACACCCTCCGGTGTCATCAAATGATATCAAATGTGGTTTGCTGGAACAATGATATTCCCAGCTATAAATTTCCATTTAGCTCAAGGACTTCCCAGCCACTTCCCAGCCACTTCCCAGCCACTTCCCAACCACTTCCCAGCTAGCCACGTTGATGACACCAGAAGGTAACAAAGATGATCGGGATTGATGCAGGATATATGTGACACGGTCAAGTTACATGGGATCAGTGTGGTATCATCCATTCCAGACTTACTGGTTCTAAACGCAGGGAATTTTCGGGAATGATCCCAGTCATCACTAGTAATGTCATCATCCCAGCAACCCCCAGTCCCATCCATTCCGAACGTAAAACGCACCAGTAAGCAGAGTGGGAATCGAAACAACACGTTTGATCTGGAAAACCCATGGCTTTCGAACATGATCCAAACGTTCATGGTGGTTTCGAAAATGGTTTCGAACATGATCTAAACGTTTGCCTAACAGAATTATGGTCATTTATTAGTTATAACTTATAACTACAGTTCTAAATGAGGTGATACAATCCATAAATGGTGTTTTTCGTACTTGGAACAGGTATTTCGGATTATTTAGGGCCATAACTGTATTTTAAAATCACTCTAGTTACGGCATCCCCAAAAATGGTGTTATGGGTTTTAGCCCATTTCACCAAAAACACCATCCATAAAACATCATAACTGTAAACCCTCGTAACTGGTGTAATTGACCATATTTCCCGAGGCGAAGCATCTGTGGCTTGTCGCCATGCAGGGCGACCGAGTCGAATCCCTTGGACCAGAAGGTCTTCTGAAAGGAATCGATGCGCCTGCGCACGTCGGGATGCCAACGAGTCGGCCACGGTGACCATAAACATAGGCCGATGGCTATGCGTTGCACGTGAACATGTATATAACATATAGTATGTATATGTACATTCATGTAAAGATATGCGTGTGTATAAATACATACACATATAAATATGGCTACCTGGCTATATATCTATCTAATCTATCTAATCTATCTAATCTATCTAATCTATCTAGCTAGCTATCTATCTATCTAGCTACCTAGTTATTGTCCTATCTATTTTATCTATGTTATCTACCGGTTCTATCTTATATATATATATCTTATATTTCATATTTATATTATCTATATTATCTATATTATCTATATTATCTATATTATCTATCTTATTTATCTTATCTAGTTTATCTATTCTATCTTACCTATCATACCAACACGATCAATTTTATCAACCTGATCTATCTCATCAATCTTATCTATCTCATCTTTCTCATCTATCTCATCTAAGCTATCTAATCTATCAAATCTATCTAATCTATCTAATCTATCTAATCTGCCTAATCTACCTGATTTATCTAACCTATCTAATCTATCTAATCTATCCAATCTATCTAATCTACCTAATCTACCATATCTACCTAATCTATCTAATCTATTGAATCTATAAAATCCACCTGATTTATCTAATCTATCCAATCTATCCAATGTATCTAACCTATCTAATCTATCTAATATATCTAATCTATCTAATCGAATCTATCTAATCTAGCTAATCTATCTGATCTAGCTAATCTATCTGATCTATCTAGTATTTCTATTCTTTCTAATCCACCTGTTCTATCTAATCTACCTATTCTATCTAATCTAGTTATCTTTCTATGTATCTATCTATCTATCCATCTATCTATCTAGCCTTCCTATCTATCTATCTATCTACCTATCTATATATCTATCTATCTATCTACCTATCTATCTATCTACCTACCTATCTATCTATCTATCCATCCATCCATCGATCTAATCTATCTATCTATCTATCTATTTATCTATCTATCTATCTATCTATCTATCTATTCTATGTATGTGCAGAGATGTATGACATATGCTCATAAGATCATAATCAGGCCGGAGCTTGAACCACTCACCCACACGTTGACAAGTCTTGGTCCAGTGCGCTGAAGCTGATTAGCATGTGTATGTAGGTATTATGCACTATGCAGTGTCTTATGTGTATTGACACACGTTTGTAGCACCCTCGATTATATTGTATCATACCATCGTGTACTGATTTTAAAATATCAGTTTATTTTGTGCGAAGTCATGCTACAAAATATCAAATGAGCATACATTGTCTTTAATCAAGCTAAACCATCTTGTGCACTACCATTGTTTATTTTACTATATTAAATTATACTATGCTTATGTTTACTTATGTGATTGTTTTGAAAATACTATCGAAGGAAGTTTAGAAGTCAAACTTGCGACAATATGGACAGATCAAAGGCAGAGGTGGGAAGAGTCAGAGAAGAGAAAGGCAGAAGAAAGAAGATCAGAGAAGAGAAATAGTCGGAAGAAAGAAGATGCAGGCGCACGAAAAGGCAGAAAAGTCGCGAAAAACTGTGCTTTTCCAATGTTTTGTGGCTCCGGAGGATCGAAAAGTAGGCTCGCTAAAGCGGCAGGCACGGAACTTTCTATATAAGGAGATGAGAGATGAACAATTGTACACCCTTGTGGCGCGAGCCACATTTCCAAGTCAAATCCCACAAAACACACCATGCTCGGAGCAGTTTTGGAAGTTGACATGTCAAAAAAGTGCACGCCGTTGTGGCGCAAAGCACATTTGGAAGTTAAAATGCGCAAAGCACCACATGTTCGGAGCACTTTTGTGGAAGTTGAGATTTTGAAAAAGTGCACGCCATTGTGGCGCAAAGCACATCTCGAAGTAAAATTATTGTCAAAATGGCAACAAAAAATCATGTTCGGACCTGATTTGGACGTTCAACCGCACCCCACTAAATCACAATGACAACGACAACGGCCACGACAACGACAACGACAACCACAACGACAACGACAAGGACAACCACAACCACAACAACAACAACAACAACAACCACAACCACAACCACAACCAAAACCACAACCACAACCACAACCATAACCACAACCACAACCACAAGCACAAGCACAACCACAACCACAACCACAAGCACCACAACAACAACAACAACAACCACAACGACAGCGACAGCGACAACCACAACCACAACCACAACCACCACAACAACAACAGCAACGACGACGACGACGACTACTACTACTACTACTACTAAACCACAACAACAACAACAACAACAACAAGTACAACCACGACTGCAACAGCAATAACTACTACAACTACAATTACAACTGCAACTGCAACGACAGCTACAACTACAACGACATACCCACTACACCATACTACACTCCACTTCACCACACTACTCTACCACTACCACTACCACCACCACTACCACTTACAACTACAACTGCAACAATCTCTACTACAGCTGCAACTACAACTACAACAACATCATCCACAGCTACAGATACAACTACAACTACACTTCACTTCACCACACTACACTCCACTGCACTACAAGTACTACAACAACAGCAACAACAACAACAACTGCAACTGCAACTACAATTGCGTTGCGCTACACTACACCACACTACATCCAGCATTTGTGGTTGAGGTGACCACTTTAACAATTTCATAAAGCACAACTCCAACCACCTTTCGGTCCATCAGTGGATCCGCTCTGCCATCCATGCATCACAACAACTCACCTCTCCTATAGTGTCCTATCTTTGAAACTTCCGCCACCGCCTTGTGGGCTACTACTGGCATTACAGGACAATATTCATTATAGTATAGAAAAGTATCCTGTCGTATCGTATAGTAAAGTAAAATATAGTGTATACTGAAGTATCCATATATCTTATCGTATCGTTTCGTATCGTATCGTATAGTAACATAAAGTGTAGTAAAGTATAGGATAGTATGATATAGCATGGTGGAGCATACTATTAGTATCTCATTGTGCATTGTGCCATACTAGTTTGTATCATATTGTCTGTCATTCCAATATACAATGTTATATATTATATCATATTATGTCGCATAATATAATATCATATGATACTATGTTCTTTCATATTATATTATACTATACTATATTATGATCTATTGTATTATATCAAATCACATTAATTCTACTATATTATAGTGTATCATCATGTTGTTGAACATATATCTCTGTGTATATATATATATATATTAGATATGCGTATGTACAATCTACAATACACTACATATTATATAATAGTGCATACATACACCCACGGCCACCGTCTACGGCGACATTTGCTACGTTAAATCTATTGAAATAGATGAAGGTACTAGTACCAAACAACTCATACAAGGTTTATTTATAAAATGATTTTGGACTGGCTTACTGCAAGTATTCCTGGCCGGAATGGCTGAAAACACTGAACATGTTCGTCCGCCAATCCAAAACGTCCCATTGCACTAAACCATACTCAAATCCCAAAAATATCATGTCATATTATATTATACTATATTATATTATTTAATATTATATCATATTAAATCATATTATATCATATTGTATCATATTAAATCATGTTATATCATATTAAATCATATATCATATTATATAATATTATATCATATTATATTTTTAAATCATACATGTATCTCTATTTATTAAAAATATATATTATTTATATTCTATCAGTCGGTGAAATCCCAGTTCTGCTTCATTGATACTTTCCTCTCACCGGGGGTAGCCTGCGCTTCACCCAGGAGGTGGGCCGATATTTTGTTGACTAAGTCAGACAATTTCAATGCCGGACAATAACTGTAGTGTCCATGAGGTTTATAAACCAACAGTCACATGACAGTTTTTTTAAACATGTAAAAAAACATGCGGTGAGACAATTCCACCATGGCAGCGAACCTGCTGTCATTGGTCCAAATTTTCCACATGCCCCACCGCACGTGCACGTGCACGTTTGTTGACCCGCCTCTTAGTGTTGGCAAAGCAAATGACTTTGGCATCATCGCTGAGGCCACTCAAGATCTGCCAAAGTTTATCATCCTTCCTGGGGCAGTGAATCACCTGGAAAATCGGTCCATTCAATGGAAAAAGGGGGATTCCCATCATGTTGAAGGTATAACTTTTATAAAATAAAATATAAACACATATAAAATTAGATAAACCAGTACGAACAATTTCAATGACTCCATGGCCCACCTAAATGGGTAGTCTCAATTTAGGGGATACTGAGTGGATTGAATTAAGGCCAATTCGGCAAGAAACACTATTTCTTATCCCACAACCTAGGGATTGTCTGTAAATTGTCTCTTTAAACAGTTTTAGGCGATACCCCGACAAACACCGTTCCCCCCAGTTGTAAGTTGTAAGTTAGTTTACAACAACTATACTTATATCAGATTCTATCCCCCATGGACATGTATGTTTTATAGTAATGTCTAGTCTACCAACTTCAATTAAGGGAATGTAAGCACAAAGAGACATTAAGAGAAGGCGAAACCTCAAGTTACAGGCTTAAGAGGGAGTCAGTAGGGCACCGAAGAAAGAATACGGAGTAGATAGGGACACTAAAAATAGGAGGGAAGATGAGGACAATGGTAAGATGGTTAAAAAGAGGGAAGGAGAATATGAGGATGGAAGAAAACGATATAGAATGTTAATAAAAGAATGTATATGTTAATGTAAATTAATATGTAAGTGAGTATACATGTTCCCACAACGCCCCAAACATTATGTTTGTTGGTTTATAGGCCCATCTAAGTATACTTAGGACTAACATAAACCCACAGGTGTTGTAGTGATAAACCAACTGAACGCTATCGAACAGGGGGCCTGTTCGATCCCCGTTCCGTACCGCCCAGATTCTCATCATCTCCAAGTCGAAAGAACTCCTCCAAGGTGGTGGCTCAGTGTCGCCTTCATAGTTTTATGACAATTAAACCATCATGTGTGTCTAATTAAATATGCTACATATGATCTACAAATGCATATTCATGTATATATCTATGTATGTATATTATGTATATATATATAAATATATATCATATTACCACTATTGAGAATTTATAATATACTCTTAGCCGCCCCAGACTTTTAATTCAAAATCAAACATGCTACTTTGCAGGATATGAACATCAGAACTAAAGTTGCATGTTAAATGCAAATGATTAAATTATATAGTTGATAAACCATCTTTAGCTCCTATGAAACTTATTGCCTGAATATTTCCAGGCTTTTTCCAAACATAAACATGGATCCACCTATGGTCCACGATGCTGGGAACATGTTGCAACACATAAACTCCACAGAAAGTCAGAAAGACCCGTTCAACCAGGAGCCTATGAGTACTTGGAGGATCATTCAACATATTCAACTCATGGTGACTCTCCCAATCCGGGGCCCATCATGGGCTGAAACATGCTGAAACCACCGCGATCTATGTCAGTGCTCCTGGCTCACAGCCTTGTTGGCGGCCAATTCTTCAGTCTCTCCAACGTTCACATGCCTCAGGCTTGGCCGTGCTCAGTGGTTGAAGGATAAGACTCTCCCGTCATATCCCGTGTCCGTCTGAAATGGTGGAAATCCATGGAAATCCGCTATGTTTTCAGCAATGTGGGCCTAGTGATATGTTGGTAAACCTAACCCAATCTATAAAACGAGTTCGCTAGCAGGTGGATAAAAGTCGTGATATGTTTTTCCCTTTAGCTTGATAATTCCTATAAGAAAATTGTGATTTACCTTGAACATGGTGAATTGTGCATTAAAACATCAGCGAGCATCAGCTCAGTTTTTTGGTCGATTCCAAACCATCTAACCTCCAGAATAGAGTTTTTGATTGGAAATATGCAAATTCATCTTGAGGCAACCTATTTCTGGGAAACCCATACGCAAATGGGTACGTGTCCGACTTGGGACACACACCCAAGTGCATTGTCCAATCGTGAAATCATGTGAAATCAGTCATCTACACTCAGGTTCAACGAGGTTTCACCTGGATTTGAGGTCCTTTGGAAAGCCACTTGGATCATGTAGCGAATCACGCGCATCACGTCATCTTCGTGGGAAAAGCTTCAACTCCGGATTCAACGGATGCATGTCATGCTCCAGATACGGAACAAATCCACCAACCATGGCCAATTCGACATTTTTTCGCTGCAGGGGTACCCAACAAATTAGAGCAAAGTACTATGTGGGGCCCCTAGTTTTAAGATGTTTTAAGTTGGTATATAAGCCCGTCTAATTATAGCTATAACTGCCATAACACCTATATTGTGGTAGTTATTTGCACCAACTTAGCCCTTTTGGGGTCCCCACGTTGTAGAAACCACAATTAACATTTTAGAGTGTGACCTTTTGATACCCTTGTAGGAAGCCCATCATCTGTTAATTCTGCTAGAGAAAACCGCCATCTCTGGTTTTGTCCAAGCTGCACATAGTCCGGCTTCAGGTACCTGAGAATATCATGGCGATGCTGGTACCATCTGGTACCCACTGAAACTGGGGGATCAAATCTACGAAATGAGCAGTGGGCATAAGGTCGGGGTTTACGTAAACCCCATTAGCAATATTTCTATATCCTCAATAGACATCCATAAAATTCCATAAACCGTATTGACTAAGTCAACTTTGCTATCTAGAGGCCACACCCTGTTGCTGTTTGCTTGCAAATTTAGGACTTATCCCAAACATCCAAAACCCAGAAGTACAGTATCCATGCTCGAAATACTAGTGTGTGTGCGGTCAATTTCTAGTGACTCCCACAGATAAACAATTCTTGGGATGCCCGGGTTGCTCTGAACCTAACCATCAAGTCGTTGCGAGGTCAAAAAACACTTCACCCACATCAAATCCCACGTTCTGCGGGTTCAATCTTAGCTTTGTCTGGTGAAACTCTAATCATCAGTCATGGCTATCATGTGGTTGCGAAACTCTATTCGTAGCTCCTTAGTTCCCTCCGAAAAATGTCTGGTCTGAATCTGTGCTTTGATTAGTCAAAGCCCCCGGATATCGGCAAACACCGCCATGTAGAATGTCTGATTCGTATAGACAATTTTTGATGATTCGCCGATTATGATCAAAATAGTTCGATGTTCCATTATCGAAACCATGGCGGGAGGCCAGCCATGGCTTAGCCTAACCGCATCCCATGTAACATGTAGATCCAAATCAAACTGGTGGAATTCCCCCTTGCCATTTTGAGAGGTTTTTCCGTCGGAATATTTATGACGTGACCCACAACCTGGGCCTGGGATTTTGATCTTGGGTTTCTATTCCTTTCATGCATTTACCAAAATTGTAAGATATTCCAAACATTTCGGGTGTACGGTGTAGTTTAGTTTCTATATGGCATTTAATATGTTTTAAAAAAAACGTAGTTTCACGCAATTATTTCTATGTCTATTCCATTTCATATTCCCAACGATGGTTGGTTGTATATCCCTTAAAATGTCTCCATTTACACCTGGTTTTCCCATATTTCATCACATGTAACTTGGCGCCACCAAGGGCATTGCATCCCAGGCGACCAGACGGCACGTACCAGTTCCCCAAAGGTTGTTCACAAAATTGTGGGCTATGTATCCCAAATAAATTGCTGACTCTCGACCAATACTCAAAAAAACACATACTTTATGTGTATATATATATATGTGTGTGTGTGTTCCATATGGTTGATTTTCTCCCGAACCAAACTTTATGTATTTCTTGAAAGGAAAGTTCTTCCGCATGGGACATCATCGCACATAAATCATATTGTTGGTTAATGTGGGTTACATTACAATAATGCTTGTTGTTTCAATCCACCATCCACTACCATTTTACAAAGCCCGATAACTGGACCATGGCACATTGGACATTGTTGATTCTATTCCCATTATATCTTGGTGTCTATCTAATATTCCAAGTCTTGCTTTGCCCCAAACTTGGCAATTCAAAATCCACCATTTATTTAGTTCGACGATTTTCACATTAAAACCTTAGATTGATAGATGAATTCCAGCCAGCCACGTTTGATTACCAAAGTTACAAAGGGTAAATCTGTATATAGTTTCTATTTCAAATCGCCCCCTAATATTAACATCCGCGAAGTAGGTCCCGTGATTTCATCCCCTATTAAACCATGGTTTCAAGATTTTCAAGGGGGGGTGACTAAAAAATGAACGGGGGAAGGGATTCGTACTTTGCATTTCCCATTCAATCCCATTAAACCACTATAATCCCAGTCCGCCTTAGCGCTCCAAGTACCGTCGAAGGTCTGACCGACTGCCCCAGCAGCCCCAGTCGGTGTCTGAGAAGGTGGAACTGTATTGAAATCCACTCACGACGCCCTTACAATGCCCTGTAATGCCTTTTGAATTCCACAATAGACCCAAGAGGAATATTCCGGAAGGAATTCATAATTTGCCCGATTCCATCCCATTCAATGTCAAGCACTACAATTCGATTCTAATCTGAAAATTCTGAAATCAACCCCTATGTCTTCGATATTCCGACGCCTATGTTCAAGGCGCCCTCGCCACCAAGCGGCTTCTCTGCGATGCGTTTCACCGCCTTCGGCCAGGTGGCCGTGAAGAGCAAGGTCTGTCGCTCCGCCGGAGCCTCAACGAGTTGGAGACGCGTGAAACGCTCGTCGAACAAAATGGAGGAAAAATAATGGGAGATGCTGGGATATCAAGGAAATCTAAATGGCAGATTCATGGAATATGATAAAATGATTATAGCAATATTATAGCTATAAAACTCACTATCTGGAAAGCCCTAGTTGCCTGTTGTTTTGGGTTACTTTGGCCTAGAAGCCGATTTTTTGGTAACTTTGCAATTCTTATGCACAAAAAAAAGGCACTTAATCATCTTAATCTTTTGGTGCAGTGCAACATGTTCGGCAAAAGTGCCATTAAATAACCGTCAAAGTGCCGTAAATATCCGTAAAGTGCCATAAATACCCGTAGAAATCCTACTCCTGAAATGGTACTCTTTTAGGCCCAAATGGCATTTATTCTCAATGCTTCATACTCTTGTTGATGAACCAGTTAATTATGTGGTCAGTGTATGTAAATGGATAGATTGGATTGGATGAGATTGAGGCAATGTAAGAAGGAAACACCATTAGATTTGCCTTGCGCAGGTTAACATATTGATCAGAGAGATGGAACAATGAACGAAAAACAAACCAGATACGATAGATAAACCTAGACCCTTCGTTTGTACACATAAAAATTGTCTTTTACCCCGTCATTTTGGTTCTTTTACATGTTTTTGGTGTTTTTTGAGGGTCGACATGGATCTACCATGGTACCCCGGATCGGCCTGTGATAGAATCTTGGCGATTTCGGGTTCAAATCCCATGTCCAGCATGCGATCTGCCTGGCCCGTTGAACTGAGGATTTGGGCTGCAAAATGGGGAGCAAACAAAGGGAAGTTCAGCGGCAAAAAGCATCGATTTATGGAAGGAAGAGTGACAAACACAACATGATATGATCTGAAGGTAGCAAAGTCTACTACTATGGCATTGCAAAATCCTCTCCCTCATCCTCTATGAGCTCAACACAGGAAATAGACTCAGGTTCTTAGATGCGTGACCTTTATTCCTAGCACGTTTGTCTCATTAGTTCCTTCTATTGACTATAGTACCCAGCAATCCTTTGAGGGGGTCGGGTTGCACTACTCGCGTCCAAAACTACCGAAACAAAAAAAACAACCACGCTTGTCAGTTTTAGTGATGTCATTGACAAAGTAACCCTCATGTAGCCAGCGAAAACTGTGGACAGGTTTTCAAAGCGTTGACAGTTGACGACGTCAGCGGTTTAGGGGCACAGACGACGAGCGAACCTTCGATAGCCAAGTTGGTACAAATAACATCAAATAATACAGTACAATAAGTGGAGGGTTTATGGTAGTTATAACATGTTAACATGTTATAACTGTAGTTAGATGCGGTTCTAAACCAATTTATAAGTAGCAGGCACCACTTAATCTCTAGGTTTTTCTATCTTCCAGCTGGTGCCTCGTCCAAGACAAGGAGCTGCACTTGCGACCTGGTGCCGGGAACTCACCAATCAATGGCTGGATTTTGTTGAGAAAATCTTCATTGGAAACCAGCCCTGCACCTCCCTGCACCATAGCGCCGAGCCACAAATCCACCTCGCCAGTGCCCAGGAAGTCCTGCAAGCGTCCAGGTGTGGCCACCAAGACCTGGCGATCAAAAAGGCCATGTTTTTTTTCCACAAAACATGGGATGAGATAATCACTGGTTGGTGGTTTCAAACCATCTTGAAAAATATGAAAGTCAATGGGAAGGATTATCCATTCATATTATGGAAAATAAACCATGTTCCAAACCACCAATCAGGACATATGTGATATATCATAAACCATATAGTAATTATAGTACTTATGTTATACTGTTATACTTATGAATACTTATAATGTAGTTTTTCAAAATATGGTCCATCATATAGTCCATGATATAGTAACTACTGGCTATATATGATATAGGAATCCTGTAATTATAGCTGGTAACAAATATAATTGATATATCAGCCAGTTCTTAAAATACTTGATAGTTAAATATCTTGGTAACAATGATTTATGATATATAAGCCAGTTATACTTGATAAGGGCTCTAACTATGGCATTTTTGACAAGCCTCAAAATGTCACTTGAATTTCACCAGTCGTGAAACACCCCTCGCCCAGTCGTAAACTCGGAATTTTTGTCACGCCTCGCCTGCGGGCACCTTTTCTTGAGTTCCTTTCCCTGAGGGCCCTTAGGGGTGCCACCAAAGATTGCCATGGAGGCAATCTTCGCCTCGGACATTCCCGGGTTCCGGATGCAGTGTCGAGGGATGGGTCAATGCTTATTACATCTTATTACTCCCATATGCTCCATGGTGCTGGTATATTTACCTACATTTGCCCAAGATAAATCACCCAGTCATGTAGGTAAATATACCAGCACCATGGAGGATATTGGGACTTATTACTGTCTACATCTGTATTCCATATTTTGGGGGAATGAACATCCATCCACCAAATATGTTGGGGTGAACAGAAGGGTACCAGGCGAAGCGGCGAAGCTTGACCCATAGCCATATTTATCAGCCCCTTGACTCGCTTGAACCCACCGAAACAAAGGAATCATGCGTTAAAAAAAAAGTTGAAACCATACTTGACCTGAATACAAGTTGCTATCATAATCCCATTTGGGTATGGGTCAATACCTATAGATACATTTTTAGTGGGATGAACATCCATTTACCAGCTATTTTGGGGTTCACCAGGGGTACCAGGGTTTTGACCCATCCCCATTTAAGCATTGGGATTCTCACCGTTTTCCTTTGTCGCTTAATTGGATGATCTCCATGGACATGGCCAGTATCCACCATCCCTCAGCTACACATGTAACCCAATTGCACTTGGAACCCTTTCGGAATATCACCAATTGCTATTAGCCTATGTTTTAACACCAAATGACCATATTTTTTTCATGGGATAGTCCTCCAACAAGTACATAAGGACCAAGTTTGCCCGAAACAAATTACAAGTAAATCATTTGAGTTACTGCATTACTGCATATGATGTCATGTCTTACTGACAACTTGCCACTTGCCGAACCCAAATCATGTGAGCTGTGACATCATCAGTGGTGAGGCCTCCCATTGCAAGGTCGCTAGATGGATAGAAGTGGTCCATCTTCCATTGCAAAGTTGGCAAACCACTTTTGCTGGTATGGTTTATTGACCATGTTCTGAACCACTCCAATCTAATCTAACGTAAATACTTTACCTATATAATATGACAATGATTTAATCTACCAGTATCTAATTGTTTATCTATCGATCGTTCTTTCTTTCTATAGTCATAATATATATATAACTATATATTATTTGTATACTATATAGATTATTGTAAGTATCATTAAATTAGTATTAACTTGTTACATTACAATATAGTCTAATATACATCTAGATCATACCCACATATCATATATGGCAGTGTGTCAAAACCTTGGTACCCCTTCTGTTCACATCAAAATAGCTGGTATTTATGGATGTTCATCCCCCTAAAAATGGTATTTTCATAGGTATTGATCCATACCCATATCATCTATACATCGAATCCTAAGGGATATCAACCACCCCACCGTTCTCACCGTTCCGTGGCGCCACGGCACCGGCGCGAAGCGCTCGCATTCCGCCTGGATCTGCGTGGCCAACTCCCGCGTGGGCGCCAGCACCAGCACCGCGGGCGTCACCGTCATCGGGAGCTCCTCCAAGCCCTTGAGCCACCTACGCCCCGGGAGTCATTGATGATTTCAAGGGGAAGTGGGAGTTATAACAGTTATAGCTAGAAACAATGGGAAGAGATGGGGAAAATATGGATGAACATGCTGATTTTCACATGATTTCTAGCTCGAAACAGGGGAATTTCAGAGGATTGCAGACAATTATGGCCCTTAACAAATGGAAACGGAACATCATGGGAAAATGATGGGAAATCACCATGTCATGGGAGTATAACTGGCTTATTTCGCCACCTCCACCTACGGGTCTCTAGACAAGAAGACATCCCTTTGATCTATCCTCATATCACTGGGCCAACCAGTGGATTTCGAGGTTTTCACAGGCTTCTCAGAGCCATACTGGGTTCATTCTCCCCAGGATGGAAACTATAAGAAAATCGTTGAAACCAACCAACTCAATTGTGTGGTCTCTAAACTTCAGCTAAACCGCATAGTTCATCTTGGTTACGAGAAAAACATGGATTCATTCATCAACAAAAAGCAAACAAGCTATACCCTTGAAAAGCAGTGAATGTAACATCGGTGTACCCATACAAGTGAAAGATAGTGAAAGGCTTATGAATGTGATGGTTAAACCTAGTTGAAGCTACTCATCAGCCTACCAGGCCTACCAGGTTTCGCTGAGGTTACGCAGCTCCGCCTGGTGATGAGTTTGAAGGCCGGCAGCAGGAAAGCCAAGGTCTTTCCTGACGTCAGATGGCGCTGACTTTGACCGTTGGAGATCAGCAAGGACTTTGAAAGTTTAGCCTTTGACAAAATACATGTTGTACTGAACCAGTCAAAGTCTTATCAGGTGCAGCAGTATAACTTACTGTAACAAAAACTCTTGAACATGACTTAGATTCACATATTTTGAAAACCTGACACAAACACCGCATTGACCATTTGCCAATGTTTTCAGGTACTTTGAGTGTCTTTGTATCAGTAATTACAGGTAATTACTGAACCACCCAATTTTTTGTTCAAAAAAATTGAGCCATGGCTAGTCGCTGAAAATTGGATACCGAACAAATTTCGCTTCTTGTGTTTGTTGTTGCTTCCAGCGCCTGAATTTGGAGGGAAGAAAACTTTTCGGAAGAGAAACTGATAGTATAGATAATATTAAATAATACTACTTGATTCCTCCTGATGGATCTTGGTTTCGACAAGTTCCAGTACAAACATTGAGTCGCAAAGCACTGTGGTGAGTTGTATCGCACTTGTTTTGAGATTGGGAAAGGACCACAGAGCTATTGGTTGCCTTATGGTGCAGTACTCTTCCAGATTGCAGCTTTAGCCAAGTACATACTACTTCAATACTGATGTTGTTCAAGGGTGCTGCACATCAGTAGCTTCCAGCAGCGGGTTTTCTTATCACCAAGGAGATGAAGCAGAAATCGTAGCCCACGCTGCCAATGACCAGCCCTCACTGAGTACACACAATTCATCGACATCAATTCCTTGGCACACCCCATCTTAGCAGTGAAAAACATCCGTCTGTATCATTCTACATCATTCCATTTCTGGTGGAGCTGCATCATTGATCTACTCAACCAAATTGGTGAACCCCCATCTGAGTTGTGTTTTTTTTCCTGATGTAGGGTGTTATCATTTTATAGGTGTCTACGCGAGGCTTACATTTCGCGTACGCGCGCACAATTTCAGCCTACGCGGAAGCTTGGGTGGGGATAGGTTGCCTACGCAGGCCTACGCGCGTGAGGTTTTATGCAATTTTTAGCTAGATATGCCTACGCGCCCACAGTCTCAGCAACATTTTCGTATGATTGCGCACCCTTTTACAAAGCTGTTCATGATCCAATGATCGCATTAAAAACAATGAGGAGGAAGAGGGCCATGTGCTTTAGGCAACAAGGCAACTACCTATTTCGCCAAAAATGCATCGAGCACGTTGAGCGCACGTTTTTTTTCCAGTCCGCAGATGACTCAAACGAAGAGGAGGAAGAAGAACTTGAAGAAGAAGAAGAAGAAGGAGGAGGAGAAGAAGTAAAAAAAGAAAAATGATTCCGCAGGTGTAAGACGCTGGTTCTGCCGTCGCTTCTTGGCAGCAGGGAAATAACATATAATATTTTACGTTGCAGGAGCATGTTTGGGGGCATCCCTGGTCATGAGAGTTTTCGCCTACGCGTTGCCTACCTTTCGCCTACGCGGTGCGGTGCCTACGCGGGGGAGCTCCTTTATTTTCGGATTTTGGCCATGCAAACTTCGAGGCTTGAGACTCTGCAGAAAAGGGAACGGAATAGTTCCATTAGCTTTTGTTTTTCAGCAAAACAGTTGCTATCTTCTAATTACTTGTGTTTTTTGGACAGCGGAAATTTCACATGCCGCATCGAGCTATACTCATTAGGCCCTTCAATCTTGACCCACAGGCTGCCATATTGGTCGAATCCGCGGTCGCCTACGCGGCGTCTGCCGGAAAATGAAGCAAAATATGCCTACGCCAGCCTACGCACCCCAGCAAACTGCCTACATCCAACCATGTGCAGGTCAACTTTCATATAAATCTTTACTTGTAAAAAAAAAACTCTGCTCATCTGAATGTCATGAGAAGTCATAGTTCCATCTCAATCACTCCACATCACCATCATCACCATCATCACCATCATCACCATCATCACCATCATCAATCATCACCATCATCACCATCATCACCATCACCACCATCACCACCATCATCACCATCATCACTATAATCACCATCATCACCACTGACAATGTCATCGCCACCATGACCATCATGACCATCATGATCATCATGTTCATCATCATCATCATCATCAGCATCATCATCATCATCATGATCATCATCATCATGATCATGATCATGATCAGATTCATCATGTTCATCATATTCATCACATATTCATCATATTTATGATTGTATTCAACATGTATGTAAATATATATATATATATGTACATATCTAAATATACACATACATTGACATGATATGGGTTATCTATCTATCTATCTATCTATCTATCAATCAATCTATCTATCTATCTATCAATCTATCTATCTATCTATATATCTATCTATCGATCTATTTATCAATCTATCAATTTATCAATCTATCAATCTGCCTATCAATCTATCTATCTAGCTATCTATCCATCTATCTATTTTTATATCCATATTCATAGATCTATTATATACACGTTTCTACATTTTCTATTATATAGATTCTATAGCTGGATTCATCGCCAAGTTGCCACTGCCAGTCTTCGCCACGGCCACCAAATCATGGCCCAAATGGCAGATTGGCCACGCTTGCGCCTGCGATGAACTTCCATGATGCATTTTCAAGGGCTAAAAGATATGTATATGTATATATATATATATATATATGATAGGGATAGATAGATAGATTGATGCATAGATATTATCTATTATGTTGGCTTCAAGGTATCCCAAAAAAATGTCTATATATATAAATGTATATATATATATGTATATATATATATATAAATGTATATATATATATGTATATATATATATATATGTATATAATTGTATATATATATATATGTATATAATTGTATATATATATATATAAATTCATATATAAGTCAAGAATATATAATTGGTCAACCCCTGAAACCACCAACCATGCAAGCACTTCTTTTCGGATGACTTCAAACGACTTGAACATCCAGCCTGAATAGGCGATGGTGACGGAAATGCCTCGATCAACGCGTCTTTCAGCTTCCTCCCGACAGGCTGACTGGCTGACTTCGTTTCTAGCGAAACGCGCCATGGTGACGACTGGGGATTTCCCAATGACTTACCCTCTGGTGAACTAACAAAACTATGGAAAATCACCATTTTTAATGGGAAAACTCACTATAAATGGCAATGTTCAATAGTTATGTTGATTTACCAGCGGGTGAGACCCCCCTGGGCCCGACTTGTTTTTGTGAAATGTCACTCTGGTTGGTGGTATACCTACCCCTCTGAAATATATTAGTCAGTTGGGGTTACTATTCCCAATATATGGAAAAATAAAACATGTTCCAAACCACCATGTTTTCCATGTTTTCGGGCAGCATGCTTGCTCAGGTCGGGAGCGAAGCACTTGCGTCCCAGTTCCCCAAATCTAAACCTACAAAGCCATGCGGCTGCACTTTGCAGCTACAGGCAGTGCCGCCAGGCTGCCGGCCGCCCTAGTGCACGGGGCACCCAGGCGGTCGAGCAGCCACAAGTCCACTTCACGAAGTGCTTGGTCGCTCCAAGGAACAGAAATGGAAGGCACGTAGGTTTGAATCGCTGATGAGTGTGGCCGACACTGCTGAAAAGAGGTGTGAATGCCAGCTTCGGTGACCATGGCCTTCACCAATTGTCTGAACCAGCGCACCCGCTTTCGAAACGGAAACACCTCCGCCGCAATGTACGGCCTTGTGGCCACGTCCACCCAGACATTGTTGATCCGAATGGGTCCTGGGTTTCCCCAGCAAAGTTGAAAGTCCAAGTATAACTGGGCAAAAGATACCCAAACCACTTGCGCATCCTCTCCAGTCGTCAGTCTTGACAGAAACCATTGGACCACCCGTTGAGCATGATCACCGCCAAACAGGCGAGCCAACTTGGGCAGTGGTTGCCCGTTCCATCCTCGCAACGCAAAGCAAGTGTCAAACTGTCGTGTTGGTTTCGGCTCTGGCGCCGGTTCGGTCTCCTCCTGCGGTTGTCCTTGACGCACTTGTCTTTGAGCAACCGCAAGCTGCAAAGCAACAACCTGTTGAAAAATTCCCTCTGCTGCTGTAGACGCCACGACATGGGATTCCCATTGTTGCCAAAACACCTGAGGCCGTGCTTGGTTGGCCAATCTCGCAGCCCTGTCAACCAGACTGTTGTTGTAAAACATCCATAGCTCACGTGGATTCTTTGCACTTTGCAACGCTCGATGCGCTGGAACTTTCCGAACCTGTATGCAGTCTCGCCCAAGGGTCTCCACCGACTGAGCGATCCACACCCAAAGATCAGCATTGGCTCCATGTAAGTTAATTTTCCTACTGCCCCAGAAAGTCAGGTTATACCGGTTGACAACCCCAAGACAGTCAGTCCAAACACAGACAGGAGCACACTGACGGGTGGCCCAATGAAGGATGTAGGCAACCGCAAACAACTCAGCACGGTACGCTGTTTGACAAAGTCCACTCAGGGCAGCAGCACAAAGAACAACAGACGAGCCAGGAGTCCAAGTAGGCGACATGGGACGAGCCAACAGCACAGCCCAGGAGGCAAGGCGAAAACGGGCATCAGACTGCCACAGACAGGACCCATCCGTAAAGACATGGTTAAGACTCCCTTTGTCCAGTGCACACTCAGGTGGCGGGGGGTCAGTGGGAATGCTGAGCAGGGAGGTCAACCAGGCTTCATGAGTGGGCGGCTGCAGTGCCCAACCCCGCAAGGCCAAAGCCGGAGGAATGCTCTCTTGGAAGTGCTGAGCCTGGGGGGCATGCAGGTCTCGCAAGTCTTGATGCTGGGGGCACTCCCAGTAGCGGTGCTGGAGAGAATCCCGACTACCACACCACTGACAGTGATCATTCTGGTCACTCCATTTGGCCTTGTAGGACTCAGTAAAGAGACCACCCGAAAGTCCAAGGCGGTAAAGGGCTTGATCGTCGGGCCCAAGCCTACGCAAAGCTTTGCGAGTGGCTGCAAGGTCAACTCGGTGAAGTCCATCAAACTCGGCTCGGTGGGAAACCTTGCTAGCAACGACTTGAGTCCACGCCCACTGGAGCCTAACTTCGATTTCAGCCGGGTTGGAAGTGTGAAGACAGAATGAGCCAAAACGGTCAGACAAGAACCCACGCCAGTCAACAGACAGTCCAACATGCTGCAGCCGATCCAAGACAATGGCAGTCAGGGATGACGGGGGTAAGTCCAAAAGTCCACAAGCGACAGGGGCAAGCAAAGTAGACCCGAAGTCAGAAGAGTAGTGGTCGCGAACAGATCGGCAAGTCCAAAGCAAGGCAACATACTGGGGATCGACACCAGGCTCCACAAGCCCCAAGAGCACATGTGAATTGACGCCAGGTTTCTGCCATCCAAGGGCTTTGACAGCCCGTCTTCGGAGACGTGTCCACACATTGGCCCCAAGAGGCGCACTAGGAACTGCATGAAGGCCCCTAGGCCAGGCAACTGCACGCAACATGAACACCTTTGCATGGTGCCTTGCTCTACTCTGTGCAAGCTTGGGCCAGAAGTCTTCAAGTGCTTCGATCCGTTGCTGGATGGTGCGGTTGGTGTACTGCTTGGACACCCCAAAATGACCTCCAAGTTCACGGGCATGGTGGCAGACGGAGATACCACTGTCCCGGAGCTGGCTGCGTACAGCGGCATGGGTGGACCATCCAAAAGTCTTCTTCCTGTCTACAGTCAAGTCCAACATGCCCGCAAAGGATTCAACCAACGAAAGTTGCCGAACCGCAAAGTCAGGATCCCAAGTGTAACACTGCCAGTCATCGACATAGGACAAGGTGGAGATCGATGGTGCCTGAAGACGCATCCAACAGGAGAACATGTGATCGACAAGCAACATCCCAAAGACACTAAGTCCACACCCCTCAGCAAGTCCAGTGCTTGTCGAAAATCCATCTGAGAATGAGTCACGCACCTTGAAGTGTCGACACATACCTGCCAACGCACCTGCCCAAGCAGTGGTAACCTGATGTGGGGTTCCTGCAAGGATTGCAAGGCAAAGGGCGGGGTACCTGGGAATGCAGTTGAAACATTTCTCCAAGTCTGCTGACACCCCGCACAATGGCGAGTTGGAAGCATAGGCCTGCTCGATCTGCTGCAGAAGGAAGTGCCAAAGGTCGGAAGCTTGACGCCCTCTGCGATTCCCAAACACACCTTCATCAACCCAGTGTTCAGCCCAGGCAAGCAAGTGTCGGGACTGGATGCTGGACCAAACACGGTAAGGCAAACCAAAGACAGTGATTGGCCTGTACTGGCTGGCCGTGGAGGCCGATTCCGTCTTGGCGAGTGAGTGAACCTTGCCAGCTAACAGCTGGGCTGGCCAACTGCCATCACTTTCAGCGCGCTGGTACATGCTGACCAGGCTTTGCAACGTACTGGCATCTGCCTGAACCAGATCATCTCTGCTCACACCATCAAGTCCAGTGGCAGAGCGTTTCTTTTTCCGATGGACTTCCGCAGACAAAAGCGAGACATCAACAGGTAAATGGGGGACAAAGACAGGACGGAACAACCGGCTAGCCAGGGCAACAACTTCATTCCAATGGGTAAACGGCACCTGATCGTGGCGACACCATCGCTGTTGCCATTGCTCATGGAATGCTTGGAAGATGGATCGCAGGTCCCCAATTTCCTGACGCTGAACTGCACTGTCACTGGGCTGGATGTGGTCAACGTCAGTCAACCACACTTTGTCATGATCAGCATGGATGACATCGCGGGGTTGGCCTGAGATCCACAAAGGCAAAGAGGCATCAACAGTGACAGGCTGAGTCAAAACAACCGCACACTCATCTGCATCAATTTCCTGGACAGTGGCATGCACTTCATGGATCAGGGTTTCAACAGGGGCAGCAACAGGTCGGGACACATCCCGGAAAACCAGATGCCTGTCATGATCATGCTGGTACTTCCGGTGAGCCGCTTTGGCTTGGGAAAGTCGCTGCTCAAGGAGTCTGACTTCAGCAAGAACCGCATCAAAGATTTGGCTGGCAACCACAAAAGAGGGACAAAACTGGGGGACCTCAACCGGATCAGCAGGACAGACATACCGCCGATGGGGCCACCACGCAGAGAAGCTGGGCGAAAATCCAGAAGCCCGCAAGATGGAATTCCAAAGTCCAATGCCATGTTCAACATTGGCAGTGCCAACCGCAGTCCTATTTTCAGCCCACCGACAAAAGTTCTGCAAACGACGGAGCTGTCGGAACTGTTTGGCATGCACAGAGGAAAATCCAAAGAACGCAGGCTGAACTTCATGAGCGCGGCTGGCTTTAAGTGGTGCTTGTGTATGTAGACGGCGTCTGGGCTTGGTTTGTTGACCACGGCCCTGCATAGATGGCACCCAATCATCAGGAAGGGCTTTGGCAGCAAGGCGCTCTTTGGTACACCACAATTCAGCATATTGTGATGTTGGATCACCGGGGGAGTCAAAGGAAACTGGATGCTGCATCTCATCAACTTGACTCCAAGGCACAGGGTGAGGACAGGGCCAGACAAACCGTTCAACATGGCAAGTACCGCCAGCAAACCGGGCACACACAACCGCATGGTCAGCAAAAGTATCATGGCATATGGACAAATCCACAAATGCCCTTGCCAGCTCTGGCGACAAGAACAGGAAGTCCTTGCGAGATACCCCTTTGCAGGTCATACTGACAGCAGCACCAGTGCGCAGGGCAAACAGGTCTTGGGCTTCAACCCAGCCAGCAGCATGCAACTGTGGAACGATATCCAAAACATCAATCGTGTGGTTCCAGTCACCGCACAAGAACTTGGGTCCAGGCAATTGGCTGAGATGGGCAAAGGCAAAATCCAAAATGGCAGAAGTCCTGGCCCTGGCATGATGGTGGAGTTTGCCTTCAGGATAGCCGTAGATCACACCACCAGAAACCCATGAAGCTGGGGTATAGAAAGAACCAAACATGACCCTGCCAGTCTCGTACAGGTCAGGAGGCCACGGGATGGCCATCGTCCGGCAAGGGACCGTGGACGTGAAAGCCACACCACCATATTGTCCTGCATCGCTGCTGGTAGAGCGTGGAGTCATGGGTGCTCCTGTCAGAACATGTTTGTACTTGGAACGCATGGATTGGAGGCTACTTGACAGGTGTCTAGTGCCAGCTTTGGTCAAATGGGATTCGCTGATGGCCAAGACATCGGCATGGATCTGGTTCACAATGGCCTGTTTCCCTTGTAATCCGCTAGGATTACAGATCCCAAGCGACCATGGTGTGTCCACATCTGGTCCTGGCACACTGGCTTCCCCAACACGCCACATCAGCATCATCAACAAAAAGGTAAAGATAGCCCTGAATGGCTTCAGCAGCATAGGGATCGCCCTCGTTTTGGGCTGCAAACGAGGGTTCCCACCCCTTCATTCGGTCCGGGGTTTCTTTGAAAGGATCGTCTCAATGCGAGACATTTGATCCGAGAGCATATGCTGCATCTGCTTGGACTGGACGTCGAATTGGGCCAACATCTGTTGTTGCAAGGACTGAACCTGCGCGGTGTTTTGGACATGGTGGTCATTGACCATGGCCTCAAGTTGCCCTTGACGGGTGGACAACTGCTGAACCTGCATCTCCAGAGCCTGCATCCTTTGTTCCTGACAGTCTACCTCCATGGGCTCAGGAGTGGCCTGGATTTTGGCAAGCAGGGTCTGTTCCAACCGCTGTTCCATCTCATGCAAGACATTAGTGGCAGGAGGTGCTGACTGCTGAGGTGGCATTGAGGACACCGCTTTGGACCATGGGTCTTGGATGAGCCATGGATCTGCATTTGTGGGCTCGGCATTGCGGCACATCTGCACAGTTTTGGCCTGCCCAACAATGTCCTGCTGTCCTGTAGTCTGGCTGGGCTGATCATCCTGGCAGGTGATGACCACTTGTCCATGTTGCATCGGCAGCACATTGCAAGGTGGATCTACCAGCGCCTGAACTGACCACATCAGGCCACCTGGAACGTGGTGCAAGGGTTGGAGTGGTGACAGCACTGGTGCTTATAGGTTCCGGCAAATCTTCCCCAACTGGGAGCTTGATGGTGACATTTCCATACATTTCCACTGAGGCTACTATCAAGTGAGCACCGCATAGAAACAACCTTTAAACCTTCAAAAGGCTATCACTGCAAGCAAGGGATAAACGTATTGAACTACCTTTCATTTTTTTTGCGTGCCCAAGTAAAACACCTGTCCATGATTCCTGGCTGGTTAAAATCTCCAAATAGGAAATACACACAGTACATCCCATTCTATCCACAATATTCCACAATTGACAATAACTGTTTAGTTTTCTACCCATTCAACCCCCAAAAACACTTAGATCGTTCCATCTTTCTTGGGGTTTCCCATTGGTCCTCGTGAAGGGCGCATTCTCAAAGCTCTGTACCGGATCCGGCAGTGCGGTTTCCACCGCCGCTGCGTTCACCGCGGAGATTTTGAACTTTTCGCGGAACCTGAGGAGTTTGGAGAAGGAAAAAACACAGGGCTTTCAGCCGAACAAATGGACATTTCACCCGCAAAAATGGGAGTAAACTATAGTATATATAGTAAATTGTTAGGGTTGTAACGTTGATTCTATGACTATGAGATCATCATTTAAACCAGCCAAAACTTGAGTTTCACAAGCAACAGTTAAGAAGCACTTGGCTTCTTTTGGTACCCGAGAGCAACCCCGGCATCGACCTGGAACACCTGGGACAGCAACATATTTCGCAGGCTCAACAGTGACCAACATCGACCAACATCAAACTGTTCCAAAGTGCGGTCCCTTAGATCAAAAGAATTCAACAAACCTATATAAATCAGTTTCAATGGGAACATCAACCTCTTGATAGGGCCCAAGTCAGTGCTTTGGAATAGATCGTGGAATTCACCGTCAAACAATGGGGTGTATCAACGAAATACCAACGAAAACCCATCTTTTCATTCAGACTTTCTCTGTTTCACTTGGTAATTGGTCTAGCTTTGGTTGGTTTTCCCAGTTGTTCGCGGGGTAACCCTGTTGTCAGGGAAACATACCCAGTCAGACTTATCAAGCGCTCGCTAAAAGCAGGAGGAACATCCATAAATAAGGAATGATACCATCCGCTAAACAACATCACAATCAAATAGCGTCTATACATGCTTGGTACACTAGCATCGACCTAGACTTCAGCATGGCGAATCCTAGACACGCCACACAAACGACTGCATATTATGCATATGACTCCATTTATAGCCTAACATAAATTTTAACTAAGCTACAAAAAACACGGTCTAGCCCGATGGCAGGATGTGTCTATGTCGGGAAAATGAAGTATACCTAGAAGAAACAACAAACACCATTGGTTCATCCGCATTTTAGCATCTTTGTTTACTCTGGTTCGAAAAAATGTGGCTTCCTCAGCTCCCTCCAATCCCAGCAGCTTCTCTGCAGTCAGGGACTCTGCCGCCTGGTGGAGATTGGGACTTCACAACGGGTTCCCGCCGTAAAATTTTTAACTGGGATTCATGGGATCACCAGCACTATGATACCACGTGGTTCTGTGGTGATCCTTCTTGGGTCAGATATCCACCGAAATTCATCAACAACGGATGAGAATAAATTCATGTTTTTTTTGACTGATCTCCGATGGGGTGTTTCTATGGTTCTGTAGATTTATCATGATTTATCACTTGGCTACTTGGATTCATGGTGGATATACCGAACTATTTAAAGGTGCGGGTATAACCAACTGATTCCTCTCATTTGGGGGGGGCCCTTTCGGGAGGTAGCCTGCGGTTGCAGAAGTTCTCATTCAAGGAAGTGATAGCGATAGCTGTCTACTGCATCACCTAACTATGGAAACTATCATCTCCACTCAACCCATCCAACATTGATTCCATTAAACATCATAGTGCCGGCTATATATATATATATGTATATATATATATATATATCGCATGAATCCCTACCATAGCGGGTTTTTATACCCAATTGATTCCCTAAATAACAGGTAAATTTCCCAACATGGATCAAAGTGGGACACTTTCCTACCCTGATCCGGCCCGACAAGGGTCGCCACAGAACCATAAACCTTAAACTCTGGGACCCAGTTTTGCTCTAATAATTCAAGCTCCCACATGGATAGCAATTTCTTTCCAAGTTTGTTTCCTTTCATGGTGTGGACCAGAGGATCCAAATTGGCTTCGCTTAAGATTGGTGATTAAAACATATTAAAACTCTCCTAGGCTTGACTGACACCCACAGCCATGGAGTTAGTTGAGTTGGGATCAAAAAATTGGCGTATATCCCATTGCATATCCACTTTTAAGGGAATAGGCGGAAAAGGTAATATATATATATATATGTAATTTCACAAAGCAACCTACAAAGAGAATATATATTAGTATCATTTATTATTAATATTAGTATCATTTATTATTACCATTATTATTATTGTTATTACTATCAGTTTTATTATCATTATCATTATTATCATTAAGAATTGTTATCATAATATATATATATATGGAGCCTGGTCCCCGGCCCCCACCCCCCCCCCAATGGTATCCCCCCCCCACTCCTAACCACCCCCACCCCCCCAAAACCTAGTATTTGCATGTTATTTGCGCATATACATACACATATACACATATATACTCCCCTTTCCACCCCTCCAACCTCGCATCTCTACGTTATTTGCAGCACTTGAGAGCCACGACCTCGTCAACGGACCTTGTCTACCTGTATGTTTCTATCATAACCTTTTTTTCCAACCGCCTTTAGCGTGCCTCGCACGTGGTTTACAACATATTTGCAACCTATGGATTACGCAAAGCTTACCTATGCAAACCTAGACATATGTACAGTAGAAAAACAATATATATATGTGCACATTCTAGATACTACATATTGATATCTTGATCTTGTATCTATCACATATTTTGTTTACATTGTACATACTGTACACGTATAAATATATATATATATGTACATATATATATGCATATATAATATATATATATATATATGTACATAAACTCTAGATATACAGCGTGTAGTGCTGTCGATATTCAATATACCACATATACTATGTAAAATTTATTCAACGAACATATTTACCTATATTGTATATATTGCATCTACTGTGGATACAGTACATGTGGCATATACTATCTATATTCTATCGAAATCCACATATACGATATATATATATATATATATTCAATATATATATATATTCAATATATATATATATGTCAAATATATATATTGAATATATTATATATATTGCATATATTATATTTATATCTTACATATTATATATATGTTTATATATATATATATATTTACACCACACATACACTCTATATTACATATAGTATATCCATTCTAATTATCGATACATATGCACTATATGCACTATAAAGACTACATACTTCATGATTTCTATGTATACTCACCAGTGCTGCTCACGCAGTACCTTGGACATTGCTGGCACACTTCTTGCACTGAGCTAAATATTTGGCGTATAAGATGCATCACCTTCCCTGGGCTGCTGAGAAAACCCCCCCTCCCCTGCCACAGGGGGGGGGGAACCATCTGGCTGGGGGGGGGTGTGGGGGTCCCTGCTCATATATATACATCACCATCATTTCCCCATCATTTCCCAACCATTTCGCAAATCAAACCTGCCATGGCGCCGCACCTCCTCGATGACCTTGACCTTCTTGGGGCTGCTGATGATCGTCGCCACTCCCACATCCCCCACCTCCGGGAGTTCCTTGCGCTTCCTGGGAGCGTCACAACATGGCGCTCACCGGAGCCTAGTACAACCTACGAAAATCATGGGAAAACATCGGAAACCTGTGGGAAAACAGTGGAACATCTGAGAAAACTATGGGAAACATGTGGGAAATGGGTGATAAACCATGGGATTTCTGGACTATTTTGTGGAGTATCTTGATGGATAATGGAGCAGTGGGACACCTGTTGGAACATTCCCCATAGCATCAATGGAGATTTCCCAGTTCATGAATAACACAAACATATCCCCAATCTATGAAGGATGTGTGAATGGGCCCCCTATAATCATCAACCAAAACCAGGCTGTTTGAAACTGCTCGGATGTATTCGGATGTTTATTCTTGAGGAGGACACCTTGCGGTCAAGTGACTTGCTGACCATTCCCATGCTGGGCGACGCACACAAAAAAGGACAGCTGAGTGAGTGTGAACGGGATATTGAAGCCAAGCTATAATGGATGGTGGGCGCTCTTGTTCAACAATTTTAGTATCCCCTAAATGTATCTAAATGGTCCCAAATATGGGCAATTCATATACTAAACCATGGTTTCTTGGGGGTGTCTGTTATGACAAGGGGATGGGATCAATTACCGGATCTAAAATGGAGGGTCATAACCCGGCTTCCAGTTGGGCTCGCACAGAAAGTTGGCCTTGTTGGCATAGACATATCTCTGTGTGTTTCCGTGCATGTGAATTACAATTACAGTACACATTATCATACATTATCTATGTATTAGTATCATTCATTATTTAATATTACTTATATATGGGAAAATTGGTTGATATGATTGGAGCTGAAAAAGGCCGCGAAGCAATCTCCTATGAGCAGTGGCTTTGTGAAGCATTGATGGAAAGGGGTTGGAAAAAGTATAGCCAGATCCTTGCTATTTGTTGGTTCCAGATTGAACTGACCCTTAAAATCCAATGCATATCATAATTTTGCCGATCAAATTTTGACATCAATTGCACAAGTTGGGGCATACTAAGAATCAGTCTGCCCAGGGTACTGAACAATTCGTTGGAGGTTCAAATCTACTGCAGAACTCCTTCAGTTGGGCTCAGAGTTCCAGTAGACTCAGTAGACAGGTCGAACATGTGAAGCCTACCCTCCGGTGTCATCAAACATGGCCAGCTTGGAAGTACCCTTCATATGGGCATTGAAATGGGACACTCATTTGTAAATGGTGGGGCTGTCCGCTGCCATGTTATTGAATAACCCAAAGGCAACCTGGTTGGTGGTTTCAACCCATCTGAAAAATATAAAAATCAGTTGGATTATTATTCCAAATACATGGAAAAATAAAACATGTTCCAAACCACCAACCAGCAACTAATAAGTAGTTTTGCCCATGACCAAATATAACGTTGCAGCTGCCCTGCAAAATCCTTATATAACCTAACCAAAAGAGAAACACCTCCGCTGGTGTCCGGAATGCAAGTGTGTTGCCATCAAGCATCCACTCCATATCCAGCTTTCAGGGCTATGGGTCACACGTATGACCCAAAGATTGCCAAAGATCATCCGCATGTTTATTGTTAACATAATGTTTTCATTTTTTATTCAAAAGCATATTGTTAACATATTGTTTATTGCTTATGTTTTTGGTATGGGCGCCTCTAAGAGGCCGTGAGTTTTTGAGGTTTTTGGGGTGGGGTGGGGTGGGGTGGGGTGTGATAACGTTCATATCTCTTGCGTGCAAGGTGATGCGACGTGGATGCTACGTTGATGTTACGTTGATCATACTGTGATGCTACGTTGAGGAGCTGTTGAGGCTACTGTTGGGGTGGGGTGGGGTGTGATAACGTTCATATCTCTTGCGTGCAAGGTGATGCGACGTGGATGCTACGTTGATGTTACGTTGATCATACTGTGATGCTACGTTGAGGAGCCGTTGAGGCTACTGTTGGGGTGGGGTGGGGTGGGGTGTGATAACGTTCATATCTCTTGCGTGCAAGGTGATGCGACGTGGATGCTACGTTGATGTTACGTTGATCATACTGTGATGCTACGTTGAGGAGCCGTTGAGGCTACTGTTGATACGTTGATGTTACTTTGATCATGCCCCGTTGCTACGTTGATGTTATGTTGATTATATGTTGATGTTACGTTTTAATACGTTGATGTTACATTGATGATGGTGTGGGGTTCGGGTTTGGGTATAGAGGTGTCCTACCAGGTAGTTGTTTGTGATATACAAGTATTTTGTTCAACATTATGTCAGAAATTGATGATGGACTTCAAGTTAAAAATATGCTACGCTGCAGATGGTTATAATATATAGTATTTTGTTCAACATCATGTAAGAAGTTGGTGATGGACTTCAAGTTATATATATTATACGCTGCATATGGTTATAATATATAGTATTTTGTTCAACATCATGTCAGAAATTGATGATGGACTTCAAGTTATATATATATACTGTACGCTGCACATACTTATAATATATATATATATATTATTTTGTTATAATATATATATATATATTATTTTGTTATTATATATTTAAATTATTTTGTTATAATATATATATATATATTATTTTGTTATTATATATATATATATTATTTTGTTATTATATATTTAAATTATTTTGTTATTATATATTTATGTTATTTTGTTATAATATATATATATATATATATATATTATTTTGTTATTAGACAGACATCATGAAATGTGTCTGGGTTTTTCTGTGGCGAAGAAATTGCCACAACGACATGTACAAATGTCTAGGAGACCTTTGCCGCAAAAGCGGCTGAAACAAAGAGAAGAAAAAGCGTACAGCTGCCTTTTCCAACATGTAGCTTTCGTCCCACAAAAACCATTGAAATCACACCGAGACCCTCATTTTTCCATACCCTTCCATGACTTTTGACACACCCACAATATATAAATATCTGTGAAAAACCGCTCTCGTTGTGGCGAAACCTTGAAACATCATTGAAGAGAAATATATCCATGTGCAAAAACGCACGGCCTCTTAGAGGCGCCCCCACCATGTTTTTGAGTGCATCAGTGCATCCATTTTTTCCGGCAAATTTTATACCCACATATGGTTCTTGCTTAAATCACTGAAATCCGACATATGCGTTGCTGGTCATGATATCTCCAATTTGCCATATTTCTTCTGTCGGTTCAACCATCCATTTACTTCACTCAAAAACCATTTGTGGGTGTTTCAAACATTTTTTTCTCATGCAGAATGGCCCATTTGGATGATAACTTGGGGTCGCCGTGTCTTAGAAGACACCCACCCAGATGCACCCAACCGGCAAACCCTGGCCGCGGGAGTAGAGTTCATTTTCCACCTCACAGGTTTAGCTTCGTTGCCTCAGTAGGGCAGGAAATGGGGAACATAGAGTCCACTTAATTGAGTTTCAATGGTATCAATGGACCAGTGGTTACAGTACACAGCACACTCTGTTCATTTCCACAATCCAGTGTGGAAATTTCATCAAACTTGAATCTTAAGTGTCCATAGGTCATATAGGTCACAGATTTGCTGTTGGGGATATGTTGCCAATGTTGGCGCCAACTGGAGGCTACTTTCGTTGGCGCGTCCCAAGGATTCCGATGCGTTTGGCACCGCTCATGTCATGGCTCCCATGGAGGTGCCCACCTCAGCCCTGGTGGAAGGTCGCCGCGTGGGCGCTGGGTGTTCCTGCAGGATGAACCCGTAGGCTCTTGGCACGGTGAAAATTGGATAATGGTTTATATATGGTTTATAATGGTTTATAATGGTTTATAATGGTTTATATATGGTTTATGTATATATATATATATACTGGTTGGTAGTTGAGCCTACCCCTCTGAAAAATATGAGTTCGTCAGTTGGGATGATGACCTTCCCAACTGAATGGGAAAAAAATCATGTTCCAAACCACCAACCAGATAAGATTGGTCAATGGCAAGTCTGGCAGTCCATATTATTCCACTGCTTGAAAAATAACTTGTAGCGACGTTAGAAGTTATGTAATTCTTGACCATTCTTGGGGGATTAGGCTATGCACAGAACGACTCCAACAAATTATCAAATTCGTTAAACGTTAATGCATCTGCTAGTCTTCTTATGCCAATAAACTACAGTATAACATACATACATTGCCATACTATAGCATATTTTGTTTGCAACTCTAAATCCGCAACCCTTCACAATGTTTGAAACGAACCGTCCCTGCCACTATTAAAGGCTCAAACCCGGAGCAGCAGAATTGCGCTTTGGAAAGTGAGGGTATGTGTGGCTATGTGGCTACCATTGGCTACCTATCTCATGTGGCCACAATCTTATACAATCTCATACCATCTCACAGTGTCACACACAAGCTTCAAGAAATTGCACTTAAAATCACGTTCCAAACATTGTTTTTGTTCTTATTTGGCTTTGTCTGAAAAAAGGGTGCCCGGATTTTCATGGTCAATCATGATGTTCCCCATTAAACTATACAGCCATTTGGGGGCGTACCCCACGTTCAAACGGTCGCATAAGTAGTTTTCAAGGGAACTGTTACAAATAGTTACAGAAAAAAAGGATTCATTGGGGTTTATCACCTCAAATCTGGTTCAACAATGTTTGAAACCTATAGCATATTTGAAACCTCAAGCGGTATTCTTGGGGAGATTCCCATAGCATTTCCGTATTGGATTTCCATGCCGCGGCATTCCCCCCTCCTGAAAGGGATGGGCTGGGATGTTTATTCATCCATTTGGGTTGTCGGAAAATAGGATATCCCCAAATACAATGGTTTGTCATATTTTTCCCTACTATTGTATTTGTATTTGGGGATAAACATGACAATGCTGAACACCTAAGTAGGGAATGGTTGGAATGGGAAAAGGTACATGTTCCCCAAATACAATGGTTGGTCATTTCAAGTACTATGCTGGAACATCTCAATGTTGAAATACGCCCATCTGTTTTTATCTGCATTAATGCACCGTATGGATGCATACTGGACACACCTTCAACCCAAAGCGATTTGGATCTAGGATGTTCAATGTTCTAAATCTATTCATCTCAAGTATACCCCAAAGATATGACATGTTTGTAAACATTGATCCAATAAAGGAACCATGTTGCCTTCAAAGCTGATGCCACCGCATTGCGTAGATCTTGCAGTGCTGCCTCACCGAGCAGTTCAAGGCAGGTACCAGCAGGTTATCTGACCTTGCAATGTGGAAGACCCAATTTCTTTGTCCCATTGTTTTCTTTCGTGAAATCATGTAAATTATACAAGGTCGTGCCCCCTAGATAGCTAAGTTGGTTTATAACTCCAATAACTATGGTTTATGGTACTTATAACTATAGTTACTGGGGCTTATAAACTAACTTATAACTGGGGGGCCTCACATTGTAGATTTGAACATACTTGAATCTAGGGAATGCCAAGTCTTGACGAAGTGAAATTTTCCGAAACGGAGCTGGGGACTTTCCGAGGAACTCTATGTGGCCAACAAGAACGATACGATAATTTGACACGCGGATGTACTTTGATGGGCCGTTTTCTACTTAGTTTTTCTTCCTGGGTTGATGAACACATTTGAGTAACATGGACCCCTAATCCCCGAAAACGAACCACCTGGCTGACCCCCCACACCTATCCAAGGATCGCTTATAGTATAGCAGCGGAGATCGCGATGTTTATAGAATTTTTGAGCAAATGACTTAACTAAGGCAAATGGAAAGCAAGCCAAAGATGGGGAGCACCACAATTTGAAGCCGGTTTATGACTCAAAATGACACAATTTGGATGAATGGCGTGGTTCCCGTCAAAAAAAACAAGTCTTTTACCACTTTGATGCTGAGAAAAACAGCCGACATCGGGTCCTCAGAACTGCCATGCGAAGAGGCAAGACTCTCGAAGAGTTTCTTCTGGGAAAGCTCTTGATGAGGCCTTGAACGTTCCCATGTCATGCAAGCTGCATGGGTTTTTTGACAAAATGAGTCGTTTAGCCAGCGACATTGCTGAGAAAAAAAGGTCGTTCTCTAAAAGATAGGTCAATGAGCCCAAACATTGATTCAGATTCGTCCTAAGTCTGTATATATCTATAATTATACATGTGTCTATATATATATTATGTGTATATATATATATATATATTATGCGTATATATATATGTATATATATATATTATGCGTATATATATATATATGTATATATGTATAAATGTATATATATATGTATATATATATATGTATATATATATATGTCCCCATGGAAATGGATGGATAACCATCCTCCAATACAGGCGATTTGCCTAAGTTGTGACCAGGGCCCGTCTGCTGAGATTCGTGTAACGTGCGTGATTTGAGCAAGACAAACCCGATGATGTTAGATAAGTTGAATGGATAATGGGGTAATATGGAATTTCATTAATGTGGATTAATATGGGATTATTTTTCCATAGTCACCATCCCCAACAGTAGTGGTCTATAGTTTATTGGCTATGCCGGTATGCCCCTAGTTGTGGGATGATGTGTGGCTGGGCAGTACGGCTGAGGGATGGCTAATCGTCCTAATGTCACCAATAACAGATTCCAGAAAATCTGAATTTTAAATGATGTATTGAATATTATGACAATATGTATTTCTGATTTATGTCTGGCATGGCATTCAATAATTCGGAGGAAAATGTTGTGGATTTCGAAACACCTTACCCTAACCTACTACGGCTAAGCTCCCGATCCGTGCCTCACAACTCAGACTCAGATCGGCAATGTCCAAATGATCTGTAATTACCCAATGAGGACTCAGAATGTTCTGCAAGTCAGGATCATCAGGGTTTGCAACCTTGGGTTTGACCACGTTGACTGCCACCAAACATTTCATTATGACCGTACACAGAAATGTTCAGGGTCCTTTGTTTATTCATTTTTTTGTGGGTACAACCATGACCACAATGATTATCATATAGATGTAGAATGATATGGACATAATCAACAACAAAAAAAATCCTGATCCTTACTGAGGCACCCTACACACGACCCCAAGGGAGAAACCTGAGTCCACAAGGCAAGAAGTCTGAGATTTCATAGGGATTGCGAGCTGTGTTCAAAAAAAGGGGCAAACAAATGAAATACAGCGTCTTGATATATACCCTCTGGTAAACTAACATAACTATGGAAAATCACAATTTTTAATGGGAAAATCCACTATAAATGGCCATTTTCAATAGCTATTTTGACATAACCAGAGGGTAGTTTTGTCTGAGAATTCCTGGAATCCCCCTATGTTCCATGGTTTATCATCATTTTCCCTATGAAAATAACCATAGCCTCGGGGAACATCCTCATCTGAAGCGTAAAGTTGGAGCCTTTCAAAACGGTCAAGAGTGGCACAGGAAGGGCCAGTTCGAAACCGATTTATAACCAAATCATAGATATATCCAGCATAAATCCAATCCTTATTCAATCCTACCCATCCTTACCCTAGATATTCCTATATCCTAAGGCCTACAATGTGGGGCCCCCTAGTTACATGTTGGTTTATAACCCCATCTGACTATACTTGTAAAAATCATAAACCCTGGTTATTGTAGTTGTAAACCAACTTAGCTATCTTGGGGGCCCCGCATTGTAGTTATGAATCAACAGAAACCTATCGAACTTTTTCGGCCCCATGCCGTGTGATTTTCCCTTTGGAAAGCACCGATTCGTGGTCAGTTTCACCGCTGGCGAAGATCCGGCCCTAAGCCATCATGGGAATCTAAGAATCTAAGCCGAGTGGCGAGACCAAGAAAAGGGGTACATATATCTGGGTAAAATATAATATTTCACTCAACCTGAATTAAAGCCATTTGGGGATGATTCCCCTTACTACCTATGATTTCCAGTGAGGTCGCAGTGAGGTCGTTATAATTTACCCGGATATATAACCCCCTACAGTCATGGCACTTAACAGTCGGCCCAACAAGTCCTTTTGGAATCGTTTCAAAAAGAAACAGGCGCTTGAATGCTTCACGATGTGGGGGAAGTCAAGCATGCACATGTGCCACATGTTTCGTGTAAAGTCTATGTTTTGAAGTGTTGAAAAGTCAAACATGTCAACCCTGGAGTGTGGATAAGAACAAATGCTGGCTGATAAACCAACCTGCGATCCGGGGTTGACAATTTGCGTGGGTAGCACGGGCCAAGTCAGTGCAAACAGGTTGAATCGAACAACCTAGTGTCAAGCAGTTCCAACACTTCAAAACATAGACTTTTCACGAAACATGTGGCACATGTGCATGACTTACCCCAAATCCTGCAGCGTTCAAGCAATTGTTTCTTTCTGAAACGATTCCAAAAGGACTTGTTGGACTAACAGTTATTAATGGGATTGTAACTGTAAGCATGGGTTTTATCTCATGTACCAGTATCATATGTTCAAGCGTTAAAATTGTCAAAATACATGTGCTTGATATTGTCGGGGTGGTATCATCCCTCGATTTTCGGGACAAAAACCACAAAGGATTGTTTATGTAATGACGATCATCTCAAATCCGCCTTAGTTTCCAGCTGTGGCAAATGATGATTTGTCCACAATGAGTACACATATAGCCCTCCAGTTATCACTTGTAATAATTTCATAAACCATAGGGTTTGGGGGCCAACATATTCAAACACACCCAGATGTTTGGGGTTCCCCCTTTCGCCAAAGGCACTGCGAGGGGTGGGTCAAAGGCGCATGAGGGTCAAGAGGCGCCTGCTATCGCAAGCTTCGTCACTGGCACCATTTTTCTCCGATGATTTCGAGCTAGAAATCCTATCTCCGATTTTTCTTGGTGAAAATCACCATTTTCCTTGCAGTGGGAAAATGATCGGAAAATGATGGGAAAATGATGGGAAATCACGACTATAAATGAAATTGTAACTAACTTATCTTATGATATATAACTTATATAACCAACAAGTTAGTTATAATCCAATTTAAGGCCCTGTGTTTTGAACCACAACAATCAAACATGGCAATTCAAAAGCCCCAAACTTAGTTTGGAGGTGTTAAGTTTGAAAATCACCAGCTAACATGGCGGATTTTCCAGCAACGTTTGATTACCAGGGGTTATACTAAGAAAGAGGTTTATCCCGCAAGTGGGTGAACTAAACTCATTTACTAGCCAGCTACTATGTAGTATTTGTTTGGACAATTGTCCCATCTATTGCTGGTTGGTGGCTTTAAGTTTTAACCATCTTGAAAAATATGAAAGTCAGTTGGGATGATTATTCCCAATATATGGAAAAACATGTTTGAAACCACCAACCAGTTATTGTTAATCCACCAGAATTGGTGAATCTACGAGGAAGATGTTTAATATTGTTTAATGCTATAAGGTGGTAGCCTCCCACCTTATGTTGGTTGCTAAAGCCATGAACTAGTTCGATATATCTAGAACAAACATGAGCAGTTGTGGCATCGAATGGGTCTTGAAGTATACATGCGCATCATGTGACTGGCTGTCTTCCTATCAATATTGGTTAACCAAATTGGAACCTGTCCTTTTCTATTTTTCTATTGGGTCAAGATGTGTCTTCCTGGTGATCATTGGCTACTTCCCCAGTTTCCTTGGGAAAAAAACATTGGGTTGTCCCTCCCCTGACAATCAGTGACCACTTCCTTCGATAATATAATAATCAACTGACAGGGATTTTCCATTTGGATGAGGTTTTCCAGAAAACAATCCTCCAGCTGTTGGGGTACCCCATTTTTTGGACCCCCCATCGCTGGGGATTCCGATCAAAGTCCCAACGGCACCTGCGCATGCTGCATTGCCGCACCCGGAGCCGAGGCACGTGAGGGGTGGAAGGGCACGGCCCTTGGTACCTGAACGAGAGCGCTGGCGCTGGGGTCTATGGCTTTGGGTCTACATAGTGGTGCCCCATAGATAGCTAAGTTGGTTTATAACTACAATAAGTGGGACTTATGGTAGATACATCTATAGTTGATGGGGTTTATAAACTAACTTATAACTGGGGGGTACCACATTGTAACATCAACAACCTGATTGAATGTTTCTCTCGCCAATCCCAGTCCCTGAATACAAAATACATCAAAATACATCCGAGAAAGGACCCCAAAATAAACAGATCCGATAATAGAAAATTGTTTGTTTTTAATTAAGGACTGATGAATACTGAGGGAGCAGGATTAACAATGACAATTTGTGTGGTTCCTTGGGTACCCTGATTTTGACCAATTTCTAGACACCTATAGCCAAAGGATGCTTCAAGATTGGAGGTTTGACGCTTTACCATGTTTTAACCATCAAAAATGGCGATCTAAACTCTTAATCTTCAAGGAAAATCATATTTACCAATCAAAACGCGTAAATTACCAACATCACATGACGTAGCCAAGGTTAAGAACCAAGAACAATTCTGCGGATAGAATGGGTGGAGTGTAGGTCCCGGGCCCGGGAAATCTTTGAAAGTCCAAACTTTAAAGACTTCAAGCTAGACTACATTAGATGCTTTCCCTGGACTAGCAGAGATTGCAAAGTGGTGCCCACCATTGCCCACCTAGAGATAAGTTGGTTCAGAACCCCCGTTGACCCGTTTGATATAATCTGGGCTTGTCTGAACATATACCCCTAAAGCCAAGGGTTCATCATAATTTTCCTAAATGGCAAATATATTTGGAGCTATACCTCATTTCCAGACAGAACTATACCCTCTGGTAGACTAACAGTTTGCTATTGAAAATGTCACAGTCGAAATAGTTGAATTACCCATGACACAATGTGATTTTCCATAGTTATGTCAACGTTTACCGGAGGGTATCTACTATAAATCCGGATCCTAGTTGTAGTTGTTAAACCCCAGCAGCTATGGGGCCGACTCGCCTGCGCAATGGAACCTTCTGCCTGCCATGTTTTCGAGACCAGATGGGGTGGTCCCCGAATTTTAGCTGAGCAAATGGACATTAGAAAACTTCCAGAAGTGGGTGACGTTGGAGGAAAAAAACACGATATAGACAGACTGTTTAAAAAGTAAAAACAAAAACAATAGATGTTTTAACTGGTTGGTGGTATCGGTATACCTACCCCTCTGAAAAATATGAAAGCCAGTTGGGATGATTATTCCCAATATATGGAAACATAATCCACATGTTCCAAACCACCAATCAGTAGATGCTTTACCATTTACGGCCAGATCTCTTCAGCAAATTTCAAGGTCAAAACAAACAGTTCCTCTGGATTTCCACCCCAATCCAGTGAGAGATTCGCCAAGTGAAGCGGCCAACCTATTCTGATGTGATGAATTCGGAGTGCCCATTTGCTTATGACTACGTCGTCCATCACTTTATACCCAACAGGATTTGATATGAATTGTATACCTCAATGTTATTCCCCATCATTGTTCTAGACCCATAGATTCATTCAATGATATGCTGCATCTCGGAATGCCATCACGTCCATCACTACCAGGGTTGCTGCTAAGATCCAAGATAGATTGGTTTGGGAAACTGGGTATGAAAAAATATGCAAAATCGCAACATTTTTAGATTTAGCCAGTTGGTCAAACATTAGGTTGTCACCCCATTGACAAACAGTTGACACATTCAGTAAGCATTTTCACTAAGAACACTTAACAGTTGCATCATCAGTCATAGTCCACCGGTCCACCTGTTTTAGGGGTTCCCATATCTGCCATTATGTTACAGTACCCAATGTATAGTTTCACGATTCTTCAAGCTCCTATTCGACACCATTTTCCCACCCATCGACTTTTGAATCAACTAGAAATAACCATACTAAATAGCCCTTGATCATAAATCCCATGGTTAATTAATACATATGTAAATATATATATATATATATCTGTATAACTTTCCTTTATCATGGTATAAATCAGTCATAGAACCCATGGTTTCTCACCATTGTCCCTATGGTTTCTAGCTATAAATCCTATGAAACCCCCATAGTTTCTTGCTTAAATCACCATTCTTTCCTATATTTCAATCAGCTCTTTAGACTCTAAACCCCATGAAATCCGATTTGTTTCCATGTTTATGATTGAATGATGCAGTTCACATGGTTAACCCTATGCATTAGATGTGTTTCCATGTTGATCTAAATAACCATACTAAACCAGTTCCTGTTGAATCAAGTGGTTTCCATGTTTCTCCTGTTCCTACAAGGTGGTGCCCCCTAGTTAGCTAAGTTGGTTTATAACTCCAATAACTATGGTTTATAGGTGATATATCTATAGTATTCATGGGGTTTATAAACCAACAAACATCACTGGGGGGCACCATCCTGTATGGCTTTCCAGCACTTCCCAACATTTCGCCAGCAATTTCTCCGCCACCTGGCGCCAGCGGTGTAGCGCCCCACTGAAGCAGCGCAGCAGCGCCTGCCGCAGCACGCCTCGCAGCAGCCGCGCACTTTCGAGCAGCACACGGCGACGCTGCAGGGCCAGCGATTGGGAGGCCTGACGTGCCCTACAAACTGTAGGGAACATATATCATTGGATTGGTTTAAGGGAAAATCTACAGGAAACCATGGTTTTTACCATCAAATATAGGGCTTTCCTGTAAATTTTCCCATCATCCAATTCTATGAATATAGGGAAAATGGTGATTTAACATTAATAAGTTTGGATTTAAGATTATTCAAGCAACAAAAGAATGATAAAATGGTGATTGAAGCCATAGGGAAAATGATGGTGACCCAACAAGAAATCATGGGATTTAATATGCACATGCTTATCTGATTGGGGAGCTAAGTTGACGCACAAAACTTGGTAAACCAGGGTTTTCATGGGGGGACATAAAATGATATAGCCATAGTTCATTGAGTTTTACAACAACTTATATCTGCGGAGCCTCACCTTGTAGCTTTTCTGGTAACAATGGGGAACATTACAAATACATGGCAAATAGCATTCTTACCAAAAAGCCAACTGAATGTAATGGTGTATATTATATTATGTAACAATGAGGACAATCAGACAATTACATTAAATAATAATAGATGTTATACATGGCCATAATTCCAAGTTTTTCTGGATGTAAAAGAAGATCCATGCATCATTGAGAGTCCAATTGTGAAAAAAATGCAGAAAACGGTTGAAGTTTCCAGTATCTAAGGCAGGACTGGATCTTACTGATCTTTTTAGGTGGTACCATAGACATAATTTGAACATAAATGTTAAACATACAATAAATATATTATAAGCGTCTTCCCTGAATAGAATTCCATACAGTAGATGGTTTAAATTCAAGAATAGTTATACCCTCATTATCTCTGCGAAGTCATGCACATTATATGCATTATACATTTGATATACCACCGTAAAAACACATCTATTGCGAACAATCCACAGATCAATAGTTTGTCCCTTTTTGCCCTTAGGATCAAACATCATCTGAGCCTGAAAGATGATGAATTTTAGCCATAGTCATAGTCTGTAAAACCGAGTGTAACAACCAATTCCTTCACCCAAAATACATTGAAATTCGATCAACACCCCCTTGACACCCTGGTTTTGTATCATGGATCTATTCATGTTTGGGGGCCAAAAAATATGGAGCTATTTGCTATTAGTCCAGGGGGACAGGCTCTGGGTAAATCCCAAAATTGCTGGGTCAACAAAAACCTCACATCTACTAAATACCCATCGTATAAATCCCGAATATTCCCTAATCATCATTTAGCCTTCATCTATCATGTGGTTTGGAAACTACCCTCTGGTAATTTAACATAACTATGGAAAAACACAATTTACAGTGAATTTTCCCATTAAAACTTGTGATTTTCCATAGTAATGTTACTCATTACCAGAGGCTATTCGTAGCTGTAGCTCTTTGGCTTCCCATGTTCAGGGAACCGCTGATGACCCACAGCTCCGAAGCGCTTCATCAGCGGACAGTCACTATACCAGGTTTAGTGGGGCATATTGGTGGGCAAATTTTGAAAATGGACCGTTTTGAAAATAGCTATCTCAAATCACCAAAGGGTAAACCCTATACAGTCAATCATAATCAATATCTAGTTCTTTTTTGGGGAGATATGAACTATCTGGTTATTAATGTCAAGGCCGTTGAACTGGGAGGGATACCATAAAAAAGTATCAGCAAAAATGACTATTGGAGGAGTACCCCCCCCCCCAAATTAATAAACCATGGTTTATTAATCCGGGGTTGACATTACATGTTTGGCTGGGTATGGTTTCTAAATACCCATTAAATTCAAATTAAATATCGACTAAATATCCACTGATAGCAACAAAACAACTATGAAAACATGATTTATGTTGGGTAGATCTGATGATTTATCCTCATCTATTAAACGGCATATGTTTTCGGCTATGAATCCTCGTATATATTTACACATGATTGTCCGATTAGTATGCGGTTCTTCTTCTTTAAAGCTATTTAACATAGCTATATCTATTTATTTTCATATATATATAATATTATATAATATAAACTATATATAATTTAATATAATCATAACATAGCTATGTATTATTCCATGAGACTATCCATCTATAAATATGAAAATTCCGTGGCCTCACCTTCTCCCCACGGCCCACCTGGTCCTGCTCTGCCCGCCGCAGTAGCCAGCCCTTGCCACCACATATGGCACGCCAGCGATACGATGACGCAGGGGTGTCCCCAGAACCTGCGAAAGCTCCAAGTTGGTGCTGGTGTTCACATGTTTTCACCAAGAAAAAAGGTGCTTGATTCGCAGGAACCAGATTTACCCTCTGGTAAATTAACATAGACCCTGGCAGATAGGGGTTGGAAGATTAGTTTCCATTAAAAATTGGTGATTTTCAGGGTCTATGTTTATTTACCAGAGGGTATACCTCAGGCTGCGGGAAAATGTGTTTAAATTTTGGGCAAACATTGGATTTATCAAGAAAAACTCTGGGTTCTCTATATATTCGGGGCCAACCAGAATCGCAAAAAAAAAGGCTATACATGCATATACCAGCAAGAAAAAAGGCTTTTAGCAGCCACAAAAAACGCATTCACCAGCAATATCAATGGGTTCTTAACTTAACAACAACACAAAAAAAACAACTTTAACCGGTAAAGGAGGATTGACAAACAAAGCTGGTGATAGTTGGCAACGAGAAGCGGAAAAAAGTGGACATGATAGGCAATTAGCAGGCCCCCGAAATAGTGGATTGTACAATTTACCCTCTGGTTATTTAACATAGCCATGGAAAATCACCATTTTTAATAGGTAAACCATCTGTAAATGGCGATTTTCCATGGCTGTGTTAAATAACCAGAACCAGAGGGTACCATCGACATGACTTTGGGGGTTGGAAGATTGGCCGCTTGGCAGATGAACATCCACCGATGCGAGGATCGTCTAGCGAGGGGGATCGACCCGTGGCCGTGGTGTATTTTTGTGTCATACCACAGCTGTATGGATCCAAAATGCTTCCCCGGAAATACTTCGGGCGTCATTTTGAGGTTCTTTTATAGCTTCTCAGGTATTCTAGATCCAGTGATGCTATGACATTGCGGTAAACAATACACATCAAGTAGGTCTGATAAATAGATATAAATAGCCTGTCAACTACACAAATTAACTTGTTTACATGGAATGCAAGTTCGACGGGAGACACTGACATATCACTTCATGTGGTATCGTATGATGCGGTTTCACAAACGACAAACCACAACATGTCACATGAAATCACATCATATCATGATGCATTGACCACATCATGCCAGAGTCAACAGATTCTGTTCTCTGTGACTGCCTAGCATGTACAATACTTCCACATTTATAAACAATCCACATAGTCGAAAATACATGGTATTTAAGAATTGTTCATTAATCGTTTTGTAGCATACGATGCAATAGATTCCGACACTTGTTGCATCATTCAAACACATATTGCATGGCCAGCACTTCGGGTGAGGTACCGCTGTGGTAGACCCTTCTTTTGAGAGGTGTGCACGCAGTAGAAATCCAGAGAACAACAACCGAGCCCCATACGGGAAAATTGATGTGCGGCAAATTCACGGTGATGATCTGCAAATTCCATAAGAATCCCCTGATCCATGGGGTTTCAGTGGATAGATCTAGATAGATCCTCAGCCTAAGGCACTGCCGCTGAAGAACCTCTATGGATCCCCAAAAAAACATCGAGCCGCCTCGCATGTGCATGAGAAGCATGCGCAAGGGAGGCGACAAAATAAAGTTTTGCCAACTTGCCTGAACGCAAGGGAGGGCTGTTGGTACGTTGTTGCTGGTGCCAACCCTCTGAAAGTTTCAGAGTTCATACAAAATCAACTATGTCAGCTATAAGCCAAAGGATGGCATCTACAATTACAAGGTGGTGCCCACCAGTTGTGTTTGTTGGCTTATGTTTGCCCATCTGATAAGTTTGATTTATCTAACACCACTCCATTTGTTAACCTACTTAATCCCTTCCCCCGTTCATATTGAACACCCACCAATAACTACGGTGGATGCAGGGAAGATTCTTGGTCGGATTCTTGATAAGTTGGGTATAACCCGCATTAAGTAGTTATACAACTAGTTCGATACATCTACCATAACCCCAAGACTGAACCAACAACTAACTCAACAAACCAAATCCCATTCAAATCCCATTCAAATCACCTTTGAATCGCATTTTTCTAGGCCCAAATCCCTTCTCCACGTTTCGCCACACTTCGGGGCCCCGCGCCATCCCCGAAGCCAGGCGTCGAAGCCGCAGCTTCGACAGCAGCCGTCGCAGCTGCAAGGCACCAAGGGCGTAGTTCCGAGCAGAGGCCACGACCTTGAAGCGGGGCTGGGGTTGATCCATTTATCAATGGATTGGTTTAAGGGAAAATCTACAGGAAACCATGGTTTTTACCATTAAATATGGGGGTTTCCTGTAAATTTTCCCTTAAACCAATCCATTGAATTTATGTTCCAACTTGAAAGGGGACAGCAACTAGCCATCCAGTCACTTAGGGATCATAAGTCTCATCAACCCATAATGAATCTCATTGAATAGCCCATGAAAAACTCATTCAACCACCATTTTTCCCAATAAAATCTGGTTGGTGGTATACCTATCCCTCTGAAAAATATGAGTTCGTCAGTTGGGGTTCTTATTCCCAATATATGGAAAAATAAAACATGTTCCAAACCACCAACCATTTAATTTAATTATATACTTAATGATTGGGAGATGATCAATATATGCAAAACCGGATTGTTGGGCGATGAAGTATTAACCGATTAACCCATAAGACAAGAGTTTAGGATGATTCTCCATTTTTGATGCTGTAATATAGGCAATTAAGACTATAATTGAAATATGTGTATATACAACTAATCTGGGTAAATTAAAATATTTCACTGAATTAAGGCCATTTTGGGATGATTCCCCTTACTAACTATGATTACAGTGAGGTCGCAGTGAGGTCGTTATAATTTACCCAGAACTAATATAATCACTAAGAATACGTATAATTCACCAACAATCTGGGATTTGGGGTTTGACCGTGAAGGATTGGCTCCCAAAATTGGGAAGTTTCATAGGGACAAAAACAGCTTCTCCACCAATGTCCCGTATTTTCAGAACAAAAAGCAGTGGGGAATAATTTCTGACCTAAATCATTGCAAAAATATACGTTCATACAGTTATGGCCCGAAAAACAGTTATACATGTAATTATAACTCCTATAACTAGTTGGTTATATATTATTATAAACCAGTTATAACTGGCTTGAGGGCTTGATTCATCTCAGTGGACGTCTCTGGACCCAGTGGATCTACCATCACCAGGCTAATCACCGAAGCTATTGGATGAAACATGTCCCATATGCTCCATGGTGCTGGTATATTTACCTACATGACTGGGTGATTTTGTTCGGGCAAATGTTGGTAAATATACCAGCGCCATGGAGCATATGGGTGTAGGTGATGCTCGTGTACTTCCTATCTTATATAAGATATCTTTTGCCACAAGATGGTGCGCTCCAGTCGTTGGCTTAGAATCACATCTATAGATATATCGATAGAAAAAATCACCATACACCATACTTAACCTACAATGTGAGGCCCCCAAGATAGCTAAGTTGGTTTATAAGCCCCAGTAACTATAGTTATAAGTACCATAAACCATAGTTATTGGAGTTATAAACCAACTTAGCTAACTTGGGGGGCCCCCAACACGTTAGCGAAGTCCCTTCCACTTAGCAAACCTTCCTGGAAATTCTGGTCGTGTATTGTGTCGTAGGATCTGAACACCGGAGGTATGAGAATGTACTGGTAATCAACCATGGCAAAAAGGAATATCACCCATTGGTACCCATGGCAATAGTGTTTTAATGGGATTCAATGGTGATTCAATGGGATTTAATGGGATATTCAGAAAGATGCAAAAATCCCAACTATAAACCTCCAAAAATGCTCCGAGGATTTTCAACTGCGAGTACCCGATCGTCAGGGCTTATTCATCTGGGGACATGATTCACCATGTTCAAAAGGTAATCAAACATAATACTATAGTTGGGAAAATATTAGTCAGTTGGGATCATTATTCCCGCTATATGGAAACAAAAAAAATGTTCCAAACCACCAGCCAGATTAGTAATCGAATCAATTCTGTCAGCCGAGTAATTGCCAATGGATATCTTCCATCCATTCGTTTTGAGTGGCCAATGGTAGAGTCAGAGGATATGTAGATATATACGTATATATACAGATATTGATATTCAATTGCCATGTTTGATTTCCGAAAAGGGAGTTACATTTTTATATTTATGATATTCAACAACCAGTAAAACAATAACTATAGTCACTATAGTCAGAGGATATTCAATATGCCATTGTTGCCATGTCCCAGAAGGGGACCCCCGATGGAACCGTCCGCCTGCAGCTTCTGCAGTGTGGAGTCGTCCGGACGGCGGACTGGATGCAGCTCGCTCTTGCGGCGAACCTGCACATGGAAAATGGAAACAGCTGCAGTTATTCATAGCCCTTAACAAATATGACTGGCTTACAGTCATATATAACCATATATAACCAACTAAGTACAGGAGTTATAATCCCATATATAAGTGTTAAGGGCCATAAATGTGAGGGGCCAGCATTTTTCTTGGGGTGATATAGATTTCATCCCTAAAAGTGCGAGTCGTCATGGGTCGTCAGTTGGTGCTTTAGGGTGTATACATCATGACCCGAATAGAACACCAAAGGATACTTACCATGAATTAAAAGTGGAACCAATTAAGCCCAACAGGCAGGTGGCCTATGATATCTAGGTATAGTGCCTTTCCAATAGGCCACCTTGAGACTTAAAACAATGCAGGCCCTTTATGACACCGGAATGTCCAGAAACGGAGGATCCGCATGTTCTGTTTAATGCGATGTATGAGGTATTTATGTGTCAAATAACTATAGTTCTAGAGGCAACATTCCCATATTCAGAAAATCTTCGCATACCATGTTTTCATCGTACTCCAGACCTGGGTTTTGGTATGTTACTTTGATAGGCATTTCAGCTCAATCTGGAGGGAACAGTTGGGCCACGGCGAATCTACTGAATGCCCCTCCACAGCTTTCTATCCCCTATGTCGTTCCAAAGCAGCTGTGGACGTTGAATGAATTGAAGGCTGCTTTGATAAGGAAGTTTCTTCATTTGTCTACCGAAGAAGGACAGGGTTGTCAAGGGTAACGTTTTTAAAGGTTGGCTGAGTAAAAATTAGAAAGTTTCTTCCCCGGGGCCTCACCCAAGGTGAACTCGGAAAAATAGAACCCACTGGTGTGCCCCTGGAAGTTTGGGCTGGCTTTGGGATTGGAATTTTGGTTCTGGCCCCGAAATTTCCCTATGTGGTCTCTATACCAGCCACGCATACTCGGAATTCTTCGCATTCCACAAATTCTTCGCACTCCAGCGAGGGCATCGCACTCCGCAGCTAGGGACGTGCACATACAATAAAATCCACGCACTCTGCAAGATCTTCGCACTCCATAAAATCTTCGTACTCGGTGATTTTTCGTTTTTTGCGTTTGTTTTTTTTTTTTGGCTAAAATCGCCTGGAATCACGTTTTCTGGAATATGGGCAAGGTAGCGGTTTCGCGTGAGACGTCTGTAGTTTCACATACTATCGCATTCCAGGCCATTTTGGCCAAAAATGACCAAACAAAGAAAAAAAAAGCTCAGCAGGGTGAAATGTGATAATTTTCTGGTATATGATGGAAAAAACTGGTGTTGGATCCATGGGGAAGGTCGAAGGGGGCCACGCATACTGTTTTATTTTCGCATTCCAGAAAATTAGCGCACTCCAGGGGTGGCATCGTACTCTATCGGTGGAATTAGTTTGCACGGAAGAAAACAGGATCGTCGATGATTTGTGTTCCGAGATCCTGTTGTGCAGGGCTCTTTGCGGGGCCACAAAGATGTCAAGAAAGATGGGGATGGCGCTGCTGGTGAAATGCCAGCCAAGCGTGCCAGAACATAAGCTTAAAGCTTATGAATTGGGTTTTGAGATCCTGAAAAGTGTAGATGACAAATTCCCATAAGAACATTATTAATCCATATTTTGGAAAGCTCAACATTATGAATTATGACATTTCCAGAAATTGTTGAAAGTAAGGATCTTCTTTGCGGAAGAACATGTGCAGTCGACAACGTACGTGCCAGAAGAAAAGGAGTACTTGGCAAACTGTATGAAATACAAATTTCACCTGACAGGGGTCTTCGCAATTCCCTGAAATTTCCCAGCTATTTTGGCATGGAATATGTTCGGCCCTGGAATATGGGCAAGAAATTGCTAGAATAGTCACTATAGTCCGTACCCTCTGGTAAACTAACATAGCTATTGAAAATGACCATTTATAGTGGATTTACCCATTGAAAATGGTGATTTTCCATAGTTATGTTATGTTAGTTTACCAGAGGGTATATTATGGATTCCAAACATCATAGTTATGTTAACCCCCCAATGGATTGATGACCATCTCCCATAGTTATAGCCCGCCATGTTCTACTGTTGAACTCCAACTTTTGACCACAGAACCTATGAGTGTGTCTGAAAGTGGGGTATACCCGTATACCCCCACCAAAGCATCTTAATATGTGGGGAAGATGATGATAAACACCTGGATTTAGATATAAGGTGAGGCCCCCCCAGTCATGGTTGTTGGTTTATACACCTCATTGCCTATAGGTACCTATAGTTATATCCCCGGTCAACTTAGCTATCGTTTGGGGCTGGTTGATAGGGATTCCCCGTTCAAAAAATGTGATCTTCCCCCAATATATTGGGTAATATAACACCCGAACCAAACATCACAGGTTATTGCCCTTAACAATTATAACATGCAGTCATATCTCCTATAACTAAGGCTATTTGTACAATGAAATAAGCCAGCAACACAACTGGCTTGAGGGCTATAACTGCACCCACTGCTTATATGGGGTTTACATATATTACAATCCCATTAAATCCCACTATACAAATCCCATTAAAGTTGGTGAAATCGCATTAGGCATGGCTTTTCGGGGGACCCCATTTGGAGGATTCCTGGAATAGGGGGACCCTGAATCATCCATGTTAATATCTTTTAACAGGATTTTCCACTATAAGCCATCCATTTGGGGGATACCCCCATTGTCAAATTGTAGGAAAGCTCCATTTCTTGACTAAACCACCTGAACAGGATTTTTCTTGATTTTGCGGTACCCCCTCTGGATTACCCTCTGATAATTTAACATAGCTATTGAAAACAGCACATTTATAGTTGATATACTATTACAAATGCTGATTTTCCATAGTTTTTTGTATGTTTACGAGAGGGCAAACCTCGTTGAACTCAACCGCAGCGCCTCAATCCTCGACTTCCTCACGGACGATGGGCTGGACGCCGGCGAGGCTACCGCCGCCGGTGCGCGCTCGGGGCCGCGCGCCAGCTGCAAGGCGTGCGCAAAGCGCGAGGCCAAGCGCTCTGAGATCACCATGTCCTGCCCAGTGAGATGCCCTTAATGGATGGCAAAATGATGGATTGATATTTATGAATGGGATTGATAATTTAAATGGGATGATATATATATATACATAGCTCCTGCAATTAGTTGGTTATACATATATATATATGATTGAAATAAGCCAGTGACAACTGGCTTGAGGGCTATATATGTGGGATACTATGGGAAGATCATGGGATGAAAATCGATGTGAAAACAGTAGAATCTCAGAGCCTTCAAACCAGTATTGTTACAAGCTTATGTCATGATATATCACCAACTAGTTGCAAGAGTTATTTCATCCCATTTAGCAGGCTGCTAAGGGCTGTAATTGCAGGAAATATGTGTAGGTTTAACATGGTTTAATCAACTCCAAAGCATCTCAATGGATTAGTTTGAGGGAAAACCTTAACCGGAAACGATGTTTTTTGCCTGTACTTGTAGGGTTTTCTGTAAGTCTTCGCATCATCCAATTCTTCGAATGGGGATTAAACAAGCACAACTGACATAACCCAAAATAATAATGACTCAAATGGTTATAGAATAACGGTATTTGGCTGCAAATGGTGATTCAAATTGCCATTCACCGGACCGTCCTGCCATTGGTGCAAGGCCCCTCGCAACGCCTGGTTCAAATCAGTAGTCATGTTTCTGCAAGTGGTTTCCTGGTTCGCCTGCCACTTTGTAAGGAAACTAGGTCGAACATTGTTGTTTCCTTGGCCGTCTGATACGTAATTGTTGATGTTCGAACAACTATTGAACAAACCTAATTATCAGACTGTAACGTTTTACTAGTACATCAATAATTGTTGTTTCCTTGGCCGTCTGATAATTGTTGATGTTCAATAGTACTGTAATATGTCACAACTGTCAAACCAAAGTCCAACAGGGGAATTCTCCGTTGAATCTCACCTGCTCGAGAATCTCCCCTCGAAATCTTCGAATTTCTGTGGATTTAAATTCCTCTCAAAGAACAACAATTCAACAATCTAATTATAGGGAATTAAAAGCACGTGGACAAATCATAAACATGTCACATATATGTCAAACATATCAATCAAAAAAATACTTAAAACATGATACGAATTACTCCTCACCATTTCCACCTTAGATTCCCTAAGGTTTCCAGCCAATTCCTCGCCTGCAGCTGCAACTGCCGGCTGAGGCGTTGGCAGTTGCGCTGCAAGTGATGCAGAGCTTCGAGGCAAAAAACGTGATGCCTGAGATCAACAAAGCTTACCCTCTGGACAAAAAGACAATGGAATATCACCATGTTTAATATGTTTAATGGTTAAATCAACGAACTAAATAGTTATGTTCAATAGCAAACTCTTAGTCACTAGCTATTTATTTATAGCTGGGTAAAAATCAACGAACTTTCTATGGTTATTTTCAATAGTTATTTTAACATAACCAGAGGGTAAACCTCCATTTTCCTATGGATTTCCTATGGATTTCCTATGGTTTTCCTATGGATCCCATGGTTTTTGACATAACCAGAGGGGAACCAAGTTACCTTAAATCATGGTCATCCAGGAGGACCATCATCCCAGAGAAACCACAAGGAATCGGTAGATAAACAACATGATGCACGTCGCTTGGTCCAATGGTGAAAGACAAAGGTTTCTATGTCACTATGAAACACATGGTTTCACGGGCCACGGGCAAAGGTTCATAAGTATTTTGCCATCCAATAAGTACGAAAACCTGACGGTATGTGTACATAATGATGATCCAACCAATATCTTATAGCGTACACTGGAACTTGATTGAAATTCATTCATTTTTTGATTCCTTACTTATATACACACTCCGTTGATCCTTATCAGACGTCATATGTAGTGTTCAAAGGAACATGGGTGCGTTGAGTCTCTTGGTATCCATCAATATCTAACTAGCCATGGACAACTGTTCATGGGAAAATCATCGAACTAAATGAGCAAATTTCAAGCCATGTTTGATTACCGGAGGTTACCCATCTTGCCATGTCTGTTGGGGCCTCCAGTCAGAAGGAGGCACCTTCTGGCAATCAAATACAACACACATTTGGTGGTGTGAAAGTCACCTCTACATGTAGCGAAAAAAAATGCATTTCCGCAAATTCTGTTTAGACTACCAAAGGGTACTTGGACGAACACCCCGTTCAGTGAGTGGTTAGTGTTTGTGGGGCTATACCCCAGTTGTGAATGGAATAACAGTTTTGGAAAACTTACTACAAAAGGTGGTGTCCCTAAGTATAAGTTGGTTTATATATGTTTAAAAATAAACCCATCTAACTAGATCCATAATATATTCACCATAAACCCAACCAACTTAGCCATCACCTGATGCCGAGGCTCACTGGCTGGTAAGCCCAGCTCGAAAGCAGTTCCTGCTGGTATCTTGTGAACCAAAAAGCGTATTAGTGGTTGAAAGTCAGGTGTAGATATTGGAAGCGGATATCACAATTGTGTGTATATATCTATATTCTATTTTTCTATAACTCTATAATTCTACCATTCTATCATTCTATCTGTCTATCTGTCTATCTGTCTATCTCTCTATCTCTCTATCTCTCTATCTCTCTATCTATCTATCTATCTATCTGTCTATCTATCTTTCTATCTATCTATCTATCTTTCTATCTATCTATCTATCTATCTTAACTATTTTATATATCTGATCTATCTTATCTATTTTATATATCTGATCTATCTTATCTATCTAAACTATCTTATCTATATAATCTACATGTGGTATGGCATATGGTTTATTCACGAGTTAGATGCTAATAGTGCGTGTATGGAAGTGGGGAACATACATTATTAAAGTAGGGAAACACGATGGAGAACAAAAACACACATACCAACTCGGACGTGCATACAGATGGGTTTCAGGCAAGTAAATCCAAATGAAATCCATTTGACGAACATGAACGTGATAGACTTTTTGAAACTCACAACCCCATTTGAATGATAGGTTTTATTTTCTTGACACTCCATGAACATGATTTTGAAGAAAAAAATGTGTGACGGGAAAATGAAATCAATGTTCACAGGACTAATTACAGCATAAACAGGTTTCTAGTGTCAACCCATTCCAAAATACGTGTCTATTGGGATCAGCATTCATTCCATATTGAATGCAAAATACAAAACATTATTGAAACCACGAATCCGTAAAGTGCTATTTATTTCCAGTAATTACAGATAGTAATTAACCCAAAAAAGAACATAGAACACATAATTTCCAGGATGTTGTAAACGGTGCTCCCTTCAAAAAAGTAGGTTTCCAACATGAAATAGGGGGTTGCTACACTAGTAATTTCGGTGCATTTTCTAAATCTAAACCTCTATTCGGGGGTTGCATGGGGTTGCTACCCTCTTGTAATTTGACATAGCTATGGAAACTCACTATGTTTATTCATTGTTTGAATGTTGACATATGGAAAATCACCATTAGAATGTGAATCAATAATCATTTGTAATCAACAATTATATGACCATGTTCGAAAAATATTGTGAATGTCAATCAATAATCATTTATAGTCAATCATTATATGACAGGATCAATTTATAATGTGAATCCATATCTGGTTGGTGGTTTCAAACCCTCTGAAAAATATAAGTCAGTTGGACTTATTATTGCCAATATATGGAAAAAATAAAACATGTTCCAAAGCACCAACCAGAATATCAATGGCCCATGTTCAAAACCATTCAATGACCGGGTATCCTCCTGCGCGGACCTTGTGCCGGGAGAGAGCCTTGGTGGAAAAGCCCGGCCTACCAAGTGATTGGCAGTTTTTACTGAGAACATATATGAAAAGATGGGAACACTATGATTTAACCAGCAAGAATGGTGATCTGATGGGATATATATATTATACAATATATATATATTATACAATATATATATATATATTATACAATATATATATATATTATACAATATATATATATTATACAATATATATATATATATAAATTATACAATATATATATATATATTATACAATAATATATATATATATATATCATATATATAGCATATATATATAGCATATATATATAGCATATATATATAGCATATATATATATATATAGCATATATATATATAGCATATATATATATAGCATATATATATATCGAAACCATGGGATTTATATCTAGAAACCATAGGAAAAATGATGATTTAATCAGCAACATATAGTGATTTAAGAAATAATTGTGGGTTGATACCCTCTGGATCCACAGAGCTGGCTCGAAAATCCCAGTCGAATTTACTGTACAGTTCGAGCCTTTACCAGTTATAAATGATTATAAGGTTATTATAACTGGCAAATACAAACTTATTTATAACGCTTATGTATGTAAAGTCTTATTATAACTTATTTATAACGGTTATACATTGTTATAAGTTATTAATTGTTACCGATGGGGTTATCATTCCATAAATTTGGTTATAATTGACTTAAAACTTATAAGGGGTAAAGGGACCTGACTGTGGGATAACCAACTCCTTGGAAACATGGATATCATCCATGCCATTTGGGACCCCTTCCTGTTTCAGTTTCATACATTGTGAGTTGCTTTGTACGAGTCGTTGTGATGTCCTCGCTTAAAAAAATAAACGTTAAGCACACATTAAAACGTTACCACCATTGAACTTGTTAGTCCTATCCATGGTTCTATCAATGAACAAAATAGCCGTTTGGCAATGGTGTTGATGAAACACCCCTAAGACCCTAAGACTTTGAATCACCAAAGTTTTATGGTGAACCATCATCAGTTTTCCCATCCAACAACGTTGCTCAGTTTCGGACAACCCACAGAATCAGCCTGCTGTTGCATGTACAATTTTATTAATGACAATCAACGATATCCGGTTATATATAGATTCCATTAGTTACCCTCTGGTAAACTAAGATAGCTATGATGAATCATCATTTTTAATGGGTAAATCAACTTTCAAAAAGAAACCGTTCTCAATAGCTATGTTCAGTTACCAGAGT